ATATAAATAGACATGGTGTGACCATAGATATCCCCTTCTAATGGGCGTTCTTACGTAACCTTCGATATTCAATCAATATCATTCAATCTGTGGGGATTTCTAGTAATCCATTCTCCTTCCAATGTGTAGATTAGACGTGGGACCAATGAATCTTTGAATTTGAGGTTAGGACCGCTCGGCTCGTCAGGACCGACCGTCGACCGCCCGTTTCGATCTGTCGCAATCGATTTTCCATTGTGCAAGATCGTATTCTAAGAGCAGAGATCAATGCGACTTGACATTAAGAACGGAAAGAGTGGCACTACTCTTCCTTCGACCCTACGACCTGTTTCGTGTAGTCGGCCGTTGATCGCGATTTGCATTCAGCGTCGATATAAGGAATCGTCTCGTCGCATCTGATAAGGACGCCGAACTAATAAATGTACTCTTCTCGTGTCCTTTCATCGAGTCGTTATTCATGATTGTCCTTTCCAGGCGCGGATGCAAACTCAATTCCTGTTCATTAATATCCTTCGATCGATCGGTGATCTAGAGATCGTGATCGCCGATGCGGAACGCTACCGTGATACCGGTGCCTTGCGGAATGCCCACCGTAATCCCGGGAGGTTTGGCTTTATAATGTAAAATTTTACTATGCTAGTTTTTATATCGTTAGAATAAATAAGCCTTCGATAGCTCAGTTGGTAGAGCGGTGGACTGTAGTTGGAATTTGTAGACATCCATAGGTCGCTGGTTCAAATCCGGCTCGAAGGATTCCTTTTGCCGTTATTTCTTAAATTATTATTATTACATTTATGTTTAAGTAACGGTTGAAATTTAGGTCTACGTCACCTTTTGCCCGAGGTGAGAGTTTTGATCTCTGAGGAGACTTCTCTAATTGGTAGTCTTGAAATTGTTATCCATTTTTATTTCGCGTTATTCTCGGATGCAACGGGAGAAAATAAGCCTTCGATAGCTCAGTTGGTAGAGCGGTGGACTGTAGTTGGAGTTTGAAGAAATCCATAGGTCGCTGGTTCAAATCCGGCTCGAAGGATCTCATTTTTTGACTTTCTCGAATTTAAAGGGCAGATCCATTATTCCTAACCTCGCGTCGCCTATTTTTCCCGTCATCCCAATTAATGAGAAAATGCCTCTACGCTTCGAAAATCTTGAAGAATCTTGGATAAGAGTCTGTTTATAAATGACTCCTGGATGACCCGCGAGTTATCACAAAGTGATCGCGCGAGTCGCGACCGCTTCGCGGAGAGACTGCATCTCGGGGCGTCGTTGGCGGTCCCGCCGCCAGATGGCGCCAGCGTCGACCAATGGGGGCACTTCGCGGAGTCGCGTCAGCCAATCAGCGCGCTTTTTCGGGCCGCATGGAAATGCTCGTTAATATCTGGACAATTCGAGGAGCACTCGGTTTCCGTCACCCACTGACCCAGTGGGCCGAAATTTCACTCGCTTCCACTCGAGTCACGGCGAGATCTCACCGGGTCGATCGCAATCGCCGATCCCAATTGGCCAATCGCCAAATCTTCGCCAATTGTTGCAACGACGCGTTCTACTTTCAAACCCGTCGGCGCAATTCCCGTATACGCCGTGCGTATAAACCGTAGAAGGGGACGGCGTTATCAGCGACACGATTACGCCTTTTCGACCGAGTTCCTGGGCATTTATAATTACACAACGAGCATTGCGGTCGCGAGCGCACCTCCACTCTGCGGTGGAAGCTGCATTGGATCGATCGGTCCATGGGAATGTCGGCTTTGTCGCGAATTGAGTTTACGCCCTTGCGGGGAGCCCTTAAACATATTGCCATTAACCTAACCTATCGCCGAACGAAAGGAAAGTAGTATTCAGAAGAATGAAATAAGAAATATCATTTCAGAGATAATAAATAGGATTATCCCTATTTTAAATTCTTTAGAAACAGTTGTCTGGAATCCTTGAAATGAACTTTCTCGAGCTATGTCTCGTCATCGTTGGTAAACGCAGAGAGTGAGAGGGGATACATATTAATATAGGGAGTCATCTATTTATTATAAATAATCAATTACTCATGAAGCTCTAAAAGCTAAATTTGTTATATTTGCCGAGGTTATAATGGGTCACGGTCTAATTGATACTGAGTGGAAAGGGTGTATTATATAATTTAATATAAAAAAGTTTTTCCTTAATTTACAGATTCTTTACAATGTAACGAAGGTAAGATAGAGAATACATATGATTGAATGATAGCAACTCTAATTTCTAGGGTAAATATTAACTATGAATATAACCTATAAATTCGTCATGGCGGAATCTGTAATCTAAAATATCGCAAATGGAATTTCCAGGTGTAGACTCTTTGGGGAAGGAAATCATTCCACGGGAATTTCAGTGACTTTTCTTATTTTGTCTCGTTTTCTAGAAATTTACTGTGTAATATTTGAGTTATCACTCTACAGTGTCCATATTGGAGTTCATCGTTAATTCAGTCACCGACGTCATAGGCGTAAGGACGTAACTCCGGTCGTAAGTGACGGTCGATCAATTTTAGCGGAGTATATCGATTCGACGGGGTTTATGGTAATCGATTCTCGATAGGGGGCGCCATCTCGCCGAGTTTCTTCGCGCCTGTCGACCCTCGAATCTCGCAGCTCCGGCTTCGGCGTTGAATACGAACGGCCTTGCCCGCTGCGATGTCTGAGATACACAGCTTTCTCTACTTTCGCTTACGCGAGATTTTCAGGTGTAGTCGATGCTGCTCGGACTATTTATCGGCGCCAAGCGGTTGCCTGCATTCCTTCGTGGCTTTCGGTGCACCTCTCCTTTTTCTCAGTTAAAAATACCCGACAGCGATTCTGCATCTCTCTGCGCTCTTCTGCACCTCAGACGCCATCTTGGATTTACTCGAAACCCCTTCGGAAAAGAAAATATATATATATAAATTGAATACTGCGGCATCTAACGAATAAAGTTGTGTATATTCGACAATCAGATACATCGTTTGAAATAACAAAGAGAAAATATAATCCTAGGTGGGTGATTTCAAGTATTTATTAAACCAAAACTGAGTCGTCTCCACGCTATACAAAATGGCGTAACGAAAAATCGGCGATGAATCCGTATGTACCGATCTTTATGAATTGTCCAGTAAAATGGAAGAATTCGATTAAACTGCACGGATCACAAATCAGTACGATTTATCGTTAAGTAATTCCATCGTTTATTTATCTGCTGCGCCGCCTCGAGATGCCATCTTGGATTGAGTGAAAAGACCTTCGGAAGAAAATATAATAAATTGAATACTGCAACATCTAGCCATCAAAGCTGTGCATATCTGACAACCGGATACATAGTTTAACATATCAAAGAGAAAATATAATCGTTTGCGGATGATTACAAGGATTTATTCAACCACAACTGAATCACCGTCTCTATGTTATTCAAAATGGCGTAACGAAAAATCGGCGATAAATCCGCACAGACCGATATTTATAGATTTAGTCTAGTAAAATGCAAGAATCTGATTTAACTGCGCGGATTACAAATTAATATCGCGTTATCGTTAAGTAATTTATTAATTGTCCTCTGATTTGCAGGATCTTTCTTTCGAGGCGGTGCGGATTTTCCGACGAGCTTTACGCCGATTAAATCTTGACAAACCTCTTGTGGGGGGGTATTGTCAAGAGGCGCGTGTTTTGCAAGTTTAGAAAGAGCGGAAGAGTGCGTAGAAGCGAGTTTGAATGGTTAAGAGTGAGCATGTGTCACGAGGAAAAGGAACCCTCGGCCGAGATTCCAGCGCGTTACAAAATCTCCATTGTTTCGGAGCGAAGGAGGGAGAGGGAAAGAGCGTTGCAAGAAAGATAGAGAGAAAATGGGAAGAAAAGAGAGGGAGAGAGCGTTGCAAGAAAGAGAGAGAGAAAATGGGAAGAAAAGAGAGGGAGAGCTCGTAGGCGCCTTCCTCGTGACTTTCCACGGGAAATTGCGAAGATCCCGCACGTCCTCGTTTTTCCCACGCATCGGCGTTTTCTCCTTCTACCCTTTTTCCGCGGCGTTTCCACCGCTTCTTCGTGGAGCTTCCGGTCCGCCTCCGCGGCCGGAAGCGGATCTGCATTTTTGCGCGAAAACGGCAATTATTGGCGGCCGCTGGGGCCATTTATTCGACGGCCTTCAAGTTTCTTGCCCCCCGACCGTCTCTCCGGCCGTGACCTTGATCTTAATTTTAGAATCTGAATCCGAATATCCGTTTCTGCAGGGGCGAAAGCGACCGGCTTCAAGGGCCCTTTAAAATCCGCCTGGAAAACCCGCAAGAGATACGCGGTGAAAAAGGATTCCATCATACCGTAAAAATGATTCTTTGAATAGTGCCAGAAAAATATTTTCTAAATTCGGGGATAAATTATTTCACTCGAATGAACTCGAGTAAATTGAATGCAACATTTTTACTCGGAATGGTGGCAATTCATTCGAGTCAAAGAATTATTCTTGGAATTAAAAACATTCTTCAATACTACCCAAAGAAATATTTTTTTGGTTCGATGGATCTTTCCTTCTCCGTGTACAAATCTCCTCCTAAAACGTTTCCAAAACGTCAACCGACTTCTTATACAGGACAAGTCACGGTCCCCTCATGTCCCATCTCCGAAATCTCTTTAACTTTCTCTCGATAAAGTATCCCGGTTAATTGGCGAGTCCATTACCACGCATCCGTCGGTTCCGCGCGTTAATTCCGCGTGAAAGTGCAGAAACGCGTGCTTGAAAGCCACGTGCATTAAAGAGAAGAAAAGAAGGACACCACCTTTAGGGATTTGCGAATCCACTTTACAAAAGTGGAACCCTCTCGACTATACGACAACAAGGGATAATAAGGAATCAAACCCCGAAAGCTATACTTTCCAAGGATCTTTTATTTAAAGACTCATCTCGAGAACGGTGTATCGCTTAATTAAAATACATACATATATATATAATATATAGATTTATTTATATATTTATAGATATTTTAGTTACACACACAATAGGCGTCGCTTAGCCGCGCCTAAGACTTGGGAGTCCCGGGACTTTTTAGGTTAGGTTCGTCGGGCGACTCGGGCGGGCAGGGGGAACGCCGGGAAGGGTTGAGGGGGAGGAGGAGGAGATTTATATTACAATACATCGAGTCTCACTTTTGCGGACTTCGCCGGAGTCCGCTGTCTCACTCTTTCTCCCTATGTCGCTCTTTCTCTGTCTCTCTCTCTCCGTCTCGGCTCTTCTCGCGTGTCGCTGCGCGCGCATGCGGGCGCGTGACGTCAGAGTCACTTTCAAAGATGTCGTCGCTTCGAAAGTGATCGGGTCGCTTCCAGTCCCCTGGAGGTCGCATGCCGATCGCGCCGAGTGAAAACGATCCGGGCTCGTTACAGTCCGGATTGCGCGTCGTTTTCGCGGCCTCGCTTTTTTATCCTCTCCCCCCTTATCCTCCCTTCCCCTCGTCGCTCTTCTCTATTCGCGGAAACCGACGCTCGAGATGCACCGACGCACCTCTTGTGTTCTCTCCGCCGTTAATTGGCTGCGAGTAATTCCAAAAGGCACTCGCTCTTCCCCTTCGAATAAGGATTTCCCGCCGAATACGTTAAAATGCGCGTCGGTTTTACCCTCGAGTTTCTTCTCTCTTATTTTTTTTTATCACCCCACCGACGCCATGACACTCGGGGATTATTATCATCACGCTAAGCCTCGTGCTATCCGACCCTGACTCGAACGACAGTCGATATCTCCCCGTAGGCGACCTTGAGACCGATCGATACCCGATGGAATATTCGCGAAATTCCCTCCTGAATGTGCAATGCGGATACTCTACGACTCTAGCTGTTTTTTTCTATTTTTTTTTTAGATTTTTTAGAGGACGCCTTCGCCTACTCGTAATGGCCGCCGTTAGAGACGTTTCGTAATGGTAGGTTTCTTTTCCCTTAGTTTTGGGATGATTCTCGATTTATGGAGGGAGTACCTTGCAAGATCTGTTTCGCTGCTTGGAAAGAGCTCGATGTCGGTTATAATGTCCACTTGAAAGAATGATTGATAGGAGGAATCGAAAAATTCGATCCTAGCGGGGAACGCGTAATGGCCGCCATTGGGGACTTGGGGATACAAGGCGGTTTCCCTTTCTTTTTGGGTAAATTTGAGATTTTCTGAGGGGAAACCTTGCAAGATCTGTTTCTGTACTCAAAAAGAGCTCGGTGTTGGTTAAAATGTTCATTTGAGAGACTAATTTATGTGCGGGGAAAGAATCGAGAAATTCACCCCTTACGAGGGACGCGTAATGGCCGCCATTAGAGACCCCTTGATGGAGGTAGTTGCTTTGCCTTCTGTTTTTTTTTCTTTTTTATAGGTTTTTCGATTTCGAGCGAGGGTACCTTGCCTACTCGGACCGAGCCTTGGTGTCCACTCGAAAGTCTGGATGTCCCGTCCAGGTCCTACAAGACGTCGAAGTAGGTTTTAGGAACGACTGGGACGACCTGACCGAGGATGGGGGACGAAGAAGTGCACCTCAGGGGACGACGTCGCGGCCCGGGGACTCCGTGTGTTGCGTCGGGCGTTTCTTGGGTGAGAAAAGAGCGACTCAGACGAGGAACCACCGAGAGGACGGGACTTCGTGGGGCCTTAGAAGAATCCATCGCCCGTGGGGTCGTTCACCCAGGGATAGTTGTTGGGGCAGCGCACGCAGGTCTGCAGATTGATGGTCTCCCCGGGGACCTCCTTGGAGGTGAGCTTGCACGTATGGGGCACCCAACACGCGGGGGGTCCATCGACCACACACTTCTCCCTCCAGGGCTCGAAGTTCTTGGATTCCGTCACGGTGCGGGGGTTCTGGATCCATTGGATCACCTGGGTCATCGTCACGAAGTACACGTCATTGTGGTTCGCCAGGACCTCGTCGATCCAGTAGAGGAAGGCGTCCAGGAATTCGGGATTGTTCTTCAACCAGGCTGCGTGGAAGTACAGACCCAGAGGAGCCCGATTCTGGTCGTAGTGGCGCTCGAAGTTGTGGGTCAGGAAGTTGTAAAACTGGTCCCCGGTCAGGATGTTGCTGCAGGAGTCCACCATGGCACAACCCGGTAGGTACTCGTCGTTCTGGGGGTCCTCCCTGCGGTCCAGCTCGTTCATCACCATCTCCCAAACCGCGTGGGACCTGGGGAAAAGAATTCCAGGCACCGAGTTGGGTGGTTATTCCGATAACCTGGGTCTTGGAGAACCTTCGAGTTCGAATCCCCTCATCAATCTCTAAGCCCTGGATCTCACCTTGTCGGGCAGTGTTGCAGATTTCCGTGACACCGGTGGGGCATCCTGAAGTACATGGTGTATGGCCAGAGCGGTGGGTTGCTCAGGGCTGATGTGATGGTGGAGTCGTACAGGAAGGCCTGCTCCTCCATCATGGTGAACTGGTTGTTTCCACCCACACGCAGATAGGGTGCTCGCACTCCCACCACACTATTATCTGTCAGGTTTGCGTACTTCTCGGCGATGATCCTCATGCCGGCCATTTCCTTCGCCCAGTCGTCGACCGTGGCGTCCGACCAGAAGCGCTCATCGTCGTTGTGCCTGAAGAAGCGACACAAAACAATTCCACGTTACATGACAATCTTTTTGTTTGAAGAACGGAACCACACACACGACGACGAGCAAAATGAATGGCCTCGGTCTTGCACTTTTTGCGCCGGCAAAATCAATTTCACTCATCCCTAACTTCAGGTACATCTTTGTACTCACGAGATAGAGTGCACCGCAATCTCGTGGCCCTTCCTGTGCATCTCCTGGACCGCAGAATAGTTAGTATATTTGTGGGACACAAAGAAGGTCGCCTTGATGTCGCAGCCGTTCGGGTTTTTCCTCTTGCCGTTGAACATCTCCTTGTAGAGGCCGATATTGTTGTTGTTAATGGCATCGTCGAAGGTGATGGTGATCATCTGGGGCACATCTTTAGGTGGGAGGTCTCCTGGGACCGTGGTGCCATCCTCTGAGCAGAAGCAATCAGGAAGGACACACACTGCAGGGTCGCAAGGTGGAGCTCTGTTAGGGTCGTTGTCCATATCTGCAAGGAAAGATAACCTTATCATAAAACTTCGACTTACCAGATTACTAGAAATTAACCTTTTTGTATGAAGGTTTAATGGGTGTTTTCCTTTGTTTAGGATAAAAGTAGACTCACCACAGGTGTTCTCGTCGGATCCGTCACTGCAGTCCTTTTCTCCGTTGCAGAAGAGACCCCTTTCGATGCAGCTTCCGTCCCCGCAAGCCAGGTAGCCATCTTGGCAAAGTGGCTCATCGGTGTAGAGCAAAGGCTTAGCTTTCCTCTCCTTGTTCTTCAGCTTGCAATTGTCGACCGCGTCCTTCCAGTCGCAGGTTTGCTTCTCTATGTCGAAGTACAGACCTGCTGGGCACCTGATGGCCTGCAGACCCGAGCTGGTGCATTGTATGACATCTCGACAGTTGTCACCCTCTCCGGCTACCAGGCGAAACCATTCGCCGGCGTCCTTGTCCTTGCAGATCTCGCTTTCGAAGCTCTCCTCCTTTTTCTCTTCCTGACGCTTCACTCTCGACAAGTTCTCTGCAACCAAACGATCTGGACGTTAATTACAGGCGAATCGCAATTTTGGAAATAATTCTCCTCTCCTCGGAAATATTTCACCACCTACCCCTGCAGTACCAACAATATCCAAAAGTGAACATTGCAACCAAATTCACGTATACATATTTTTAAGTCGTTTTGAAAAATTGACAGAATTTCGCCGCATGCTAAAATCGGTTAATCGATAAATGTTTAGGTACACGGGAAAGAGGATTTTCTCATAGAAAAAAAATAATTCTTGTCACTCGGAAAACCAAGATGGCCGCCAAGAGGCGACAATCGCCCGGGAGATTTGAATCGTTCTTGGTTGGTAACAATGACATTTCTATATCACGTAAACTCATGAAATTGTCGGACGTAACGATTGGACGATTCGAATATTTCCTGCCATGTCGCGAAATATTTTTTGGATTGTTTTAGGACTCGAGTCGATCTCCGGGAATCGCTTGGCTGGTGTCAAATCGAAATCGTTTGTCGGTGGAATATAGGTTTTCGAAAGTTGCTGATCTCGCTCTCGGCACTCTCCTCCTTTTTCTCTGGCCGTTGCTTTACGTATCTCGAGTACACTCTGCAAAGAGAGTCCGCGCGTCTTGGCCGAGAAATTCGAGGCTCTTCGCCGCCATCTTGGAAAACGTGAAACCCTTCGTCGCGGCCTCGGCATCCTTGAACGTTGATATTTCCCCGTCACCGTACACGCGTGCGCAAAGTGGAAGGTTTCCACGACATCAAAGAGGGATGAAAGCGAGAAAAAGTGTAAAAAAAAAAGAGCCCGACGATTAGACGAGGACGCCAAGAGCGGCGCCCGGCGCCCGGCGTCCAGGTTTCAGATAGAGGAGAATTTTCCGGCGATTCTTCCCGTTTGGCAATTGAACTCGCTCGGCTGCAGAGAAAGTTACGGCGACCGCTGTACCTCGTTAGAAACCGAGAAAGTACAAGGTACAAACGTTGCGCACGAGGGTTGTATAATTACATTGTCAACGGCCGCGCCGGCTCGTCGGCCATTTTGTGTAACGCGCCGCTCGTAAAACACCTAGAGTCTGCTTTTTCCAGATATCTAAAACGCGGATCGCCGTTTCCGCAATGCCTAATGGATAGCTCGTACGGACCTCTAGGATTATCAATGACATTCTATTTGTGCAATTCAGTAATGACCGCGCGTAAGTAGAAAATACCAGGTTAAGGCGTCACTTAACTCGGAGACTGCGTGCCACGTTAACGGACTGCCATGAGAATTCCTGGAATGCCGAGTGAGCCTTTAACGCGGCTGTCATTTCTCGCATTGGGTAAATTAAAGAGAACCAGATGAAGCAAGAAAAAAAATTAAACGGCACCCCCAACTCATATAAAAATCAGTAGAGCCAGAAATGAACGATGAAAGATGTCCAGCGTCTCTGTACGACTTCCACCGACTTAATAAAAAATTAAACATCCATTCCAGCGATGCACGTCGTAAAATTTCTCGCATGGGATAAATTAAAGAGAACCAGAAGAAGCAAAAAAAAATTAAACAGCATTCGCAACTCATATAAAAATCAGTAGTGCCAGAAATGAAGGATGAAAGATGTCCGGTGTCTTATCGTACGACTTCCATCCAGTTAAAAGAAATTAAACGTCCGTTAGGGCGATGCATGTCGTAAATAGACTCGGCGACGAGGCCCGTGAACTTGTCTGAGACGCAACCGCGGCTTTCGATGGGACCTCCTTATGTAGAAATTCCGCCCAGAAGTCGTTTTAATGGAAAATAAATTCGTTATTCAAAGAGGACTGTGATTTAAATGACGGTAAGGCCGAATCGTTTAAACGAACTTCGGGCCCCGAGACGAAATCCCGTTTGCGGAATCGTCAGGGACGAGATCTCTCGCTGGTGATATTAATATTTTTGTTTTTCGTCCCCCTTCCCTGCCGACTCTCCTTCCCACGCGATCGACAGGGAAAGTTGTCCCCACCGTCGTTGGGCCCGGGGCCCGACAGTGACGTCAGCCATCCGGGACCGACTGGCCCCGGCGGGCCCGCGAGGCTTTCACGTTCTAATGCCTTATGCAACTGTCGTCACCGGACCCCGGGCCCGATAGCTCCAATGGGCCCCGAGAGGAATCCCGTGGACAAGAGGGGCCCGCTGGGTGTCGGGCCCGGTTTCCGGGACCCTGGGGAGCCGACTCGATAACGACACCCCTTGCGCAATTCGCAGATACTGGAGATCTGCCGTCATTTTCCAAAGGGCCCAAAATTTGGGACCGATGTGAAGTTTAAAAAGGATTTTGGTGCTTTTGATGCTCATTCTCCGTGCCCGGAAAAATAAAAATAAGGGACTCGATAACGACACCCCTTGCGAGATACTGGAGATCTGCCGTCATTTTCCAAAGGGCCCAAAATTTGGGACCGATGTGAAGTTTAAAAAGGATTTTGGTGCTTTTGATGCTCATTCTCCGTGCCAGGAAAAAAAAATAAGGGACTCTATAACGACACCCCTTGCTCAATTCGCAGATACTTTGACGTTACTGGAGATCTGCCGTCATTTTCCAAAGGGCCCAAGATCTGGGACTGATGTGAAGCTTAAAAAGGATTTTGGCGCTTGTGATGCATACTTTCTATGCCCCGGAAAAAAAATAAGTGACTTGATAAGGACACTTCCGTTGTAATTCGCATATATTCTGACGTTCCTGGAGATCTACCGTCATTTTCTAAGGGCCCAAGATTTGGGACTGATGAGAAGTTTAAAAATGGTTTTGATGCATATTTTTCGCACTCTGGAGAAAAAATTAAGTGACACGATAATGACCTTACGACGACGAGAGATCCGTTGTGCAATTTGCATCTGCTTTAACGTTACTGGAAATTTTCTACCGTAATTTCTTAACGAGAGAAGCGACAAAGTGATTTGAACCTGCTCGATGACGAAGCCCCGGAGATGAGACTTAACGTAATCATCGACCTCACATTGAACTCGACAATGCATTCCTCTCTCCGTTGACGGAAAGTTTCGTGTCAAGGCTTTCCCGAGAACGTATCGATAGATCGATCACCAAGGGGGGTGAATTTTTTCCCCGCGTCATCGAGTGATTCCTTTTTTTCCCTGTCGATGATCTCGAACGTGGAGAGTGGAGATTGGCTCGAGAGATCGATCAGGTTTCAAGGATCGACCCCCTTCGCCCCGATTTCCTGGATCAGATTGATATCACGTTACCGCGTAACTCTTAATCCCAAATTACGGAGTTCTGTGAGATCGCCTCTATTGTCCTAATTACTTTTGCTTCACGCAACATCGAGCCATCGAGCGAAAAGACTCGATTGTCTCGAAAACATTTATACATTTTAAATGTTCCTCATTGTTTTCCGCGCATTGTTGCAGTCTTTGTTGATCCTGCTGATTCATTATCTCCTATACATCCGTCTTGACTCCTGGCTTTCACCGAACAAAGAAAATGCCTAAACCTTGGAGAAAACCGCACCATAATCGGTGAAAAAAGAAATAAGGAAATCAAGGAAAATTACTAAAGGATCAAGATTTGTCCTATTAGAAAGGGAAAAAAAATCAAACTAGTCCCTCTTCGTCATACATCTTCAGGGACCCGATTCTCGAGTTCGTACGATCAACTTTCGCATGCTTCATACAAGACTTTCGAATGCTGACCAGCGACTTCGCAACAATGGAAAATTTTGCGATGCGAATCCGTTCGCACGTTAAAAAAATCCGCATGAACACCCTCGGTCAACTTTCGCATGTGAAATTAACATCTATTGTGTAAGAGTTTCAAATGTTGACCAGGGATTTCGCAAGAATGGAAAATTTTCCGTGCTAAAGGGAAAAGCCCGCGTGAACTCTAGAATCGGGTAAGGCGAGATGAGGAGTTCGAAAGACACTTTGGCGGTACCATGTACGTATTTCAATTCATGTTATCTAATCACTGATGGTGAATTTTACCATCTTCTTGTCCACCGCACTTATCGGGGTATTCATGAAGGTACTTATCAGTAGATTGGCAGGTACTCACCAGCTAGTGCCACGGCCGTGAGCAGTAGCAGCAGCAGGCAGGACCTCATCCTGTCGACCTCGAAGGGGACCCACTTTGGACCTCTGTTATCACTTTGGGTCGTCCTCGAGGATGAACCTTCCGACCTACCCGACCTGCACTTCCGACTCGACGAGGAAGCGCGCGCGCCCCTCTTTCCGGTCTCTTCCCTCTCAAAATTCACTGAAAAGTCGCGATTACTCGGGCTCCTACTCACCGCTTTGGGACTGGCAAGGCGCGCCACTCACTGGGCCTTATATTGCCACCTCCACCGCCCAATAAAGCCCCTTCTTATGGGGAAGGCCCCTTCTTGCCGTGCCTCCACCTCGACACCTTAAGGTGGAGTCGCGACTCCTCCGGGATGCCATCGGGGCGCCTCCGACACTAGGCCCGGTCCTGCAATGCCACATTCGGTATATTAATACCTCACCCTACTACACGAGCGATATACCGCGAATTCATAAACGACATACATCATTTCTACCGACATTCCACGGTCCCACTCCAGGGCCTCAACCTTTCTCGAAGCCATTCGAAGATTTCCGGAAAACACGGAAACTCGGGAAAATCAACGCTCCTTGTGGTCCGATCCACTTTTACCACGGTACAACATCGGTAGAGGAGTACGAGACGAGGGCAACGGTCCTAATTAAATAACTTTTCGATTACCCCTTCGCGAGATATTGCGATTCAAAGTGGAGCTCCTTTGGGGTGCCCCACTTTGAACTTCGATATTTCCGGACTGGGAAGTCGAAATGTCGCTTATTTCGGCTCGTTCGATTCGGTTCGAGCTGGGCTCTGATATCGGGGGAAAGGATTAAATTAGAGGAGGGAATTATGCGGTGGAGACATTTTTCCTTGACGGGTGGCAGAGGTACTTAAGGGGTCCATGATTCAACAGATTTTGGTATTCTACAATCTCGTGCGACTTAGTGCGGCAATTATCTCCAGGGGGGAGGGGGGGCTGAAATTGGTCAAAATCAGCCGGTAAAAGAGTACTTTCACATTACCTTAAGCTACAGCCGTTCCAAATAACTTCGAAAAAATATCCCGTCGTAAGCAACCGTCTGTTCTGCATCGACAGCGAGCGGCACCTCGGAGGCGGCAATAAATTTCATTTGAAAATGAAAAAGTAAAAATGACACTCCTCCTCTATAATGATTTTTTAATAAGAGGGTTTAAATATCACCGGCAAGACCGTGTATCTAAGACCCATCGGTATTTATAGTCATCTCAGAATTCCCGTTTTCACAAGAAAGAGAGGCCTCTGATGAGAATGTCTCGCGGTATTTAAAATGAGCAATCACGTGATTGAGCGGTTGTTACTCAACGAGGACAACTTAAACGAGGAGAGTCACGGGCGATTATGTCCCGTAAACATCACCGTAAAGAATTACACCTACCGCTGTAACGGGGTTCGCGTGAGGCCTCTCCTTATCCTCCACCTCCGAAGCTAAATCGCTATCGGCGTGCAATTTAATTAATCGATCTACCTGGATTAATTAAGATTTTTCCTCGATTTCGGCAGAGATTGCTCCAAGCGATGCCTCTCGAAAATCGAGACACGTGCCCGTCGAGGTCGAGGCGTTGCAGCATCGCGGGTAAATGTCAGACGAGGGTCCGGGATTTTGGCGGAGATCCGTGACGCTTCTCTCGAATTAAACCCTCTTTCCCCTCGATGAGGTTGTCCACCTCTGGACTAGGTGCTTGTCTTTTTTCTTTCTCGCCTTTCTTCACTTCTACGTAATCGCCGATCCGGTGTCAGGGTGCCGGGCACGCTCCGGTTGGTTCCTGGTGAAAAAGAAATTCGGTAGAATTGGAGCCGCCAAATGCGGATTGGCTTCCGCGATTGAGGAATGGCGTGACCTGAGGATACCTGAGTCGTCATCGAGTCATTTCCTGATCATACGGGGAGATGGAGGTATCGCGGAAGTACTATCTCTGCATATTGCCTGGCATATGCGGCGAGAGTTCGTTAATAACGGGGAACGATTTCAGAGAGGTGTAAGGTCAGGATTCCATGGAGACGACCCTCTACAAAGTGTATACTCGAAGGCGGTAATGCAACCTCTGGGATTCCTTTAAAAACCTCTGAAATAATTGCGCCACGGCGTTAAAAATAAAATCATCAGGATTTTATCATATTTTTCTTGGAAGTGTTACTCGTTATTGATTTTATAGAATACTTACAACAAATTTGTTAAGTGCGTTGTAAATTTAGGACATGTGTATTAATTTTCCTATGTCATTTTAGAATATTGTAACTTGATTTATTCACACGTATCATATGCAGAATGTATCAATTTGATAATACCGGAAAAATTCCTGGAAAAATGATGCCAACGATTTAATGTGGAGAATTACCGAATAGGTTAGGAAATTGTTTACAGGAGTCTCCTTGATATTCGGGGAGCGGGATGCGGATTTCTCGGCGGGAATAGTGCGGCCCTGCGTGACATATGTCATGCCGGTGAAAGGAAAGAAGAAGCTGCCCGACTGCGATTCGAAGACTCCGTCGAGGTGCTTTCCCTGCCCGCGGCCAATCACGGCTCGCCGATTCCTCGCCACTGTCGCGACATCTTGCGACTCTTCGGTTAATTCGAAAAGATCGACTCGATCGATAAAAGAGAACGCTGTTCGGCCGATCCGAAGAAAAAATACCGAGTACCGACCGGCGAGGATCGGAAATCCAAAATGGCCGTTCAAGAAAGCGACGCTCGTCCAAGAGAGGCGCCACTGAACAAGACCGTTGGTCGTAATCATATCTCGATAAATTCACGGAATACAAACAATATCGTCCATTAACATATAAATTTAATTGCATTTATTAATAGTTTTGTTAAATTGATCTTGTTAAAGGGTCAGCGAGGATCGGTAATCCAAGATGGCCGCTCAAGGAAGCGACGCTCGCTTAATAGCGTCATCATTACTACATATCAAAAAATTCACAGAATTCAAACGATATCCATTGATATATATACATGTCACCGTAGTTATTAATAGTTTTGTTAAATTAAAGACGATATTCAATTTTACGAATTAATCGGCAACGCCTTAATGTGTAAGAATTAGCGCATCATGTGTGTACATAGAAGAGTGAAAGCAATTATTTAGCGATGGTTTAAGTTTTTTACGACTTCAATTTCTTCCATCTCGACCCGGTGAAGGTTTTCCATTTTCCCTCGTATTTCTTTCCGGCAACGAGGACAAGGGCGAGTCGCGTAATGGCCGTTGGGAATCTAATGATTATTCGTATCCGATAACGCGGTGGGCTTAAGCTTAGGCTTAAAGGATTGCGTTACTCGCGAAGAGTGTCTGAAAGTAGAACCGCCCAGTCGGAAAAGTCGAGTTGAATGCAAAAATGTATCTAAATTGCGGGGGCCATTAGCGCGTAAGATAAATATCGCGCATGAAAATGGCGACATCTCTTCGTTCGATAAACCGGAGGTTTGGTTGTAGATGAAGTTCTCGTGCGCGAGAGGTCAAGACCGAAAACCCCCCTTCGCGCTGATTTCTTTACGTCCCACAGTTTTTTCTCGGTTTGAACTTGAACTACAAACTGTTGCACATTCGGGCTTTATAAATATTCCGAGCACGCTTCGCGGCCGACATTGGTCTACTTTATGCACCCGAGGCTCGCCTCGTCCGATACATTTTTCAACGGCCACAGAAAAATGCATCGTTCCATTTCTCACCCGGAGAATCGGGCGATGAGAACGGCCGCCATTTTGGCCGACTCGCTGCTCCGACTGGAATTTTCAGCCCGATTTAAAACGCTAATTTCAAGTTGTACAGGAATCGAAAACGGTGAAAAAGGGCTTCGGAAGGGCGAAGAAAAGTATCTGCAAAGGGAATATTTCTCAGTCGGGAAATGCATCGCTTCATTTCTCAGCCCAGCGGAGAACTGCACAACGAATGAAGGAGAATGGCCGCCATCTTGTTCGATTAGTTATTCCGCCTCGAGTTTTTAGTCCAGCTTAAAACCTTCATTTCAGGGTGTATCGAAATTGTAAAGGAGGAAAAAGGGAAAAGGGTGAATAAAATATTTCCCAACCCCCCAACTGACCTTTCTCTGAGCGTTCGGACGCACCCTTGCGTCACTGCAGCCTTCTGGATGGAGTCACGGTCACTCGTTCGGTGTCAGTTTATTTTATCCCGAGGGTTGTTCGCCACGAGAGGATGCATTTTTCATCGATCCTTACATACCTCCTTCCATATTGTTCCACCGTCCTCTCCTTCGGCCTCTCTTTCTCATTAAAAATGCGTCGGGCGCAAGCTCGTGCATCTGGAAATTGCACCCTCTTTACGACAGCCCTGTCAGGCGTTTGCTTTTAGTATTCCACCGGCCTCTCTCTCATCTCACCCCTTTTCCCCCTCCTGGGGGATAAATAAGAAGGAGATGGAAATATTTTCCTGTCCCTTTTAATTTCCCGTCCTTAAAAGTCCTCCACTCGGAATTTCAGTTTGGCAATCGAAACTCACCCCAGTCTCCCTTTTTACCCCCCCGACGGATTAATTCGATCGAGGGAGCAAATAGCGACCCGCGATTTTTATCGTATCCACTTATCGCGACCTTTTCCGACGTTTCCGCACCCGGTGGGACACGAAAGAAACCTAAAATTTCAGGAACAACCACCCTGGGAGAAAAGTTTAATCAAACCAAAGAAATATTCTATAAATCCATAGAACAATTATTTCACTGAAATAAACTCGAATAAATTGAATGCAACGTTTCTTAGGAATATGACGATTTATTTGAGTTTATTCAAGTCAAATCATTACTCTTTGAATTAACGAAATGTTTCTTCGGTAATATTCAAAGATATATTTATTGCGACGACAATCAGCATTTCCAAAGAAATGTCAGTGTTGAGTAAACAACATTCGTTTGAATCATCCATTTTTCTTCTCAATAAAATAATTATTTTTTGCAATGATGTATCATCCAGGCAACAATATATCTTTCTTCCAGTCAACTAATCTTTTTTTTCTCAGCGTAGTCTTTCATATGAAAACTCGGTACTTTTACACGGTCTCCGCTGATAAGGACTGATATTGAAATTCCGGGGTGCCCTAAAAGGCGAAACGCGTCTTTCCCTTGAGATTCGACGATATGGGGTGGGTCGATACATTCGAGGGTGAGCCGCAGGGAATTTCTTCCCAGGGGGGTTTAATTCGAATCGAACTTCCCGAAGGAATCCGGCGAGGCCTGGAATCGATCAGGCTTGATTTACCGTGAAATAGAAATCGGGGGAAATAATTAAACTTCGCCCCTCGGTCGCGAAATTAATTTTCTAATTTTTATGAACACCAGTTATGCTATTAATACGTCATGAATATTAGTTTTGTCCATCGCGTATGGATCTGGGGCAGCATTGGAATAAGTTGCTGCATAAGTACGCGAAGAAATTCGTAAAGGTACAAAAGTACTTTCTCTTGCAGCGAAACGATGTTTAATTAAAGATTAAAAATAGCCTCGATAAAACACATTCGGACTTGTTTAACAAAATTTTAAAATCGTGCAATTATCCATCAAGAAAATCTGCAGCGAGGAATTTATTTCGCGAAACTTATGGAACGACCTAATACACGATTTCCTCGATTTGTTCGCAAGGTGTGCTACGCACGGCTTTTTCGCAAATGAGATTGCGTTGCCGAAGAGCAGTACTCGACCTTTCCTCTTGGAGTACTCGATCGGTACTTCCGTAGCACGACTTTCCGATACGTATCACGACCCACCAGCCACGTGTCTATTCCCTCGCGAGGCAGCGCTGCAGCATTAAAGCGCCATTAATAGCGTTTTTTTTTTTTATTTAGCCCCCGCCCAGAGCGCAGGATCGACCTTCCCCCTAACTCGCCCATTCTTTTCTTCAAATCGTATTCTGATCGATTTTCCAATTTGCCCCGATTTCTGAATTTCGACGTCCCCCACCCCCAAAAAAAACATCATTGAGCTAAAGAAATACTCTGTAAATTTAAAGGATATTTATTACACAGAAATGACCACAAAAATAATTTATCCTAATTTCTGAAATGCAGCATCGATTTTATTCGGGTATATTCGAGTGATATCATAATTCTTTATTTTTAATTAATATAACATTTGTTTCAATGAAACTTTCTTTCTCGGTGTAGGATAAGAGGGGTAATTTCGAGTTGAGTCTAAAATAATTCGTCATTGATTAGGGTTCCCTTACGACATATACGAAGGCCCGTGCGTGCCCGACAAGGGAGGCGACAGTGCCGGTCGGAATTTAGGGGTAGGTTCCGGGGTAGGCTCCAGAGGTAGGCACCCCTCTCGGACTCGCACGCGACGGCTCGCTGCTCACCTGTCGCGCCTTCGACTTGGGATCGATTCCCCTGGATCGGCCGCGGGGGACCGCCGGCTGCAAGGGGCGAGGGGCGCGGCGGCGACCTTGACCTAGGGGTAGTCCTCGCGCCGGCGTCGCGGCCTCGCCCGCTGCCTTCGACGCGCCCTCTCCCTCGCACTCGGGATAGGGGCCTCGCTCGGTCTCTCTCGTACTCATGGTGGTAGCCTCGCTGCCTCTCCCTGGCTCTCGCTCGGTCGCACTCGCTGTCCCTCTCGCCCTCGCGGGGATGGCCTCGTTCCTTCTCTCTCGCTCTCGCGGTAAAAGCCGAGCTCGCTGCCTCTCGCCCGCATGGGGGAGTCGCGCTCCGTCTCTCTCGCGGTTGCGGCGGTCGCCTCTCTCGCTCTCTCTTTCTCGCGCGCCCGCATCCCGCGGGGAGAGAGGAGGCGCGACCCCCTCGGTGCGAACGGGCGGCCGAGCGACGCACCGCGCAGTCCGCCGCGAGCAGCCGCCCCCGGAGGCCACCCCGAGCGGGCGCTCCGCGACACTCGCCGCTGTCCCGCGCACTCCCGCGACATCCCGAGAGCGAGCTGCCCCACACGGCCCGGGCCTGCCATGCGTCCCGCGGCGGAAGCATGCAGGTGCGTCGGTGAGCTTCCTTTACGGGTCATTTCCCTGGAAGCAACATCGTTATTCCTATAAATACAATTTAATCACATCCATCTATAAAATACGAAAAATGGACAGGGTAATTTAACTCGGAACTTAAGGTAGTAATTCAACATTTTGCCACCTGTACGCCAAGTATCAGCTGACAAGATTTAAGAGGTGCTTTCGTCCAACTTTCATCGATTTTTTGTAAAGAAGAAAAAAAAATTATCTCAACTATTCTGTAACTGAAAAGGGTAACAAGAATGTACTTAGTGACGATTCTTACATCTTAAAGAATTTACAGCAGATTTGTATCTACCACTGGTACACTGAGAAATAGTCATTGAAGCAAGGAAATATTTTTGGACTCGAGCTCGAATAAATTGGATACAACGTTTCTTCGGAATTCTGACAATTTATTTGAGGTTGAGTGAAAGAATTATTTTTCAAGTTAACAAGATATTTCTTTGCTCTTCTTTTTCTCTGGGTACTAGGGCATCGATTTTATCACTTTATCACGGGATTTCGAGATGGCGAGGTCGATACATTAGGGGCACTTAGAAATTCGGTGCCGTAACCGGGACTCGGTATGAAGCTTCTGTTTGCAAAGAGCGGCCCTCGGGTGGAACTTTCTGCTCCCTCCGCGGGGGGTCGCTTCTCTGTTTGTCCGCGCATATGATGCAGTTGCACCCCCGGAGGGGTAATATCGTTATTGAAGCTCACTTTCGAACTCGTCCGAGAGCGTCATACAGTATCGATGCAGGGACTTCGCACGCTGCATCTGTTGCATCGGGGTTCACTGACTCTGCGATAGTTTCCAGACTGGATTTAATCGATAATCTAGGTTATCTGTACGCCCGGACCTCCGCGAATTGGTTCCGCGGTTATTAATTTGGTCATATCCCGGAGAGACAATCGATCCTAAGACCCGATATCAGCCAATATCAAAATAAACAATCGATCGATGCACGCGAATCCACTCAAGATCGTATTCTCTAAGCACACTCGTCACGCGATCCCGCGTTTCCCAACCACGATCAATCATAATGAAATAAAAATACTAAAATTCCTGGAAGATATTTCCTCGATAGATTTTCTATGTTGATAGGAAGATTGTGAATTTCAGAAACCACTGAGAGAGTTGGGCCGGCTATGCCTGAGTGCCAGCGAGCAGGGCGTCGGGACGGACGTCTGTTCCGAGGGTCGCGGTGCTCTGCCACTTCTTCAGGTGATGGGCCGAATTAAATGTCGATGGGCAATGGGTAATAACGTCTGTAAATCTTGGTAGGTGTGGCCCAGTGACTCGCCGAGAGGCGAGGCCGATGGCCAGGCGCAGGCTTTCCTGTTCCCGGACAACCAGGAAAACGTCAATGACAGTGGCATCGAGTCGATCCAGGTGGGTAATATTTTTCCTTGGGGGAGAATCATTTATAACTGAGCGTATTATGCTTATGTATGCATTTATATATACCTGAGATTAATATATAAATAAAAAAAACACCCGTCGAAGGCGTCGCCGTCTCCCTGCGGGGCAGCCTGCAGCAGCCCCGTCGCGACGCCGCAGCAGTCGCGAAGGCCTAGCCTACTGCACCCTGACCACGCGAGGCTGCACCTCCACCACCTGTATCATCATCACAATGGCCTGCCGAAAAGTCCACCCTCTCCCGATAAAGGATCCATCGACGAGGAATTGCCTCCTGCGCCGCCCAGTCCCTCCAGCTCGACCACCAGCAGTCTGCGATCCATGCCCAGCTCGGCGATGGCCTCGCTGCACTCCCAGGACCGTCGACAGAGCAGCAGGTTCCTAGATAACAGAGGAATTGATATGCAGTCTCGTTGGAATTACTTTTTATGTCGAGATCCTGTAGAAAATGGGAACCTTCGTGGCATTGTCCTACCCTGAGAAAGGAATTCCATCGAGCCTAAGAATAGTACCAATGAGATATTTTATTAACTCCAAGAATAATTGTTTGACTCGAGTAAATTAGATCCAACGGTGATTAGCGATTATGGCAATTTATTTGAGTTAAATTGTTATTCTTGGAAAAATGATAATGTTTTGTTTGAACGGTAACATTGGTATTAGGGTATTTGTTTCAGGCAATTAATCGTTTTCTTAGTGTAAGGAGAGGTATTTTCAGGTACAGTGTCTTCGATGCCCTGGATCTGGAGTACGCTCTGCTGCGAGCCGCTGCCAGGGGCTCGGTTGGTCCTTACTCTCTGTCGGAGTCCTTGCACAAGCTGACGTTCACGCAGAGTCTGGCTTTTCCTGCCCTGGCTAGGGGTCTGGCTGCCAAGCAGGGCGTGCCCACCAGGAGGCCCGAGCAACACGCCGAGAGCGGCCTCAACGCCTTCGCCAAAGTCGTCACGGCCCTCGTCCTCATGCTCGTCAGCGTCCTCGTGTTCGGTGTCGTGTATAAATTCGTCAGGACGTGAGGATGGCTGCTGGTGCCCGAGCAGCAGGGTCCTGGACAGGACCTGCATCGCGACCAAGCTCAGGGTGCCAGCCATTGATTATTAAGATTATTCCGACATTTTTCTAATTCAAGGATCTGGAGATGAAGGGGTTCTTCAAGGACCTCTCATAGGAAAAGAGACCCAACTGAGTTTTCTGATAAAATGAGACAATCCCCGTAAAGTGATGTCTGACATGATTCAAATGACTTATCCGGGTGATATCGATTATTATATGGAACTAACCGTGGAAGTGGTCTAGGGACTTTTGTCGAGACTTTTTCAAAAAGTGAGGACGATCTAGGGCCGCTGTATTTTTCAAAATACTGTACAACGAGACTTGCTCGAGGTTAGAGGTTAAGGTTGGCGATGGTGACCTCGCTTAAATCTGCCGCGCTTGATTCTTATGGCATTTCGGTATGGAGAAATTGGGGGATACCTTTGAGATCTAGGGGATGTTCACTCGGAAATCCCTGAAAATGATTTCCTCCTTTGAGAAACGGTTGCCTTTGATTTCGCATGACAAATGACAACGTGATTTGGTAATAAGTGATGGCCCTAAAATTGTGCAAGCTCTTTTCGGCGATTTAAAAAAGATTTCCTGCGATTTATTGTCAAGTTTCCAGATGATTTTTGGGGGGATTTCGCGCATTGAGATTCATGATTTCACGAGTGAATAATTCCTACGAAATGCGGCATTGTGCAATGATCATTTGGCGGGGAAATAAGTGTCGCCTATGTAAGTTTCGAAATCCGAGGCCTCGCGGAGAGCTTCGGAAAGCTTCGGAAAGCTCCAAGTGCTTTATTCTTCTCGATGACAATCGCGCTATAAGCATATATATATGTATATATAATAATTATCGAGACTCTTGCGCATTTTACTACACAAGTAATCGCGATTTCCTTTGCATCCGACTGAGAATGCCCTTCTCGAGTTAGCTTCGCATTGTCCGGCGGGCCTTTGTAAACTTTTAAGAGGGACATTTTTAATCTAACGAGCCCGACTCTTGGGAGATGAAAATTGTGGAAAATCCGACGCCGAGATGGCGACTCGAAAAAAAGAAAACGTCCATATCCTCGGCATCCCCTCGCCTCTATTAAAAGTATCTCATCGATGGCGTTACTATGAAATAAAATGTCAAACATTTTATCTCACATTATATCATCATTCCGGAAATTACCGGATGTCGAGAAATTGGGACGTTTGAGCCGCCGCTTGTGCAGGTTTTCCCGAGGATCATTAACAAAAATATTATACAGGGTATCCGACTGTGGTGATCCGACCTCGAATTAGAAATCATCTTCCCGAGGGAATCACGACGAGCTCACATAGTAATTACCTTTGCTCGTTCTAATTATTAAATGAGGAAATTGAAATTCCGATGGTGCTCGCTGATTGCATCGGGGAAGTGATTTTAAGGGACGCATGATTTCCCACGAAACATATATTTTCAACGATTGAATTCTTAAGCGTCGTTCCGTTTGGACGAATTAATATTCCACTTTGTACACTATCCTGTTACGCTTCCTTACTCGATAAATTAACGTTGCATATTAAGGATATTTTTATTTATAAGGAAAAACACTCTCTCGCCTACTTGTACTGCGGAGGATTATTTGAGTGTAATAAAGGGATTCCGTTTTCTACGTTTTCTCTCCGAGTCGAGTTTAGCGTTAAATTAATTGTCAATAACTTATAGAAAAATCTGTGATTTTTTCTTTTTTTTTTTTTTTTGATTGTACAGATAGTGGATGTGTACTCACGTGGTGGGCGCATTTCCTTGTCGAAGTTTGATATTTCCTGTTATTGCAAAATTCGGGATAACAGGGGATGAATCGGTAGAACAAATAACAGGACATCGAATCATTTTTATCTGCCGTTTTATCATAAAGAATAAGTTTCTCTCACGGACAGTCCCCGCGTCAGGATGCATCCCGGAGAGGCCGAGGATTCCTCGGGCTCCCCTGGGATACAGGAACACAGAAAACTACAGGATTAACGACAGGACAACGACCTAACTGCGTTCGCCTCTCGTCCTGCGAAATTCGCTTCTCTCCCTGTTTTAGAGGATCCTAATTAACGAGTTCTTCGCAATATCCTGCGGGACGCGGGACACCCTGATCCTTGAGTTCCAGGATCTACTAATTTTCGTCCTCTACTCCACTTTTTATTTCCAGAGGATATAGGAATTTCGAGAGTCATTATACTCTTTTTTTTAAACTTAATCTCATTTAATTAATCTTGGAATGACACGTGGGGTCCCAGCATCCCACGGGACTCCCCGATCCTTGAATTCCAGGATCCACGAATTTTCGTCCTCTACTCCATTTTTTATTTCCATAAGATACAGGAATTTCGACAGATACTATTTTTTGTAATTTTTTTCTTCTAATTTAATCTCTTTTAATGAATCCTGGAATGACACGTGGGGTCCCAGCATCCCTCAGGATTCAAGGATCACAAATAAATCGGGATTCGCTGATTCGCACGAGCCGGTTATGGGGTTTCTCGGTTGCTCCTTCGGCTCTGATCCTTACGATAATCGCTCATCCTTAGAGTCTTCGAGTCCTCGACCCTAATAGTACTAAGATATATCTACATTGTCGTTTGCTCCTTTACAACACCGGGTGTGTTGAATTTTTAGTTATTTCCCTTTCTAATCCCTCGCGCAAGTTCGATTGCGTTATGCGCAAAGCGACCAAGGATCACTAACCAAAGAAAAAGCGAAAAAATTAACTTTTTACGTTACAACCATCTTCTTTCGATAAGACCAAATTCTTGTTATACGATACCCTGTTTCAAAGTAGCGAATACTGTTTTCAACAGTTCGATGCCAATTTGAAGTTAGGAAAAATTCGGTACTCGATCGGTACTTGGGATAAAAAAAAATAATCGTTGCTCTTTTAATTCCTATGTAATAAGTGTTGCACGCGGAGAAAGTGTTCTGTGATAAGCCCAACGCAATAAGAAAATATAAAATCAGTGCTGCTTTGTTACTGTATATTGGTAACGCCCTAATGGAATTTTTATTACGCTCACGGAAATAGACGTTCAATGAAATGTGCGGTGAAATTTTCCCCTGAAACGAGCCGACGTACCGGAGTAATCCCTTAGGAATAGTTTCTCATCTAACGAGGGTGGAAATATGCCTTAACGATATTTTCTTTTATTCCTTTTCATTGTCACAGAATAAATTCTCCGAATACGAGGTGGGATTCTAGGTAACCGGCACAACGTCCAACTTGATTAATCGGTTTACGCACAATTCAATGTTTCGATATCAGGAGTCTTTGATCGTCTCATCCCGGCCCGCGATTTACGCGCTCTCGCTTCAATTGTTTATTTACTTATTTACACGAAAGTCCGTTTATTGCTACTTTACAAGAATTCGTGCTGGCGCGGAGTCGCGCGTTCGCATACTCGCGTGTACGTGTTTCCCATTTCCGTTTCGTGTGGCATGAAGTCGATAATGTGACTGTATTGTCTAGATGTGAGGGCGTGTATGCAAATGTGTGTACGCATGGGGTGATTATTTCCTCCCATTCGCGCTGATTAATGTCTTTTTCGTTAATATCCCGGGATTTCTAACAAGATCGCGCTCGAAGCCGCGCTTTAGGCCGTGCGTGTCCGTCTGGCAAGAAAATCGGTTGCCGTGAAGTATGAGGCCTCGTGGAGAAGCCCTCGCGCGCTCGCTCCGTCCTTCTCGCGCTCGCGCGCCGCGGCCTGACTCTCTCTCTTTCTCGCTCCCACTTTCACGGCCCTCGCGACTCGAGGCCTGGGCTCTTCGCAATTTCGGGATTTTCTCGCCATCGGATCTCGCCTCGCGTCTTTAGCGAATACGCAACGCGCGTATACGCGTGCACTCGTGCCTTCCCACGCAGCTAGCGAGAAGAAGGGTCTGTGATAACTTTGCTCCCCGTGTAAAAAAATAAATTGTATCGAACACCCTTTGTCGAATTATTGTGCGACTCGAGTGGGTCTGGGTTGCCTCTTTCGTGACGATAGAGGCTGATGACTCGTCCCTACGTTTGACGTACGTTCTACTGACACCATGCGTTATCAGCGACGCTACTTGGTGTCCTATATCACCCTACTGCTATCACTCTGTCGTGCGACCAAGTTATCACAGACGCGAAATGGTTTACGCGTTATCGCGCATGTAGTGTTGACAGTTCGCGAAGCCTCCTTCACTTTTCGGAAAGCTTACGGAAGAGTTTCGACTGGGGGGTCTCTTTAGAGGTTATCCGCCTGCAAGTGGTACCGATGTCAATTTGTCTTTTTTCTTCTTTTTTTTTTTCTACAATTTCGCAATCCATGTTCTCATCCAATTTCGGAGCGAATATTAGACAGGCTATTTAAAATTGATATACTTTAACCCGATAGCGTCGATTTTAGGAAAAGTCCTGATTAATCGGCACTTGCAGAGGAACTCGCAGTAGGACTAAGTTGTGCGACATTTCAGGTCCTAGGACAACAGAGTTGAGACAGAAGTTCGAGCTTTACACCTAACTGCGATATCGCTAATGACCGACCCTATTACTTTTTTTCGTCTTTTCTTTTGTTTTTCTCTCTCTTTGTTATTACGTACTGTTATACAACACGGAAATCGCTTTCCACTCTGCTAATGGAGTACACTTAGCTAACTTCAGACCCTGTTGAATGCAAGCACCCGATGGAGAAAATTCAATGACGGTCGTTTTAGGGAAACGAAGGAAGAGGGAAAAAGAAAAAGAAATAAATCCCTGCTTTCCCCGGGGAAAGTCGTGGATTTTAGGTTCGTTCGTGAAATCGTCATCGTCCGTGACGCCGATCGATGGTATCGGCAAGAAGTGGCGATAAGGTTTAATTATAAACAGTGATATTAGTGACGTCAATCGCGGTGCTCCTTTCTCTCTCGGGCTAGCTTTGACTATCTCGAATTATCGAGGAGGAGAATATCTCCCTAAACATCTTTCGGTGCCAGTCTTACTCGGCGAAGGGGTTAGAAGAGCTCTTCTTCTTTGTCTGTTCTCTTATCTTCTATAAAACTCGATTTTTCCCCCAATGCCGCGGCCTTGGGTTCGTCAGGCCTTCCATGATAGTCAACGGACGAGAGAATTACTTAGAGGAGTGCTACTCTTATTACGATAATCATCCCTCTTCGATGATGAGCCTCCCTCTTATTGGTAGATGATGGGGTGAGCAGGTTTCACCGGAAGATCGCTGTCCAGGTTCAAGGATACCCCATCCTTGGAGACCAGATAATGGGTCAGAAGTTGTCCTTTTCCTTTAACGAAGACCATTCCTCGCTGCTCGAAGCCGAACCCGAAGGGCTCCAAAATTTTCCTCGTCTCGTCGGTCACCTAAAAGAAAGATTCATGACAAAATTCGATAATATCTATATAAGGTCGCGGGTCGCCGAATTTATGAGGTAGTTACCCTGAGGAAAAAGGTAATTGGTTTGCTCAAAGACGCGAGGAAAAAATCCTGCGGTCAATACCTCCAAACAAAAAGTCGAGTAAAGGGAATTCTTATTGAATTGAGGATATTAATCTTCGACGAAATAATTATTTCTTGCTATTATACACGATTTAGGCAGGAATATATTTATTTGTTTCAGGCGACCGATCTTTTTCTCGGTGCAGGAAATTGCGCCCATCAGTTGGGAGAGGAGAAGGATGAATGAGAAATTCGACAACATTTATGTATTATTTATAGCCTAACAGGGTTTAAGGAGGGTTTAAAAAGGAGGACTCCTTTCTCATCCCGTGTGCCCGGTCATTTGTGAAGTAATTGTGCAATTGCACGAATAAGTTGCTGAAAGTTCAAGGCCCACTGGCGAACTTTATTAATTCTCCTTATAGAGGACCTCCAGTTAAGTTGAGTTTGACCTCAGTCATCGTATACTCTAATAACTGGTATTAATATCCTTTTTTTTGCCAAGGTATTTTGAGCCCAATTTACCTGTATACATCCAACTTTTCCAGTGCTTTCCATCCTGGAGGCCACGTTCACGGTGTTGCCCCATATATCGTAATGGGGCTTCCTAGCCCCAATCACCCCCGCGGTGACCGGCCCATGATTGATCCCCATCTTCAGGACGAAATGATTGAAGCTCTGCTCGTTTATCCCCGATAGGGCTTTTTTCAGCTCCAGGGCGAATTCCACCAGAGTGGAGAGATGTGCCCATCTGGGACCGTCTTCCGGTTCCGGAGACTCGGTGATGCCCGAGGCCGCCATGTAAGTCGAGCCTATCGTCTTGATCTTGATGATGTTCTTGAATTTGTCGTGGTCCAGGATCTACCCCCGCGAGCCGGGAAAAAATACCATCAGATTCTGCACTCCTTCCCATCCTTATGGAATTATTTGACGAATATCGGCCTAACATAAGGCAGGGGAAAAAAAATCGCCGCGTGTCCACCACGCGCTCTGGAAATTCATCTCCCGATCGCGAAACAAGGGAAAAATGAAAATTTCAGGGCAATCCGCGTCTCGCTTTTAAAATGAAATAAAATAGTAAATACGGTGGAATAGTCAGGGTTAATTATTAAATTAGGGAATAGCGCTCTAAATATGACGAAAGTATTTACGCAAATTGTTGTTTCGGCATTGATTAGCTTTTCTTCCTGCTTCTCGAGCGTTTCAAATTTCGTTTCACGCCCATTTCTTAACGTGAAATCGTCAATGATGCTCGCTGTTTTATAAGATGGAGAGAAAAGAGAATTTAGAGGGGAACTCACGGCATCGAAGTCGGAGATGACCTCGTTGAGGAACCTGAGGCATTCGAGACCTTGATTGTTGATGCTCTCCTCGCTGTAGAAATCGGCGAAATTCGGAATACTCGCGAAGAGGACGCCAACTTCGGCGTAGCTTTGGCTATAGAGATCGTCATGGTGTCTGGATTTCGAGAGGAAATATGCCGCGACATGGGGTGGCAGGATATTATAGATGAGTGCCCCATTCCTCCTCTCCATATCAGCAGCTCGTTCCCTCTGGGCGACCACTTCTCTACCCCGTAGATACAGCACCCTCCTGGCCTTCTCGGTCTGCCAAAAGGCAAAAAAGAAAGACAATTCAGATCCTCGGATAAAAGTCCCTCAACCGTCCCAAAGATTCTCCGATTTGCAATTCCCGGCCGTAAATTAAAATCCGCGATTTATGGAGCATTTCTTTTTTCCTCTCAAGGGAAGGAGCGAAGTAGAGCTCTTCAGGGTGCCCGAAGCTCATTTGCCAGTTAAATTAATCGAGAGCTAATCTCCTCGGACGTTCTCCACCCCATCCTCCGACACCATCGATCGATGATGTCCTGGAGTAAGTTAGTTTCTGGGTCACCCAGAGAATGGCGAACCTCCCCGTTTCTGTCTCGATCTCCTTAGAAATCATAAGGAGGCCTTTAATCAGCCAAGATGTGGAAATACACCCTAAAGAGTCAGGGAAAAAAAAGGACCCTTCGACTCGGTCCCATCTTGAAGAAGCTAAAGAACTCCAATAAGTGGTCCCGGAAATTCGGGAGTTCCACTTTCGCGTCGTATATCACCGGCGGTCGATATACCCATTGTCTTGCAGCTATTGACTTTTCCCCTAAGTTCGGGAGAACAAGTATACTAAGGTTAAAAGATATAGATAATGGATGTAGGATATTAATCCGCACCGCTGGTGATACGGTTTAAAATTAATGTACAAGGTATAGATAGGATAATGGAGGTTCCACTTACGTATCTGGCCACGACGACCAGGGCAGCTGCGATAGTGATAAGGGTGGCCGATAAGGAGTACTTTAAAGGGAAGGGTACAGGACCCGGAGGAGTCGACGCGATGTCTTCTCTGTCCAAGTTGGAGCCGATGAAGAGGACGTTGATGGTGCACTGAGCCCCTGCCAGAAGGCTCATCAGAAACGCCTTGCCGAGGTAGCTGATGTAGGCTGGCATGGAAATGGCAACCAGAGCCAAAACGCCGATATAGGAGTAGTACGATGGGTATGGGCACCTTGGGGACCACCCAATGGACGCGTTGGTCGGAGGGTCCACCTCTTCGATGATGGCGCAGTTACCCTGAAGAGGGGTCTCTTTCAATACGAACAATCGTAAGGAGCTCACCCTCGTTTCTGTCCTCTCTTTAAATTAGCATCCCGGTTATCTAAGACCCTCTTCGGGAATTACGTAAGAGGGTATGAAACTGGTCCAGAGACGAAAACCAGGTATTGCGCAACGAGAAATTACTTAACAAGGTCCTGAGTCGGGGTGGAGGTAGTTTGTATAGTTTTTTGAGGACACTTCAGGATCGTACCATGTCGAGGAGGAGATAGATGACGAGGGAGAAGATCATGAGGAGGCCCAGGGTCCTCCTGAGCCATCTGGCCCTGACGGCGCTGCCGAGGCAAGTGGCGCCTGCCAGGACGATGCCGAAGAGGGTGACCACCACCGCGCCGCCCCAGGTGAAGGGGCCCCATGGCTGCAACCTCCAGACGGGGGATGCGCAGATCAGGACCAGAGGACCACCCAGAAGAGACAGGGGAGAAAACGCCTCCTCGGCGCTGTGGAACGCGGATTCCACGTTGGGGTCCTTGAAGTGAAGCGTTAGCCAGGACGCGTGGCCCTTCAGGTCGGTGGCTCCACCTGAAGAGGGCGGTTGTCGAACAGACGACGAAGAGACAAATTCAAGCGCAAAACAATCTAAAAAGATAGGGAAAGATATAGGAGTAGCGGGGATTTCCTCACCCTTGCTGTCCAGTTTTTCCCGCAGGCGCTGCCTGAACTCCTCCGAGTCCTCCTTGTTCCTGGAGTCGTCGACGTCCAGGATCCTTTGCGAGGACTCTGCGTCGGCCAGGGACGCCAGGCTCTTCGTCACGGCTGGCCTGAAGGGTTTCAAAGCCCTTACGATGAAGTAAGTGACGATGCCGGCTCTTTGCAGAGCCTCTTCTCGCTCCTCTCCATAGGCCGGTTCCACCTCGAACTCCCCGTTGAGGAAGCCCAACGTCGCGTTGGAGATGTGCACTCTCCTTCAAGGTGGATCGAAATTAACGTCGTGGTGTCTTTGGGTATTTACCTGAAACCTGTGATCTTTTTTCCCTTTTCTCGTGGGAGTGGAAGGACCTACCCCGCCATGCCGCTGCTCTCCATCTTGTTGGCCAACTCGACGTCCTTGCTGTAGACGTCGAACTGCCATTGCCTCTGCCCCAGGACCCCTGCCAGGATCGCCCCTGTGTGGATGCCCACTCTCATGTCCACGGGACTGTTCGTCTTCTGTTGGACGTATTTTATGGCCTCCACCATAGATAGGCCCATGTGGACGCAGAGCACCGCGTGGTCTGGCCTCTCCACCGGTGCACCACTTATGCAATAGTAGCAGTCGCCCAGAATCTTGATGCGAAGCTGCTCGTACCTGGAACGATGCAAGTTTGTTGCTTAAGATGACTACAGGTGATACGACAAGTCCTCCCACCCTGAGGTGACTAAACCGTCCCCATAAATTCCCGAAAACTGATTTCCCTGAATTAATACCGAATTTATTTAGTTCTATGCACTACAACTATCGGCGGATTTGAAACCTCGGCACGTGATTAAAAAAAAAAAAGCCTTAAGGTAGAATGAAATTTCATTTTTCAAACGAATAAATTTATTTGTCCAAGAGTAGAACCGAGGAGACAATTTCTTTTTTTTTTTAATGAAATTTCACGAGCGTTCTTCATTAGGGCCTCAATAATCACGTGCTCAAGATGCAAATAATTCGGTGCACCTAGTTTGGAGAAAAGTTTTATAAATATTTTGAGGTTTCATGTATGTAGAATGATCCTTTCATGTCACCTTAGAGATAGCTGAATATGTGGCGATGAATTTGAAAAAATGTACTCGATTTAACTGCGCTTTGAAGATGGTGACAGGCAACGATGATTTGTGGCTAAATATCTGGGCAAACTGATGGGTGGATGTTGGGGAATAAGTGGATTAATTGTGTGTATTATAAATTGTTGCGTGCAGTTCTTCGTCGTATTCCTTTTGTCCAAACTTTGGGATCGTTCAAGGAAAGGATCAGGATCTAGGACGATCACCAACCTCTCGCTCAGCTGGTCGAACCTGGCGAAGAGCTCGTTGAGGATCTTCACCAGGTCGCTGGCACTATACGTCGAGGAGATGGCGGTGAACCCGACGATGTCGGCGTAAAGGATCGACACATTTTCGTGCCTCGACATATAGATTTTCTTAAACTGAGTGTCCATGGAGGCGCCGAGGTCCTGGCGCATCTTCACGGCGACGTGTTCGGGAAGGACACTCAAGAGAAGCCGTTCTTGTTCAGCACTCTGCTCCTCGATGACCAACTGCACCTTCAAACTTTGTCTAGTCTCCAGGAAGGCCCTCCTCTGCTGAAATTCCGCCAGACAATAACTGGCGGCCCCCAAAATGGCGGCCCCCGAGGACAACGTCACCGTCAGGATCTGCACATCCAAAGACATCCTCATCAGAAGAGCCGAAATCTCCTCGATTCCCTTAAACCCTGCAGATTTTAGATATAAACGACCCCACACACCAAAGACACACATCCAAGCCTTAAAATGACGCTAAACCAACATAAAGCACTTAAGGTGGCGCGAAACCCCGAAACCAATTAATTAAAATCAGAAAAAAAACACTCTTTCCAAAGGACCTTCCACGGAACTGTCTATAATTCTAGCGAATGGCTCATAAGCCCCAAAGAAACGTCCCGATGGTTTCAAAATCCAGATTTTCAGTCGAGGATAGGCTATCCCGATATTTCTTTGGAAAGTGGAATACCTTTTAAAACACACGTTTCATTCAAATGCATTTGTTTATGGGTTTCCCACCGCCTTAATGCAGCAAATGTTGGTTTTTCGTGTCATACATAAATAAATAGCAAATATTCATAAAATGCATATGTGGTAGGCAGGGATCATCAGCTGGTATTTGGCAAGGTCCCGATCAGCTGATCAACGTCATTGGAACTTATAATTAGCGAAATAATTATTAATAACCAGGTGGAAGGAGGGGACTTGACCCTCCTCAAAGCCGGGTGCAGTTCTCGGGGTCCCATGGAGCTGCAAGGACGCGATCAGCTGTTCACGCGCATGGGAGCACGTTATGAACGAGTGGCGGTGTCATCGAATCCTGACCTAACCTAACTCGATCACCCGTCATACGGACCTAGCCCAGGGTCGAGAGGATGAACGAGCTCTATTTTAAACTACCATTGACCAGATTCCACTCGACCGTCAGTAATAACCTGCACGTGTCGAGGCGGTTGATTCTCTCAACGGAAACGGGACACAATGGGGACCCGATGGGTGGACGAGCAACGACCGGAACATCGGTTGCTTTTTTACCGCAACAAGGGAGAACATTGGAAAGATGGAGGGAGGTCCTTTCGTGAATTCGATCGCATCCTTGCGAGATGCTGAGAGGTGCCAAAGGAAAAGTGACCAATTTTCCCAAGTGCCTTAATTTTAATTTTCATTTTAATTTCTGATTTTCATACGAGGTCCTTTTCAGGTCGCGAGACCAGTCTCTCCGAATCATCTCCACGTGTACATAAATTTTCCGTCCAACTTTTCCAAACAACCTCCTATCGGTTATCCAAAAATCCCGTCAAGTATTTTGAACCCTGGTTGCGGTAACATCTCCAAAAAAAGTTCAAGCATCCAGGATTACCAGAACGTCGTGCGGCGTCTGCGCGAGTTCCTTGGAAAGTCCAATGACGGTGACGATGTAAGCGGCGGCGGTTCCAAGGACGAGAAGGGCACACAAGGAGTACCTGAGGGGCAGAGTGGCGAAGAGGAGGTACAGAAGCAGCAAAAGCCATCCGAGGCCATCTCTGGGAGTGACCTCGGTGGACTTGAGGAACAACTGGGCGAGGAGTTGAGCGGTGGAGATGTGCCAGGCCACGTGGGGGACGAGAGACCAGAGGGCATCTCTGGCCCTGGTCCCGCGTTCGGTCCAAGCCAGAAGACCCAGGTTGAGGCCCAGGAAGATGGCGGTGAGGCTCCTGGCAGGCAACTCGGGCTCGGGCGAGGCCACGGTGTAGACGTCGAAGAGGATCGCCGACAGGAGGAAGCACTGCAGTCCGCCGCGACGCTGCTGCAGCGAGGAGGCCCGATACAGTCGTTCCAACTTCCCGCTGGAGAAGCTGGTCTTTAGCAAGTTGGAAGGCCTGCCAGCATTGAGGTAGCTCTCCTCGTTGGAGGTCTCCGGTCTGCGCGACATCTCCCCAGGCCGAGGTCTTCAGCTCTCTCTTCAGGGTAGCCTCATCCTCGAGGTATGTCAGTGTCCCGCCCAGCTGGCGAGGGTCATCTTCGATTTAGGAGATCCTAAATCTCAGAGATCGGGCACGGGACTTCCCTCTTCCGGGGTCTCACCCAAGAAATCGGGACGCACCATCTCCTTTGAATCGGTTCCTACAGGGTACCATCGAAGGTGCCGCTCTTCAGGGTGGAAAGACCTTCGCGGATCTTCCCCGATAGGTGGTTCCTCGGCTTATCTCCTCACTGCTTCGACCCCTCGACCCCTGACCCCCGGGTCGCTGGGAGCCGGGGTCATGCTCTGCACCCCCTCTTCGGGTTCGCTCTTCAGGCTTGCGTCGCTCTTCAGGCTTGCGTCGCTCTTCAGTCGCCCTCGACTCTTTGCTCGCGATACCAGTGGGTCCTCGGTTGGTCTACCCGTGATCAAGGGAGGTTCTTCGTTATCGAGGGAGTCTTGGCCGTAGGCTGATATCTGGAGGTGGGTTTTAGTCGTGACCTCTTCGGGGTGTCGGGCCAAGGGTGGTAAACCGCCCCGTTAGGCTGGATCCTCTGGAGCGAGGTAGACGGGACGAGTTTCCCCCAAATATTTATGGGAGGTCCCGGGGGACCTCCTGACCCTTGGTGACGAGGACGAGACTCCCGTCCACTGTGGGTAGGTTGCACACCGCCCGCGCGCGGGGGACTGGCCGGGATACTACCCAGTCCTCCACTTCCTCCTCGTCTTCCTCCCGGCTAACGGAGCTCTCCGGACCTGCGCCATGGCGCCGCGACCTCCACGGGTCGATATCCCGACCACTTCGACCCCCGGCTCCCACGAACGCCTCCGTCACCCTCGACCCCGCTCTTCGACTCGCCCTAGTCCACCAGAAGTCCTCGCGGTACCCGATTCTGCCCTCGATCCTTCCGATCCTGAACCGATTTTTTAACCCTGAAGAGCCCGCAATACTCGATTCTGAACGGCACGTGATTTTTTTATCGTGTGGGGGTGGAATCCGAGACAAATCGATCTTCCATCCTGATCAGTTTTCGATCCTTCAGATTCTGCACCGATTTTGAGCCCTGAAGAGCCTGCGATCCTGTGTAACGCGTGATTTTTAATCGTGTAAAAGGTTGGTTCTTCCACTCTGAAGAAAGCTCGATTTTTTTTCCTAATCACCATGCGATCCATCCTTTAGATCCTGCATCGATTTTTAACCCTGAAGAGCCCGCGATAGACGATCCTGAACAACCTATGATTTTTTATCGTGTATTGGGTGCAATCTTCCACTCTGAAGAGAGCTCGATTTTCTGTCCTGATCAGTTTACGATCACACTAAAAAGTACCTGATCTCCCGCCCTAACCATAACACGACCCTATACCATAAAGAAAACACAGAAGACCATCACCCCTTCGCCAGATCTCGGATCAAGATCCTCCTAAGCTTAAATACCAGGACCCAATCTGGACTCCCCCGATTCCTCTCGATAGACCCACAAATCCCAGTTTGAAGACTTCTTTATCCTTGATAAGACTCATTTCACCCTAGGGCGATGCTAGGGGGACTCTTCCCTCTTATTTCGGATTACAGCTCCGAGGTTTGTCGCATTTAATTATTTTTTCTTAATTAAATCTTTCGCGTCTATGGGGTATTCCCGGATGGAAATCTTGGAGCATGTGGGAATTGAAACTGCAGACTCGCTGGAATTCTGGGACGTTTTGGTAGTTGGCAGAACTTCCTGATCCTGATGATCCCGAGACAGGACTAAGTGTCGGGTGCTCGAGAGATTATCTGGAAATTAGTTTGCGAAGTCCGTTACACTTGCGAAGTTGTTGTTGGAGAGTCCCGAAGGACGAAGGAGTGCATCGAGTCCTCCGGTGACATAGGTCCTGAGGGAACAGGCCTTGATCCTTGACACCTGGATGGTAACCTCCGAGTTGTAAACCAGGGTGAAGCAATCATCAACGAGTTGTACATTTTTATAGCAATTGTTATTAAAACTTGTACAAAATTCAACGGGTAGAAAATGGAACAAGCGGCAATATGGCGCCGATCGACCTGGACTGTTTAATTAATTAAATTACGGGCATTCCTGAATTATCGTCCTATTTATTAACCAGTAACCTCGGAATCATGATCAAGGGTCGAGGCATCATCAGCAAGTACTCCCTTCTCCCAGGGATTGTTATTAAAAATCGTATAAAATTCAACTGGGAGAAACGGAGCAAACGTAGATCGATCCGACGATTGTTTAATTATTTAAATTACGGATATTCCGGGATCCTCGACCTATTTATTAAACCGGAAGGAGAGCAAATGGCGACTATCCTGCGTCTTGGTCCCACTATTCGGGAATTATCTTGAGGAGTTCCTCCGAGATGACGTAGCCCTGCTGCTTCATCTCCAGGACGATCTGTGGCCTCGTGCTGAGGGATTCGATCCATTTGTAATATGGAAGTTCTTCTCGAGTCCCGCCATACTTCTTCGGCAAGGACGTCGGAGCGATATGTCGATGGAGACTCGCCATATCACTCCCATGGAAAAATATCTTATCCTGCATTCGCCTGTCCAGCAAGGGCTTGAAAACCGCGAAGATGGCGTCGAAGACCCACGACTGGTGGAGGATATGAATGGCGTGCGTCTTCATGGGGAAGGACGTCACCATAAGGGCGAGGACCATGCCGGCCACCTAAAAAAGAGAATAAAATTGAATAACAAATAGAAACAATTTCTTCAACGTGAACGAGGTCTCAGCATCGAAACGATATCAATTCTACGTAATTCTTATACTTCAATTAATTACCAAGATACTTGGTAGCGTCTCGCGCCAAGTACAAGACGTCGACCCTACCGAGAATCTTTACGTCGAGGTTGGATATTTTCATTTAAAGGGGATTAAAATTAAAGGAAAGGGGTTTTACTTTTATGGCAGTTTTGTAATTCGCCACAGACCTGAGGAGTTATCGTCCAAGCATGGGACATCGTGATACCATGGAAGTCGAAGATGACGACGCCACCCAGGACCTGCGCCCTGGGCTCCAGGATACCAAGCTCTAGGACGATCACGGTGGCCTTGAAGATCTCTTCCAGCTTGTACTTCTTAGGATCCCAGTTGCCCAGCCTGTAGATCATCATCCTTCGGCCACATTGCGTTCGATATGCCGGGACGGTCATGATGTCCTCCTCCCCGATGTACTTCATCTCCAGAGGGTTCACATTCTGGTGGATCTCCGGGTGGTCCCCTTTGAAGTTGTAATAGTTCACGACCTAAAAGGAAGATAAACTTCTGGGGACGCAGTATGAGAAAACAAACCGGGGGACAGGAAACTGGCTCGAGCGTTCCACTTCCTTTGCTCGGCCGTATTTCTCGAAGCCAGTCGATATCGATATCGAGTTCAATAATCAGGAATCGGTGTATTGGTAAACACGAGTCGTGACCGCGAGCTGGCTCCCTGGCTCGAGAGCTTCAGTCCTTCACGGAATTTCGAGATTACCGGGTCGCAGACTGAAGTACCAATTTCCTAGTGATAAGCCGGCAGAGACAACCCTCGACAATAGGAAGATCCGGAGATAAATCTACAGCAACATGTCCGAGATCATCAAAAGGGACTGCAACTGGAACTCCCAGCCCTGCGAGGACGATGGTTCGTAAGGAAAAGAATTCCCCTTTTAAATTTAGAAAAACATTTCCCCACGAGGATACGCGAAAATTCCAATTTTTAGGCGGAGTATTTACATTTCTTTTTTTCTTCTTTTTTTTTTAATTTACATCTCTCTTCCTGAGAAAATATCCTGCGAAATTGATTTCCTGGAGATGGTCCACGCAAGCAATGACAATCAAATTTATTTCGAGAATGTGGCGAGCGAGAATCTTTTTGTGCCTGGTTTTTGGAAGAGTGATTTTTTTTTCCTTATTTTCTTTTTTCGACTCATCGATATGACCCTTGAGCTGTCCTTTTAATTGACTCGATCGATCCCGAACGATCCCTACAATGAGATATACCTATAAACGGCTCTTCTCTCAGAGGGTGGAAGAAATACCCAATTATTTTTCATGAATGCCGCCCCCCCCCCCCCTTGTACCCCTTTTATATCCGCCCTCCTCCTTTACGACCTACTTTGCGATCCAGGAACTTCGAGGGAAGCCCTTTAAAAAATTCCACGGGAAAATATTGCGAAGGTGTCATCGGAATATGATCTCTGATTTTTTTTTTCCCCCCGAATGACCTTTGCGGAATTATATTTCTTATATTGACAATTTCCGTCTCAATATTGCTGCTTAAACCCCTCATAGAATTTTTTCATGTTTTTCTCCACACTCGCACAATAGCAAAAGAAATCATTTCAATCGAGGAATAAGAGCATAAATTTAATTATGTAACACGAGTAAGGCCTCTTTTATTTTGGTAATGTGAATTCTCATCGCGGATTATTACCCATCGGGATAATTATCCTCCGGTTTTTAATTTCGCTAGGAATAACATTAATCCGCGATTTTTTCGAAGACGTTTCAGCGATTTCCTCATTTTTTACGGCGGGATTGATTTAATGATCAAAATCCTCGCCTTGGCATAATTGGGCAACTCGAAACTCGGGGCGATGATTAATAATCATTGCCGCTCGTTTGGGTGATTATTTAAAATTAGTGCTAGAAGATTGCGGTTCGTAGTCATTGTCCCGGCATCAAAGATCGATGTAAAAAGATGAGAAGCGGTTTATACAGTGATTGGCCATTGTAACATCGTGCCGATCATTAGAGAGCAACATAAAAAGAGAATGAACGGTTAGATATGCTGATTGGCAATTGTGCTTTTTATAAAAAGTACCCATTGCTTCCGACTTAATTAATGACACGTTTGTCGCCAGGAGCGGTCCTCCTGATTTATTCTTTAAGCAGATAAATAGTGTACCTAACCAAACAATCGGTGATTACTATAGATAGTTATTTACCAATCGATGGGCTCGGTTGACATTGAAACTCCTGGCGCGCAGGAATCGGATCAAAAAGGCGTCGTCGGTCCGGTGTGGCAAACATTCTCCTCTCTCTGGGGAACAGAAAAGGATTAAAGTTGGCTCCTCGAAACCCACGAGAGGAGAAAAAGAGCGGAAAAGAGTCCTCGGACTATTTTCGGGACCCACTTTGCATAAACGTCGGGCGTTTAAATCTTAATACCAAAATGGCTCCGACCCCGCTGTCGCAAAGAACCCTTTTTTTACTTTTTCTTAATTTAATTAATACCACTAATAACTTCTCATTTATCGTCCTTTTCTTCCAGAGATGACATACATATCCAGTTTAATGTAATATTATTTATCTCTCGAGATTTCCTCGACCTTAATATTCTACTTGGAATAAAATGTTCCCTTTATAAGTAAATGAAGGAAATTATGAATATACGAAATTATGAGATATTGATCCAAATTTTAAGATACAGTAAACTGGTGTTCATTTCATTTGTGTGCGCTTAAAAGAAAGGACGATTTAAGAGCCACGTGAAAATGGTGCTTTTTACGGAAGTGAGATATGGGAAATTAACTTTTTTTTTCTTTTCTCTCGGAAAAAATGGAAAGATTATAGCTTCACTTGAAGGGGAAGGGGAGAGATGGCCCCTTCCCTCCCCAGGTGTGAAATTCATCAGACCCCACCGTATATCGTGTCGCGCAGTTCCTGAAGAGTCTGACACTTGACCTCGTCGGTCTCCCCAAGTTCTCTTCGAGAGAACTCCATGACTTCCGGCGAGGGCTCGTTCAAGTCCAGGTTGACCTCTTCGTCGTCCCTTGGAAGGACCTCCGCTCCTCGTGGTTCCGGCATGATAAGACCGTTTCTGCTCGCCAGGCCAGGATCTTTCGGGAAAGGATCCTCCGATGAGCTGTTTTTCCTAGATCGATGATTTTCCCCTTCTTCGGCCTCTGAGATGACAATTTCAGGTCCTGGGTCCTGGAACTCCTCGTGGAACCCGTTCCTGGAGGACCCCTGCGCCTCCTTCCTCGACAATCCCTTATCGACCTGAATGGAAGACAATGAGGGACTTTTTATTGATATTTCATTGAATTTCAGACCTACAGTTATCACTCGAAAATCCAGATTCATGCTCTCAAGTTGCAAATCTCGAAAATAAACTGCTGGGATTTATGATTTATTTCTTTTACCAGTTTTTTTACTAACTTCTGCGCAGCCGGTCAACGACGCCATCTTCCGGGGTCGCTCCGAACTTCTCACGGGAAAGTGTAACTCCAAAATGAAATCGCCCAGAAGAGACGGATTTCTTCCACGGCACTTTTATTTCCCGACTGTCCGAGGTTGCGCGCTGAATATTTTAGACTATCTTGAAGGACCATTCCTTGAATTTGGGGGAGATAAGAATTTATTCTTCCTCGGCTCAAAGACGCGATAAGAATGCAACTGGCGGGCGACTGCGAACAGCTGGGGAGGGCTTGACGTACTCTCGGGCAAACGTGGAAATATCAAGGCGATCAAAAATCGAGGTGAAGGTATCTCCGCTCATATCTGCTCATGATAACGCGGTCAATCGCTGCTGCATGCTCGCGATAGGAGAATAAATCGGAAGATCGAGCCGCGTTAGAAAAAGAACGAGGCTCTAATTAAAGTCGCCAGATGATAAGTTGGAGGGAACAGAAATAGCGATTATTATCCGGATCCCGCATAAGATTGCTTTTTTAATGCTCAAACGATGCCACTGATGCAAACCGCAGTACTGACTGCGGGCACGGAATCTTCTGAATATTCAGAACTCCGTGAATCATCGAGGCTTATCGCGAATGTCGGAAAAATAGATCCACGAGTTGCAGCGTTATCACCGGGGAAGACGAAGTCTCACTTCCAAGTTCTTCTAGACATTTACTTTCCACTCCTTTCGGCGGCTCTTTTCGCGTTGTGATAAGACGTTCCAAGTGTTGCGACGGTATTTAAAAATATTGCTGAGGCGTTATCACATTTTAATGAGGAATTAACGCGAAGGGACGACACGTAAAACGTCGTCGTGTTATCAAGAGACAGGCGAAAGGGTCTTTTAAAAAAGTTGTAACAATGTTATAGAAAGATTATGGTAAAAACGGAAATACGAAACAACGTTGATAATAGGTTACTCCAAATTTTCGCCGCGTTGTAAAAAACACATGTTCACGCGTTTTGAGGGAGCATGGAAAATGTCGCGAAACAATGACACGAGTATAACATTACCGCGTTGGGTTGGAGACCGTCACCTCGTTATAAATGGATGCGTTATCGCGTTATCAGGAGGAACGCACGCGGTTCGCGCGTTACCGAGCTGGCCCAGCAGCTGCAACTGAGAGGCAGTGATGCAACTGGAATCGCGTGGTGTACACCAGGGACCGCAAAGTGCCGGCAATGTGAAATTGCACCGGCAAAGTCCCTCTTACCGCGTAAGACCTTGTGAAACGTAAGCCTCGGTACCGACCCCCCTCCTATAACGAAGTATCGCCCAGTAACGAGCTAAAAAAAATTCATATTTTCAAGGAAACACTCGAAATTCCCGAGTAAAAATTGAAAAGTTTGATTAGGGCAAAAGATAACGAGGTTGGATCTGCAGATAGCGACTTTGCAATTTCTGTCCTTCAACGAAGTGTCCTTTAACGAAGTATCGCCCAATAACGAATTAAAAAAAAAATTGGTATTTTCAAGGAAACACTCGAAATTCCCGAATAAAAATCCAAGAGTTTGATTAGGGCAAGAGACAACCAGGTTGGATATGCAGATAGCGACTTTGTGAATCGCATGGTTTGGTACCAATTTCTGTCCTGTAACGAAGTATCGCCAAATAACGAACTAAAAAAAAAATTGGTATTTTCAAGAAAACACTCAAAATTCCCGAATAAAAATCAAAGTTATGTTAAGTCAAGAGATAACGAGATAACAGCTACAGGGAGATACCGACTTTATGAATCGTATGGTTTGGTACCAACTTCCCTCCTGTAACGAAGTATCGCAAAATAACGAGCTAAAAAATTTGGCATTTCCAAGGAAACGCACCAAATTCCCGAATAAAATTCAAAAAGTTGGATTAGGTCAAGAGATAACGCAATTGGAGCTACAGGGAGCCGTCGACTTTCCGGTGGGCCGATCCAGCGGAATGAAAGTAACCTCGTACGTGCGTAAATCCTCGGTAAATCGCGATTAAATGCAAAATAGATGTGTTATTTGCTTTTATGTAATTATACACTCGCGGTGAGCCCGAGTGCAGTTGCATTTACGGTTTACGTCGAGTTCCCGCCCGCGGAAGAGAAAGTGAGGTTACGTCCGCCGCGAAGCTAATACCGGACAGTAATTGACACCGTAAAGGAGAGTGCCTCTCATTTCTCTATTTGCGGGGAGTCAGTAAACACTTTCTTCCGGCGAATTCGGAGTTTCTGTTCCTCCCCTGTACCTATATCATCGGACCTACCCTTTTCACTTTCTTTCCTTGCAGTTTTAATACATCCCCGAGGAGCTCGTTACGAGTTTCGAGGCGACGTAGGGCTTACAAGGATTCTTGCAGAACCGGTATTTATTTCAGGAAGTCGCAGTTACGTAGCGCGCTATTTTCTTTCATACTTCAACTCGAGGGAACTTTGCCCGCCGCAAATGATTGCCTTGGGACGATGACTATTCCAATCGATTGGATATTTCTTTTCCTTTTTGATCACTTTACGCGCCTTCTATCATTACCCATTAGCGTTTCTCCGCGCCCTTCCGGAGATACGGCGCGCCGGACTCGGGCAAAATGGCGGCGCGTATGGGGTATAGGGAATATGGTTAGATTTCACTTTAAAGGACTGATTTATGACTCCAGTCATTTACTTGTCGAGGAAGTCACTCGGGGTTGTCACTTCCTGCGACTCGCTGGCAAGAGTATCGCCATGGGAGGGAATTACGAGTTCATTATCCTACATGTCGGCGACATTCTAAAGGCACACTCGAAATACCATCGGCGCGCATTCAATACCAATGGGATACCATTATATAAGATTTTCCAGCACGCCCGTTAATATTCTCCCCGGGCGTTGGAAAGTCATTACCGCATCGTTTGTACTCCATCTCTCGTCTTCATTCAGCGATTTATCGCGCCCACGTGGAGTCGCCGCGTCATGGCCTCGTTAGGGTCTTATTAGAGGGTCGTAAAGAAATCACCATAAAAATGCGCCCTTGACTTCGAGATCTCATGAAAGCTTTAAAACGATATCATAAGTTGAAAGAAAAAAGAAAAATTGCTCTAATCGCACTTCCTCAAATGTAATTTTTTTTTCATTTTTTCCCCCCTTTTTTTGGTATCTCCTAAGAGCCTGACATTACTTTACTTGCATAAAAAGACGACTTGTTGGGTGTATTTTTGATCTGGCGTGAATTTCCACTTCTTTTTTTTTTCTTTTTTCAATTTTCCATTTTTCTTTACACGCAATTCTTCGACGTCGACGTCTAGTTTTCCGTAATATACCGAAGTACGTGCATAGCGGGTGCATTGCGAAACGTGGTCAGGGTCATCCTGTTGCATCCAGCTGGGTAGTACTTTCACTAAATGAGACCCGTGTACGGAGGGACGAGCAACCGCGCGCAACGGCTCCTCTACGTGCATGTGCAGCCGAAGGGAAGTTGCATGTTGCGAGTTGCCTTTTGTTTCTTACGACGATCTACTTCCATTGTGTCCGGGTCTTACGTTCGTATTCACGATCTACCGGACCTTGCCCGACACAATGGCTCTCCGAGAAAATCAAGAAACGGCCATTAAGCCGCGAAGGACCGCTTACAGGATACACGTGGAGAAAAAAAAAATATACACGTGGGGGAAAAAAAAAGATACACATGGGAAAAAAATCCAAACGTCGAATATATATGCCGATAAGGATGACAGAGACCTAAGTAATTTCTATTTACTTCCAAACTAACTTCACAATATTACAATTTAATTTTATATCATATTTTTTTTTAATATTCTACTTAGACGTATATAGCCCGTGTATGCACTGAGAAAAAAAAATGTTCATCGAACCAATGAAATATTCTGTTAATTCCGGGAATAACTATTTAACTCAAGTAAACTCCAATAAACCGGCTGCGGCGTATCTTCGGAATTAAATTTATTTATATTCAATTAAGTGAAATAATTATCCTTCGAATTGACTGAATATTTCTTTGGTTGAAGGAACATTTCTTTCTCAGGGTAACCATCCCTAGGAATTTAGGAGGTCGATGGTATCGAACGGTGGAAAAATTCGAGTGGCTGGAAAAGCGAGGAGGTCCTTGCACTGGAGAAAGTTAGTAGTGAGATGATAAGAGAAATGAATACGAAAGAATTATTTAGGCGTAAATCGGCATCCCTCGAGTTATGGAGATCCATCGTGTATTGATGGAGAAGTTCGGGGGATGATTGCAGACTAGGGGTTTGGATTAGTCGTAAGAAGGAAGAAAAAAAAAAATTAATTAATAGCCACGTGATGCTGCCTTACCGGCCGCTCCTGGGAGGCTCGATCCTTGCCGACTGGAGTCCTCGATCGAACTAACGATGCAGCGGGCCGAGTGCAGGAGTGTACCCTTCCGCGTTTGTAATACACGAGAAAGTTGCAGAACGGGGTGCAATCACCTTTCCATATTGGCTATCTCCCTCGATCCTCGATACGAACTCAGATGAACAAGCGCTAACATCAACTTTGACAAAGGATCTAGACAAAATTTAAAAAAAAAATGAGGAATATATACATAACCTGAAGAAAGGATATGCGCGAATATCGAGTATCGATTAGACCCGGAGAGACCAGGACGACCGGGAATCGAATTTTCTTAAGTGGACTGTTTATGTCTTGCTCTTATTTCGACCTGCAACATATCCTTCCTGGACACCTGAGCAATTTTCAGATTTTTTGGATAAATTTACAGGTCTGTAATTGTGTCCTTATACGTCCTCGATGCACTAGGCCACCCATCTCGGTGTCGGCCAGGCCCAACGTCGCTTAACTTCGGGAATCAGAGTCCATTCCTCCCCTGAAAGGAAAGCCGATTTTTCTTATCGATCTTTCGAAATTCTCGCAATTATCGTCGCTATCGTTACCTTCTCGGTCACTCGAAGTCGCCATTCTTGGTCGGTTGCGAAACCAAGTCAATCGGTTCACTTTCGGTCCGCGAAAAGTCGGTAACCTTGTGCAGAAGGCGGGTACCTGTTCATATAGATTACCGGTTAATTTATATGTATATAGTTAGTGTAGAATGTTGCTGGAAAGACAAGAGGTCTGGCCAGGGAGAGACAGGCTATGGAAATCGAAAATCCTTTTCCCTGCTCTCTGGACGGTACTTGCTAATTTACCTATTTACCTTTGAATTTATGAGCACTCTAATGAGGGTCGCATTAATCGCTCGGAAACGGTGATTTTTAACGATTGTTGCAAGGTGGAATAATTAACAGTGTGGAGAAATGGGATGGACAGCCTTTTAAGGAGGTCTTCGAAGGACTTTGAGGATTCTCCTGGTAGCCTTGCGAAAGGATAATAAATTATGCGCAGGGTTGGCATCGATTGACGTTCGTTTATACACGCAAACGTGCAGTCAGGGCCGGCGAGCATTAATGTCTAAATGGCCGATCCTTTTTGCTCGATCGAAGCCGATCGATACCCCTCTCCGAGTCGAATCGAATGCGATTAGGAATACTAACGCACTCAAGTGCGATTTTACTAAATGAAATTGTGCGCGATTTATGGGAATACAAAAAAAAAAGAAAAACATTCGCAATGTCCTGGCGAATCGAAGGATCCATTCGAGGAGCGTCTCGTGAAAAACGAGGTGGAATATATTAATACATTAATAAATTAACAACTCGAGTGTAGCTTTTACGGGTGGAGGCGCGACGCCATTTTGCCCTGGGCGAGAAATTTCCTTTCTAGGCGAGATGAATTATTTGCGTCAATTTAATTGGATGTATTCTTTCAGAAAGGTACTTCGTCTATCAGCGTGCGTTAAGTTGCTCCAATCGCGAGCCGATGCGTTTTCCATTCCGATTTTCGTCGGCTTTTTTAGCGGATTTGCATGAAAGAAGAAAAAAAGAATAGGAAAGAAAAGGAAAAGAGAAGAAGTCTTTTTTTCGAAGCGGCGAGGTGGGCGCGAACTCGAGACCTATCTGGGCCGTTCCATTTCCCAGCATTGTGCGCCGCTCTGCAAACGTTCCATTATTTCCAAAAAGAGGGGCGAAAAAAAACGGGAAAAGTGGAGCGAAAGAGTCAACCTGAAAGGAGGAATTACTTTCGACGTCGCACCTCGACTTGCGACTCGAGAAAACTCTCCGGAATTAGCGCCCGCCATTTTTTCGGCCATTTCCATTGTCATTTCCCTTCGATCATGACATCCACAGTTTTTTTTTCCCCGCAATTAAATGCGGCAGGATTAATTCATAATAATTTTTGGTGGAACTCTCAGCCAGAAATTCCAAGTCAGATCTCGTCTCCTGCAACCTTCGAGCTAAACAAATCCAGCATCGGATCTTTCCGCGAGATTCCTCCATTTGCTAATAACTCGTTTCCTTGTGGTTTCTTAAAAAAAACTCAAAGTCTTGAAAATCCTACCTCTTGTAATCATGTACACGGACGTGATAAGCTTACGGAATGGGTGTATACGTGACTATTTCGTGGGTTAAGAAATAACACGAAAATGGAAAGATTTCGACGACCATTTTATGTTTCTACATATCTGGAGGTCTGTCGAGATCGCGAGGGTAAGATAATCCTCTTAATTAGGAATGCCGTCGCGTTTGAACGTTTAATTTCTGTTTTCCTTCGCCTTACTTTTTTCCTATCCGCTTTTTCGAGGCCCCCTCTGCAGACTTTTCGAGGCAAAAAGTCACGTTTCCAGCAGACCTTCGCCTTGATCCTCTCAGCCTCTTGTCACGGTCGCGATTTCGTCAGAACCTCCTGCGACCGGTTTCCGAGTAAATGATAAATTCTACCATAATTAAGGCCGCCCAAATCTGCGGACAAGTCGTAGTTAACTTTCCTAACTTGTCGGGAGAAGTTGGCGCGAGAGGCGAAGCCTCTCCCGTACTTTCTCCGGACTTAACTTTGCACTTTGTCGCCGACCACGTCTAGAAAGAGAAGTCTGCAACTTCCACGACTCTAGAAAGACTTTCGGCTCTTCAGGAACTTGACATTTGACGGCCAATGACAGCATAATGCGCCACCGTCGCGACGCAGTTAACAATTAACCCGTGAAATTAGCCGCGAGAGTTATTTTGCACGCCTTAATAGCATGGCGGATGCGTCGCAATTATCGGGATCACGTATTTACATAATAACCTCGTTAAAGGCAAAATATGCAGTGCTCTAAACCAACGGTACTCGGTTAAATGCCCCATTGATACATAATTTATATACTGGAGCGAGCGACGATTAATCAGCACCACTTGAAATTTAGTCGATTAACATTGGAGAGTAATACGCAACTAGATTGGATTTGGAAGCTGTTTAATACCATTTACATGCAGACATTGCTAGAAGTCTAAACTAGACAATCTGGGGGAAAAGTATGTACACTGTGTGCAACATATAATATTACACTAGTCACATTTAGGTTAGGAACGATAGCAGGTCGTCTTGAAACACTGGTCGATTGGCGTTAAATGATCCTGCGGAGATTTCTTCCTTTAGAGAGCTGGAAGGAAAAAAATGCGCATTTTAATCCGTTCCAGGATTCCCAGTACGTACCTTGGGGATGCCTCTTGAGATCTCCTACGTCAGCATCTCGATCATCGACGTCATCGTCGAACTTTGGTCCAGGCCGTATCAAAAAACCAGCCGACCCTGACTTCGCTCAACCTGCTCCTTACCGGGAACCTACCTTACCGGCTGACGCTTCGATTATCGAGGAACAATTGATTGTTAATCGATACTTACCTGGAGGGAGTGGTCCCCACCTTGCTCGAAGTGGTTCTGTCCGAGGTCAGGACGGGAGTTCGCCCACCGGGGTTTATATAGGCTACTTCGCTCGTAACTCGCACGCGTTTCCGCGAGTGCGTGTTGTCCGCGTCGTCTCTGCCGCGCGAGAGTCACGCCATCGCGCGACTGCTCCTCGAAATCGTTGCCAGCGCGAGTTTGCCTTCAAATTTTCCCGCCGGTCCTTAAAATCTTTGCGCGATTTCGCCTTTAAGTCTTTACGCGATTTCGCCTTAAAAATCGTCACGCGAGTCCGCCTTAAAATCTTCGCTAACTCAAGACTCGATCGGGGCATCAGCTCCGAAAAAGTGTGACCGGTAAGTCTGCCTTTTCCTTGCATACATAACCTCTTATACATTCATTCTCAACCCTTAAAGTGTTATCAAAGAGTCATTCTACATATATGAAAACGTGAAAACATCAAATTCGGATCATTTCGAACATTATAATGAGAAAACAGAGACTATAAGGGAATCACTTTCATGCTCCAACACGGCTGCATATCTCGAGTCAAATAGTTCGGCATTCTAATAATTCCTGAAACACTAAATAATAAACGACTTACTTTTACTAATACCTTTTGAAACGACAAATAATAAGGGACCGATAATTTCGCACATCTCAGGTGCCACTACTCTTGCTAATAATTCCTAAAATAACAATCGATGAGCCTAATCGGACACAATTTTCTGACGTCTTTTAAGAACAAAGGTGCACACTGAGTGTACGTCACTCCACGCTAATTTCACTCGGTTGTGATAAACGAGATCGATCATTCGAAGTCGTCCTCTTTTACATCATAGAGGTGCACTTCACCTCGTTTTGCACTATTTCACCGTGATAAGAGATGCGACGCAATCTTATCTATCTTTAAAGATCCTGTGCCGGAATTTTGCAAGTCCACCTCGCTAGAGTCGATTATAGCTTCGAGGCGATCTGGCTCGACTTTCAAATGAAGGAAATGCAGTTAACATTGACAGTCCACCGTTCACTAAGTATTCTTAGCATGCTAATCGAATTGCGAGTGTCACTTAACCCTCGGTCGTAGACTGGATCTCACGACTGAGAATAATGCAATCGATGAGGTCCCGAGTGCGTCCTACTGCAACACCTTGCACATTTGCATTTCAGCTTCCTAATCGTCAACTTAATTTATCCGATGCGATCTTTGAACAATGCACCGTCAACAAATTGACATTGCATCCTTCGATCCGCACGAGGATGCGATTGTCATGTCCAAAACCGTCACGTCTTCGAGCGATCCGTTGATTACACCTCTCAGTGGTCGTTGAAAGTCACGAAAATGGCCGACACGTGACATCGCTGAAAAAATTGAGCAAGACGTTTATTGAATCAATCTCCTTTCCTTTCCTGGCCTGATCATCGCCGAACAAATTTTTTCATTTAAATCTAATCTCTTCCTTATAATCTCCGTATTCACGTTGTAGAGTTTCAAACGACTCGATATGTTTGGTTTGAAGAAAAGGTGCACGAACGAAGGTTCTTCGACGCCACTTTCGTATTGCCTTAAGGTGATATGGAAGTCTGATATATACACATGACAAAAAGTCAAAATATTTATAAAACTTTTCTACAAACTGGGTGCACCGAATTATCAGAAACCTTAACACGTGATTATGAGCCTCTAAGGAATAACGCGCTGCTCATGAAATTCCTTTTTTTGAAAAATGAATTTTCACGGGCAGCGCGTTCTTCCTTAGAGCCTCCATAATCACGTGTTAAAGTTTTAGATAATTTGGTGCACCCAGGCTGGAGAAAAGTTTTATAAATATTTGGACTTTTCGGTATGTATATATCACACCTTAATAAATAGAGTTCATTTTTTTCGTTCTTGCTCGTGATGGAGGCGGGAAATTTTCGGCCGCGATTTGAATCTTGATGGGGACGCTTTTGCGCGTGCGCGGCGACCACGTGACTGACAGTCAGTCGGTCATAGAGATAAGGTGCGCGCGCCGCGCCGGCGGTCAGTCGGCAAGGCAGCGCGCACGTGCCGACGCGCCGGAGCGGTCGGCAAGGCCCCGACCAATCAGAGCGGCCCCTGCGACCCTGAGGCCCAGCCGCTGCGGTCCCAGAGTATATAAGCCTCCGCGCCATTAGGGGCTCCAGCATTTTGGCCCGGATGCCCCGTCGCGTTTCCCGTTCGTGTCATCGTCGGTTAAACCTTCCCGACGACGGGCGTCGGTATCTGACGTCGACCTGCGGTGGGCGTCGCACGTCAACAGAGGATAAAAAGAGGACGTTCGTGGAAACAATTAGGGAACCATGGCGCTTAATCTGAGTAAGTGGCGAGAGCAATTAATGCTTTAACATTAGTTAATCCGGAAATTAAAAAGATTCAGTTGCAATACTGAAAAACAAAGGGCGATAAAATAAGTAAAAATTGAATTTACGATTTATCTTTAGTATCCGTGAATTAGTGGTATGATGTTAGAATGAAAATTAAATTAATGAGGAATAATGGTTTTAAATTCGTGAATTTAATTTTTAAGGCCGTAGTAGTTAAGGATGTAGTGGTTTATAGTTGCGGTTTTTGTTAAGGGGTCGTGGCCATTTTTCTGATGCGTAATCAGACCGCGTATTCACGGCGCATCGAATCAGTGTCATTGAAAGGGAAAGTCAATTATGTCTTAGTCTGCTTGTTTTGATGTTGGCGATTTAATGTTTTGCGACTCGCCGAGGGTACTGCCGTATTATGTTGCGGTTACAAGTTAACTACTGGCTATGACTAAGCGGCGAGTATAGAGTCACTTCGCGGAGACGAATTTCTTAACGTCACCTTAATTAATGAATACCTTAACGAGGTGCTCGGCAGAACCGGTGGTAACGCAAATGAATACCGTCGAGAAGTTGTAAGTCAGGAATAAACGCTTAAAATATTCAAAACCATGGAGGGAAAAACGTTTAACGGTCGCTTAACGCGCGAATAGCTAAACCATTCTTTTTTGCGCCCGTCAATCCGAAGAATAAAATTGTCATTTCAGGGGGCGTCATTTCGCGGTTTTTTACCTTGAGGAAAATTCATTCAGGAATATCCTTGCAAAACTGGGATATTATCGAAAACGTTAAAGAGAATGAAAAGGAGGAGTTTTCGCACGAGGTCTCTTGGACGGGGCATTTAAAAATGGCCGCCTCCAGCTCGGACCATGTGCGAAGGGCGGACCGCCTCAGTCTTTTTCCTCTGTGCTTGGCATACATTTTCAACGTAAATTTGTATTGTCCATCCTTCTGCTAATCAGCGAAAACGGCACAAATGCTGACGAACAATGTTTCAAGCTTGGCACACTTTTTTATCCTGAATTTTTATTGCCCATCCTTTTGTCAACCAGCGAAGTAGCAGTCTCGAAAAACAGCACTTATGTTGTGGAAGGAATATGGTCTAGTTTCGCGACAAGGAGTGAAATCCGACCATTTTCCTCATCTCCCGTAGAAACCCGCTGACATTTTTTTCCTTATTTCTTTAAATCTGACGTATATATTATTTTATGCCTCTCCTTCACCAACCAGCATTCATTATACTCGGGGTTGCGTTAATGAACTTTTTCCACAGACCGGTTCAGCGAGGAAGTTAAGCTTTTCTTATTTCACGAAGACTCCTGACGCAATTCCTCTCCGATTAATTGCCCACCTTGGCCGAGTAGGCTCGAATGAATCCTATCCCTCTGAAAACCACGGTTAAAAAATTGTCGAGATACTCCCACGCTCCGTACTTTTAATACACTCCTCGATTCTAATCACGGAAATGTGAATTTCAGAGCATACGTGACCGGGACTCTTCGGAGAGTAGCCATTTGTAAATCGATATCTGTCGAAAGTTCCTAAACGCCTAATCGCTTCCTCGAACCCGATAATTGGCTTTTAACGGCTACTTTTTCCCCGGTTTCGAGAAATCTTGAGAAACTCGAAATAATTTCACCGAAATTTCACTCGGCAAGTAATGTCCTCTAAATTCATGGCGTCATCGTCAAACGAGAAATTGCAAAGGAAAATTCATTCAGGAGAATTATCCTTGGTATTTATTATGGCCACGTACTATTGTTCGATTTTTAGAAACGATGAAAATAATTAAATAAAATAAAAAAAATAAAATAAACCGACATTTTACTTAACATGTAATGCCCTCTAAATTCATGGCATCATGATCAAACGAAAAATTGCAAAGGAAAATTCATTCAGGAGAATTATCCTTGGTATTTGTTATGGCCACGGCCTATTGTTCGATTTTTAACGATGAAAATAGACTTGTAAGACTTGATAATCCTGGGTCAAATGCAAATTAAGTCGATTTAGAGGTGCTGTTGGAGGGAGATCCAAATGTGGACGATATCCTTGGTCGTCCTGCATCCCGAACTCGCAGTGCTCGGTGACAATAAATGGGGCGAGACGAGATATTTGCTGATGCATTAACCGACTGGTTCTCGGTCGCAAATTACTGGACCGAGTAATGCATCCGATGGCATGCATCTTTCATGATCCTGGATTCGCTACAAATTCACCTCTCGGCAACTGCAAGAAATCCGGAAAATAATACGATCGATCTCGCCTTCTCCTTGTCCTCTTTCCCCATTGTCTGAAAAAAATCGGAATATTGATCGGATACGCGTTTTAAATAATTATCGGCGAATTGTTAGGTTGTACTGACCCATGTTATCGCAGATTTATGTAAGGAAGGAAATTGGACGATTTCACAATGAAACCTTCGCGATGGCGTTTTTTCCCCGGATCAAAGATTAAATCCCATCTGATCTTTGTAACGTGAGGATCAAAGTTGATAATGAGAAAAAAACGCGTTCTCGACAGGTATTATTTTTTATCCACGGTCCCATGTAAACCTGTATGTGCACGTGTAATACGTATTGATGTACATGTCGAGTTATGCAAATCGTGGATACCTTTAATTCGTCTTCGGTGACGTCCTTCCCTTAACCTGACAGGTACTCCAAAAAAACGCGGACGTAATGGCGAACGATAGACGTCATAAATGAGAGAAAAAAGAGACGAAAAGAAGATACGATGGTCAAGAGGGAATTGGAAATTCGTTAGATATACACGTGGAGGAAGAAGTTTCAGTTTTTGCGGAAGCTACGTCGCGGCTTTGTCTCTTCCTTCTTATCATGTTGTTGCGTGGCGGGAATAAAGGGAGAGAAAAAAGAAAATGGAACGCCTGATAGGTCGTGCGGCAGTCGGCGACTTTATGGAATATAAATTCCCTCGCATGTTGCGGCGGTTTAGATGTACGCGGACTTTTAAGTACACTTTCTAAGCCGAAATGGAAATTGCACCGACTCCAAATTCCGACCACGTGCTGAGGAGACTCTTCCCGGTGACGCAAATGCCGGTGCATAAAGTGCAGGAAAAAGAGCCCGGGGAATATTCTCGGGGGGGGGGGGGGGAAATTACGGACGTAATCTCGAACACGGGGATCGATTATCGAGATTTATTCTAAAAAAGTTCTGGACGAAGGACTAAGAGGCCTTCGAGTTCTCCTTCAATTTCGCAGACCGCTCTTTCGTGACGTAAGTTCCTCGCATGGAGGGAAAAGACTCTCGATGATGTCGCATCCTGAAAGAGACATCCAAAGTGCACGTTTTACGCAACGACTTCGAACACAAATTGCACCTTGCCAATCCCTGTTCACTTCTTCCCGAACGCCGCGATTCGAGGACTGGAATTAGCAGGCAGCCGGGGCCTTGATCTTTGGAGCTGAATCATGCACGCCATCTTCGGCGCCTGAGAGATAAAATGTTTTATCCTCATATTTAGTTTTTTTTTTCTACCTTCAGGAAGACCTTCTCCGTTTATAGAAATTTTTTCCGAATTTTCGACAGGGGGGAAGGGCTCGAAAAAAAATTTATTTCGAAATTCTCCGTGCCTTCACCCGTTTCGCGCTTGGAGGAATTCTTTTTCACAGGGCTCGTACGCATTTCTTTTTGTATCGTATATTTTTTTTTCTTGATCTAGGTGAGCTTTCTTTATCGGTAAGAATTTTTTCAAAATTTTCGTAAGTTGCAAAAGGTCGAAGGAAATTATTTCTTGGGTACCTTTGCTTGTGAACTCTTCGAGGTGTGAAGAGAGGACTCAACTTTCGACAGATTCGAAGGTACGTCAGGCGACGATTTCCTTCATTTGTAGGACCGGCAAGGTCCAAGGTATACCTTCGACGACTATTACGTGATCGGCTAACATAACTTGGGCCAACAACGACCTCGTTAAATCGCCACAACTGCAGACATAGCCGGAGGTGTCGACACTGCAGAGCCACATTCGGCGGATTACGAAATGTCAATTGACACGCGAGACTTTGCGAAAACATCGGGGAGAATTCCTGAACAAATCCCACGGATTTCCTGCGGAACGGGACTGACGGAAAATTTGTATTTCATTTTCTCATTACCCACTCGGATGAGGTAACGCAAATGACGCACCTTGATCCGAGGATCTATGATCTTGAAATTATGCAGAGGATCAATCACCCTGTGACATCGAAATACTTCTTCGGCGTTAATCTCAGTCTCCGGATGAAAAAGACTCGAGCTCGAATCCATGAAGATTGATACCGGAGACCTGCAAAATGGCGCTCTGAATAAAATGTTATAAATTAATATCGGTATTAATATTCGCAAAAGTCGATGCTGAGGTCAATAGAAATGCGGTAATATGGATGAATTAATTAATTAGATAAACCTCTTCGTTCTTCCATCAGCATTTCATGCTCGTGTGCTCATGGAGGCTGGCGGATATTGATCTCCGCTTATGAAATATTCAGAAATTAGTCTCAAGCCGATGACGCAAATCCCATTCGACCCTGATCGATCGCCCCATGATCTTCGGCGGCCCTGAAGATCGGAAAGTTCCGAGCGAGGAAGAATCCTGGAAAAGAATGGCTCTTGACAGTTGTGGAAAAATAATTCACGTCCTAAGGACTGATAATAAATAAATTACATGGTACAATAGAATAACCCAATAAATACAATGACGCCTTAACGGTCGAGGAGAATCTCGTCTTTAATTTTCTTCTTCTTTTTGTTTTTCTTCGTTTTGCATAGGTAAATATTTAAACGAAGGGGAGTACATGTATGTGTCGTTTTTCCAGAGACCATGTTGACCGACCTGGACGAGTTACCGTCTATTAAGCTCGGCGACTTCACCTTGGAGTTCGAGTTGGGCCCTCCGAGTGCGGAACTTCAGGAAGTGGCGAGGAAGGAACTCCGAGAGACCCCGGAAGTCCAGAAGGAAGCCGTGGACAGGTTCCGGGAGCTTCTAAAAGGTGAAACCTTCGTCTTCTAAAAACTGGACTCCTGGAAATGAATTAAAAAAAAAAACCTAAAAATTAAAGAGAATTATTAGACGTCATTAATTATTTTCAACTGTTTTCGCCGAAAATGAGAAAAATCCGCGTTAACACCTGCGAACACGTTCGCGGACATTATCTCGATATAAACATTAATGTCAATAGTAATACTTTTGTGAAGATAAAAAAAAATGGCGTTCTATTTTTCTATGTTAAACATCGACTAGCAGGAGGTACTGCGAATGAAGAATTAATTTTTAACTTTTTCCTCCAGGTGAGACCGACCTGTTGTGTCCCCTGGAGAACGACGCCTGGCTCATCAGGTTCTTGAGACCGACCAAGTATTATCCAGAATCGGCCCTGAAGCTCGTGAAGAATTATTACAGCTTCAAGGTGAAGCATGCAAATGTCTACGATGGGTTGAAGCCGAGTCGGGAGAAGAATATCTTCGAGCAGAATATCCTGACGGTGCTGCCGAACCGGGACCAACATGGCCGACGAATCCTCATCATCGAGCTGGGGAAAAAGTGGAAGCACAATAAATGCTCGTTAGACGAGGTCTTCAAGGGCTGCGTATTGTATCTAGAAGCCGCCATGTTGGAGCCCACGTCACAGATCGCAGGGGCCATCGTCATTTTCGATATGGACGGGTTGTCATTGCAACAGACTTGGCAGTTCACTCCTCCGTTCGCCAAAAGGATCGTCGATTGGCTGCAGGACAGCGTTCCTCTCAGGATCAAGAACATCCACATTGTCAATCAACCTTACGTCTTCAACATGGTCTTCGCCCTCTTCAAGCCCTTCCTCAGGGAGAAGCTGAAGAGCAGAGTAAGAATCCAAGGACCATTGAATTACCTGTCTATGGTCATGCTTGTCGGATGGAGCTATTTGCGGAAGTCTTTGATAAATGTTGAACAATATTTAAAGGCGATTTTGGGGGCGAGGCCCCGTTTGCGCATTATTTATCCACCGGTGGGTAAATATATCTCAAAGATGAGGCCGAGGTCGAATATTTCCTGGACATGCACCCTTAATGATTCGCCGGGGTTATCTTTAGAACTCGTGGCTGGGCATTTATTCATAAATGGGTTCACTTTCCTTTAAGATGATAGGATAGTGGCACCTGTACGTGGAGACCCTAAAGAAGGTCCTGACGCCCGTGTAATGTCAATTTTTATCAATCATTTTCAAAATATCTAGGAACGAACCTTTGCAAAAATTGAAATTTCAGGAGGGGCAGGACCTTCCTTATATCCTCCATATTCGCGTTGTTCAGTTTGAAACGATTAGACTCGTCCAGTTCTCAGAAAGGTTTTACAACGAGAATTTTTCACGCCACTTTCGTATCACCTTAAGCGAGAGATTTTAACATGGACTAGTTCTTGCGCGATATCGGTTGATGGGTTTTAAGATAATAATTGTTGGATGGTAACTCAGGCTTAATTATCTGTTTTAGATCATCTTCCACGGCACGGATCGTAAATCCTTGCACCAGTATATTTCCCCTAAGTGCCTGCCGGATTGTTATGGAGGCACTTTGCAAATTCCTAGAGTAACCGGGCCTCAGTGGTTCGAACTTTTGCTTAAATGCGATAAGGAGTACGAAGGTAATTTCCAATTACTTGAAAATAATATTTCTTCACTGAGAAAAAAAGATTAACTGACTTAAACATATATAGACTGTTGCCTGAGTCATACATAATCGCAAGAAATAATTATTCCGTCGAGAGGGAAAATTATATTGTCGATTAAACGAATTTTGTTTACTCCTACTATTTGAACGCAAGCTTTTGTTGTAACAATGCATATCTTTTTTTTTCAGTCAATTCACTTTTTTCCTCAGTGCTATCTTCCATCGATTCCTTAGAAATTAATAAAAAGTACGCTTCTTTCGGAGAGGCTTCACTTTATACCTAGAATTTACGATAAGTTATCATCAGTCTATGATTCGAGGTACTAATAATTATCGTTTCTTTTTCAGCGATAAACTCCTACGGGTACAAGAAGAAATAAGTGGAATTAATTCGCTATTGCTTCGGCTGCGAATTTGGAAGCCTCTCTCTCTCTCTTTCCTTTTTTTCTTAGATTCTTCACAGAATCGATAACGATTCATGTTCGTCCACCTTATCGACGGAGCGAGTGATAAGTTTGCTCGGTTTGCTCTATTTATGTTAAATTTATTTCTCCCTTATCGCCTTGCACGCCCTAGCGACACAAGGTGCTTTAGCTGCGAGTTTTTATTACGTTTACTATATTTTTTTATACCGTTGAAATCTCGCGAAGTGCCGCGAAAGTGAAGTTCGCCACTTAAGTTGAATGTCATAATTAACGCGAATATCGCAAGATTTTGCACGACGGCGAGGACTAGCAATATCAATTTTCGACCTAATTTTTAGGAGGATTTTGTATTTAAAATTTTCAATCGTCACGGTGGAACTTCCCGCACTTCCTTTTTCGAAAAAGCGGAGACGCTTCCTGAAGTTCCTCTGGTAGGATTATTATTTAACTATCTCCTGTTGCTCTTCGACCTTTACAATTAGCAGTGCTTCAATTTTCTCGGATAACTTTCGGCGATTTGTTAATAAAGTCAAGTTGTTTTAAGCGAGTCGTCGGAATTTCTCGGCGGTAGGATAAGCCTCTCGAAGTTGAAGAAGAAAATAGTTAAGTGGCCTGTCTCACCTATCAAGTCTTCTCAAATCTCTTGCCGGGCTTTATTTCCTTAAATTGAAAAGAAATCCTTATCTAAGACTCCGATTTTAGCTGATACCGAGTTGAGTGAGCGTTATCACGTGAGTATAAAAGCGATTCGCCGATCGGAATAGATCGACACCTCGAGTGACTCTTCAAGTATGAAAAAGTCTACCACTCGGTACTAGTTTTTTTTCTTTTCTGTGTGTATTTCTGAAGATACGAAACCACCAACGAAGACAATTCCTCGAAACCTAGAGATTCTTTCTTCACAGCTCCTTCGGTGGATAACCGCATTTACTTGATGCTGAAGAAACAGGAAGAATGATTAAGCATCGCATAAAAAATTGTAAGGCGATATGAAAACCATTCCATACATATAAAACGTCAAAATATTGATAAAACTTTTCTCCAAACTTTGTGTACCGAATCATTTAAAACTTGTGAAGTTCCGTGAAATTTCATTTTTTGATAAACAATTTTTTTCTATTTATCTCTGACCAGAACCAAGAATACATATTTATAAAAAAATATGAAATTTCTTGATCACCGAGTTCTTTCTTAGGACTTTCATAATCACATGTTGAAGTTTGATATAATTCGGCGCGCCCAGTTTGGAGATAAGTTTTATAAATATTTTAACGTTTAATATATATATAGAAGGATCCTTTTATATCACCTTAAATGCTGTAAAAAGATTTGGTTTACCTTGAAAGGCCTCCTCGAAAATGCAAAAGTAGTTCCAAAGCGTCTCTCCGACTGGCTCTTCGGGAATTTTCAGATTTCCTCCGAATTTGGTCGGCAAAGCTGTCACACCTATATGCGACAGAAGTGTTTGCCTGTTCGTCCCGTGAAAGTGCAATCGATTGCGAAGCTTCTCCTTGGGGGGAGCCAAACATGTTAAATTAATATCGCAAACAATAACCGAGAGAAGGTTCTACTAGGTACCTGAAGGAAGGGCTTGAATATCGCGAAGACCATGTTGAAGATATAGGGCTGGTTCACTACGTGTACGCCCTTTAGTCGACATGGAACGCATTTCTGGACCCACTCTAAAACTGCACTTGCAAAGCTCGGACTGAAATACGTCACTTGACTCAAAGAGAGCCCGTCCATGTCCAAAATCACGTGGACCCCGGATATCTTTGATGGAGGTGAAAGAAATTTTAAAATTAGCCACCAATGATAAAGGAATGAAAATTCAAAGATTCAATTTAATATAATACAAAGGAATTTTAAATAATTCGGCAATGATCAAGCAATCAAAATTCAAGGATTCAATTGAATATAATGCAAACCGATTTTAAATAATTTAGCAATGATCAGGGAATCACAATTTAAGGATTCAATTTAAGATAATACCTGCGTTATCGGCTCCGCCATGGCGGCCTCGAGAATTATCATAACTCCCCTTAATATCTGCTCCAGGCTAATTTCCTTCGGTTTCCACTTTCTTCCACTCTCTATTAACAATAGTCTGCACCCATCCTCTAACCTCAGGGGCATTGGAGTCAGAATACCGGAAACGAAAATTTCTCGATTCATGCTCGGCACCAAGTTATTGCAAATCCGTGGATGCGAAAGCCGGTAACGATAAAAGCGTTTTATCTGTAAATGGAAAAAAGATTCATTGTAAATTATTCCCTTACTCTTGAATATCTTCAAGGTCTTCCTTTATGCTTGCCATTTCCATCGCACTTTTCGGGTACCATTTGCAAGGCCTTAGGAACTTTTTCAGGTATTCCTCTTCCGTGGGCAGGTAGAGGTCGGGCTCACCTGTGGGAAAGAATTATTAAAGATTAGCCCGTGGCAATGAAATTTTAATCAGAATTCCTTTCCCTTGTGCTTGTGAATGTCGCACGATTTATTCCCGCGGGATGGTTGAATAGAAGTGCACCAAAAGTGCATCAGAAGTGCAGCTGATCGCCACTGGGAAATCATGACGGAATCCGGCCGAATAACCTGAATTGCCATAACGTTTCTTTTGCAAATATCCCCGAGGAATCGGGGGTAAAATTCGCTCTCAACTCTGTTTGCTTTTCAGAGCGAGTAAGTATACTTGCACGCATATTGCGCTGCATCGGATGCACTCGAGTGCACGGCAGGAAATCGCAGTTGCACAACTCGCTAGACGTGACTTTGGAAATTCGCTGAGGAGCTCAGGATAGCTCGACAGAGCGATCCGTTAACTCGGGAAATATTTCCTTGCAGGGCAGGACAATTAAAAATAGAAATTACCCCGATGACTCGAGGATTAACGGAAGAGCCTTTTGAAAGTGGCGCGTAAATTCGAATGCATCTTTCAGAGACCCCGGTACTCTAAATGCAACCTCGACACTGCACTCTGACACTTTTACCTGCACGTACACCTGCAATTTTCGCGACTGCATCGAGGAGGGAAACGAAAGTAAAACTGAGAAAGCGACGCTGCTTGTCTTTCCTTTCTACATTTTACGACCCGTTATGGTGCAATCTTGCGCGAGGAATGCCGTTTTTCATCGTTTTCAGTTTACTCGTTGTTGTCTTGTATTGTTCTTTCATTTTCTCTATGCATTTCGGATTTTATCGTCGACCTAGAATTCGAAAATTCAGCTGCTGGGTGCATTGAAAATTTCCACGGTCCGCCCCCGATTGCAGGGAATCTGAGTCGATCGATTTCAAAATCACACCGCGATGCTATCGTGTGATATGAATTTTTACGCCCCTCGAATGTGGTATCGGCGTTCAATTATTTTCGAAAATCCGGTCTCGATTGCCGGAGATTTGTCCGACTGAAAGGGAAACTGAAAAATGTGGAACGGGTGCGTCGATGCTGAAGATGTGATCCTTGCGTTCGATCTCTCTTCAAATTAAATTGATTAATTGATTGCACCTCGAATTCGAGTTATTTTGCACGTCGTATTTTTCGCACAGATTTTTTTCGCTCTGATAATTCGGTTAGGGTTTCAGAACTTTGACATTCGATTGAAGATTCCATCGAGAGGTCGAAGGGTAACTGCGACAATGATCGACCACTTGAAGTCTGTTTCGCAATTAACCTGTATTAAAAAAATAATAATAATAACACGCCGACTAAACAATTATATTTAATTCAATAGAATTTCAAGGGAACATTTGCAAAACCTGTTTCGAAGTAAACCACCACTGTTAAAAATAATTCATTAATTAAACGACCGTCTTTTATTCAGTGGAATTTCAGGGGGACGTTTAGCCGCAGAAATTCTTACTCGGTACTCGATAAATTAATACTCCTACGAAAATCGGCATTCATGATTTAATTCCGCGAAATTCCACGAATTTTCGGACTTTTTGTCCAAGAGCTCCGGACATTGTCCTTCGAATCGGAGCATAAAAAGAAAGTAATGCCCAAGGTTACACAGCAGTATTACCGGGGAAGAAACAGGTTTCAAAGTGGTCTTGAAACGTTTTGACAAGTCGTCCCGAGCCCCGTTGAAGACAACAAAGACCGAATTTTTTTCCAAAATTGGACTTTTAATCAACCAATGAATACCTTTCAGCAATTCCTTCAGAGCCTTATAGCCTTCCTCCCGGATTTCCGGCGTCTCTCTCAGCTCCTTTAGTGCTTTTTCCGTAAAAAACTCATCCATCTCCTCTACGGGTTGAAATACGAACTCTGTCTCGCCGATGTAAAGTTTCGGGGAGGTTTTCAGTCGTTCCTTTAAAGCATTTGCACTTGCAGCTGCAGCGATTTCCGGAATAGCCATTGCGAGTATTCCTTCCTCTTCCTTTCACTCCGACTTCTCCTCAAAATCGATTAAAATTGCGATTAGGTATAAACCAGGGCCAGTGATAACTGGAAATTGGGACGATCTGATTTTACACCCTGGAATTTCGATATATGATAAGCTATCGTTCGTCATCAATAGTCAGCGAATAAGTAAAATCTGATAAATCTGAAAAGCGATCCGTCAGTGATTACTCCCCTAACCGAAATTATGAAAAATAATATCGACTAACCTTGTGGAAATTTCACTGCAAGGCCGACCCCCGGTTTTGATAAAGGAATTCCGACGAAGCGTTAATGAAATCGTTCGATCTGCAATTCAGTGGGCATTGCGCAAAGCTGTTACGTTAATTGTAATCGGAATCGCCGATTCGGGAGCGTCTTGAACGCGGCTGAATTTTTAGCAACCTGCGAGGGAATGATTGGGAAAAATTTGTATAATTATGGATGGTACTCGTTATGACTTATTGATAGTAATATAAAATAGTGACGTCGAGGAGGAGGAGGAAAGAACTCACCTGTGCGGGATTTCCTTTGAGACCAGCCTCGCCTGAGCCACTTTCCTGCTCCCACTGGGAAGGAATTCCGCGCGGAATTCCTATGGGAATTTAATTCCGCAGCGGATCTCGCGGCTGCTTCGAGAGCGCTCTTAGAGATCGAGGAGGGACGAATTGCCGGGGTAATATACAAACTATCACTTATGCTACTTTAAACTCGGTATTTCGAGAAAGGAAATGATCGGACCACCGCGAGGTCTCGTGGTGAACTGGCCGCTCGTGAAATACCGGAGAAGGTTTCAACCTCGGCCAGGTTTCCCCACTTGGACGGCGTGACACTTCGAAACTGTGGAGGATCCTGAAGCAGTACGCCGTCTCACGCGATCGAATTTTAAAAGGGGTCTAATGTCAAAGAGAATACCTGGTTATTTAAAATGAGGGCCACGTCCCGCGAGTGATAATTAACATTGTAATCAAACCGGCGATGAGCGCCTTAGCGTGGCCAAGAAATTACAAAATCGGAAAGAAACCACTAGAAATGTTGACATTTTTCGGAATTCGGTAATGAACGCGTGGTTATTAATTCCTTTAATCGCATTTTATTCATCTATTTGAAACTATTTGTTTTACCTGGGCGTACTTAAGATAGTCTTATCAATGTTGATGAACATTGTAATCAAACCGGTGCTGAACGTCTTATCGTGGCTAGGAAGTTCCAAAATCGGAAAGAAACTATTAAAAATGTCGAAATTAGTCTTTAATAGTCTTCGGAAAACATCATTCATATTTTCCCATTTATTAACGCGTGGTTATTAATCCGTTTAATCGTATTTGACTAATCCGTTGCAAATGACTTTTTTACCTAGGCATACTTAAAATAGATCTTGTCAATGTTAGTGAACATTGTGTAATGGATCGATTTTCTGTGATATTTTCCTTACATTCTGGTTTTGCGCATTTTCAAAAAACGCAAATAATACTTTCCATATTCATTCATGAGCACGAGGGCAAGGCCACATGATATGTCACGAGGCAAAGTCAGCAACTCGTCCATAAAAAATAAAGAAAACGTAGAAGTGGTTACACATGTAATGATAAGTGGTTATAAATCTGTGCGAACCGATCTATGCAGATTAAATCGACTCAAGGTAATGGAACTCGATTTAACCGTACGCGATTTGTCTTTACATATGCAGTCACCTGTACTTTATTTCTTCTCAAGAGAAGTATCACATTTTATTAATCCGTCGTGAACAATTTATTTAACCTGGCCTAATGGCGGCTAATTTTAAATACACGTATAAAATCCTTAACGTCGACGCTCACGGACCGTGATGTACACTTGTTAAGAGTTACCTTAAGAAAAATAGAGAAAGTGGAGGGAAAAGAAGATCTTCAGTCTATTCCTGCTTGCGGAATCCATAGGAGTTCCATTCTGCAACGATAAAAATCGAAGATTGTATGAATATCGCGAGGGAATTAAATCGGTCGTCGGCTTTTCCTCGATAATTAATAACTCTAGTTGTCTCATTTCAGGAGGTGATAAAAATATCTCCTGGACTCTTTTCCATCACAAAATTAGTAATTGGGACGGCATATCATGTTTACGGAGAGCAGTTGCGGAACATCCGAGTGATAGGGTAATGAATCATCCTGGGCGCAATGATACGAGTGCATCGCCGAGTGCAGCACGATTCATGATCTCCACTTTCCAGCCGCATTGTCTCAGAACTTTTCATTATTAATGGAAGATACATTCACGCACCTTTGATTCTGTCCTCGATTTTGAGAAGTGCCGGGTACCAATCGGCACCTGTGTAATCCATTTTCGGCAATTGGCCACCGTAATCAGCTGGAAGATGGCTCGGTGCCATGAAGGCGTGAAGAGAAGACATTTGCGAGCCGTGGAAGTGCATTCGCTTCTTCAGCTTTTCCCTGACGAAGGGCTTGAAGAGCTGCCACACCGCGTTGAAGAGGAGAGACTGCTTCACTATGTGCACCTGCAAGGAACGTCGATGATTGCTGTTATCGTCGTTTCTGAGGAAGGTCTTGCCACGACCCCGGTGGGAAAAAGTACCGTGTAGGAGCTCGGATTTAATCTATATTTTAATTACTTAGATAATTCAAATCATTCTAATTATTTTAATTATTAACTTTACCTCCTTAAGGCGAAGCGGCATGGCGTCCTGGATGAAGTTGAGAAGTCTCATGCTGAAGGACGGCGTCAGTCCCATGACTTGCTTCCTAGACAACCCGTCAAAGTCCATGACAACGACCGTCCCGAAGACCTGCAATCGGTAAATATTAACATCTCTATCCCCGTGTATATTGACCGATTAGGGGAGGCCAAACAGAGAATTGAACCTGACACCTTGCAATCAAGGCCTCCCGCTATCTCTTATCGATACAGCCACTTGTATCGACTCGTGCATGTGTCACGAAGCAAAGTTCGATCGGCAAGTGTACGCATGGAGATTACAGGAGATTAGTCGGATTAAACTCGTATTTTGGTCCGGGAGACAAAAGAGAAGAAGTCACTTGGAAACCAGGGAAAACGATTTCCTTCCCTAAGGGCTGATTGCCTTTGATTTCATATGATAAACGATTCAGTGATAAGTGACCTTCGGCCTTAAAATTGTGACAGTGATTTCTGCTTGCGATTTCCACGTTATTTCAAGCGTTAAAATCCATGATTTCCCTCGAAATTCGGGCTGAGTTTGGACAAGAACCTGCGTTTCTGGCTCCAACATGGCGGCCTCGTGGATTAGGTAGAACAGTCGGAACATCTGATCGGCGCTGACTTTTGAGGGGTCCCATGACTTCCCGCAGTTCACCAGGAGGACTCTTCGTCTCTTGTCGTCTCGGTCCTTCAGGACGTTCACCACGTTGTTCTCGAGGAAGGCCGACTTCTCGTCCTGTGGCAGCAGGTTGTCCAGGAGGGCACTGTGCTTCACCTTGAATTGAGCGACTCTCTTCATCAAGGCGAACGCACTCTCAGGGTAGAACTTGCAGGGTCGAAGAAAAATCAGCAGGAAGTCGTCATCCGTGCGGAAATAGAGGGTCTTATCGTCTGCGAAAATTAAATAATCGTTATTTCACCATCGAAAAATGAACAGGAAGTTATCACGATTTTTATCGGATGAAAAATGAAAAGAAAATCGACTTACGCGCGGAAAAAGATGACCTTGACATACGCGAGAAAAAAAAATCATCATCATTACGTTGTCGAAAAATTAACAAAATTATCAGGATTCATTGACGAAGGAAAATCAATAGGAAATCGCTCTTCGTGAAAAATTTAATTTACCATCAAAAAATTAACAGGAAGTTATGACGATTTCTTTCAGATGAAAAATTAAAAGAAAATCGACCTTCACGCGGAAATAGACGATCTTGATGTATGTGAAAAAAAAATCCACCGTCAGTATGCCTTCGCAAAATTAACAAAGCGTCAACATTTATTTTCACGAAGAACTTAAAACGCGGTGACTTCATTCCATGCGTTTCTGAACTTTGCTCGTTTACTTCGTTGAAGACGATTGTACTTTTGATCGATTGATAGGACGTCTCACGTCACGAGAAAGGCGCGACTGACTCGTATGGATTTGCATACAATTTTCAAATGCGATGTGAAAACGAGAAAACAGGGAAAAAGCTGTAAAACCTAATCACACATACCCCGCACCTATAACCTAACGACATTAATAGCAGTTAATATGTTTCATTGTCAAGATTTGCATTTAAAATGCAGAAAAATGCTTTTGCCGATGCGTGTCCGCGTGCACTTTTCATTGTTTCTCATGAGAATTTCATTATTGTCCGTAATTTGTTATCAGCGACAATTGCGACCTTGCGTAACAAGGAAATCGCCGATCACCGATCACGCACCGAGAACTTTGCCCGTTATTCTCCATTCTTCTTTTTTTTTTTTTCCTTTCCCGTTTCAAAGGTAATTACGGAGATTTCGTTCCATTTTCGTCCTCCCTCGGGATTGCAAGAATTACCGCGGTAATTTCCCCGTAGCACTTGTTTTTCCACACGTATAAAAAGGTCTACGATAATGGTTGTAATTGAAGGCTCGATAAAAAATTAACGGAAGCACCGAAATAGCTTGCGATAATAAACGCAGTGCAGCCTTTAGATCGCCGAATGGAACTTGCCGGAAAAAATTCTATCGGATTTCTTTCCCCCCCCGAAAGTCAAGGTTCAGTAAGGCCCCTCTCTTATCATGCGCGGTCATAGATCGATTGTGTTATCGATATTCCACCCGATCCCCTTTCCAAACTCGAGTGCCCAGGTCCAGAGGAATCTTTCCGACTGACTTGGACCTCTTGGAATTCCTCGAAAATGTTTAAAAAAATTATTATACTCCTGAATATTAATCGCTTCGAATCTTACAATTAATTATGAATCTATATGTAACTTTCAGATCGCCAAGTCAAGGCTCGATCGGAGGAGCCTATTCAAGATAAAAAATAAGTAAAACGATCGACCGAAAGCAGTGCGCCGTGATAACGTAATCGGGAAGACCGAGCGTGACCTGAGAATCGGCTCCATATGCAGCGGATAAGACATAGGATAAGACCGTCGTTATCCACGAAGACATCCTCTCAAAATTCCCCGATTCTCTTAAAAAATTCAGCCTGACACATCCCGAACCAATCCCAGCCAAAAGATGACATAGAATTTTCCTCAAAACGAAAGCCACTTGCTTCGTCCACTTCTAATCACCCTTTTCTATCCACTATTAATGATAACGGTGGAGTACTTTCCTCAAAAGCGGAACATTGCTGATACGAAGACTTGAACGCAACAAAAAAAAAATATATATATATCCGGCGCAAAGTACAGAAAACGTGCAAGATAAAAAAGAAAAACATGAAAATCCCAAATTTCCGGTATTAATTTTATAAATGCAAAGATGGAGATTTTCATGGGAAATATAGCATGCGTGAGGTATAGAAAGCTTAGAAAGTAAAAACATGGGACTTAAAATTTCAGTATTGATGTTGTGACTTTGATACGTGATAACGGCAAGGGGAGCGTAAAGAAAATTTATAAGATGTAGAAAATATTAATTTATAGTATTGCGAGAGTAAAGATGGAGACCCACCCTCGAGCAGTTTCTTCAGGGCGACGATTCCGTTTTTCATGTTTTCCTCGTTTTCGCGCAGCTGCTTTTCGGCGACAGCCTTAACTTCCGGCGTGATGGGACCGTCTTCCAGTTGGAACGCCATTTTGGTCCCGCGAAGAAGAGTCGAGAAATGCCTCGGAAGTCTCGCCTGGAGGTTCCTGATCGAGTCTTAGGGGTAGATCCTCGTCGATGGACGACCGCGATATATCTGGATCGCGGGACGGCCGCGACGGTCTCCTCTTCTCTGGCATCTCTTGGCTCAATCTTTGACCGCTCAAAGTCCAATCGAGCACTCGTATCGAGACATCGAGCACATCAGGGGTCCACGTCATTCGTCCCCGTCTTGGGGTACGATAAAGCGCTGCCCCCTCTCGAGGACTCCGAGATTGCCGGAAAACGCGTCAGAATTGGAGACGGAGACTCGCAATCGAGGACCATTGACCGTGTCGAAGCCGCGTGGATATTCGCTTCCCAGAATATATAAAGTTTCCAAATGGAAGATGGACGCCACCCCATGGTAACTCAAACAAAATGGCGGCCTCCGACCCACCGCCGGCCGTTGCAACAGGGGCTAAAAAGCCCTCACTTTGAATGAAACCTAGTTAGAAAATATCTAGAAAAGCTAAAGAAAGGTATACCACACATTTAGATACCACTAACTCACGAATTGTCACCACTGGGACTTTTAATTATCGCTGGGAACAGTTGCCTCCCTCCCCTCTTCGCGCGGTCATCGTAGTCAGCTGCGGATGAAAATACGACGATGTAGTGAAGTGGTTTCCCGTTTTCATCGCGCAGTTATGATGAAACCTAAGGAAGACAATATTAGAATCGACATTTAGCCTGAGTTCAGAAGTATGAATGACATTTCTGTTGTTTTAACTTATGGAATGCAGTTTTCCTACTCGAGTAACCTATAGCAATGGCCGACGCAGTTGCTAGGGGGTTTCGCAGTGCTCGGGGAGATGGCGCTGTCCACGGTTTCGGCACCTGGGAACAGAGATGAGTTGGGAGATTGCTCACGGGCAGGGTTATACGATCAGAGACAGAAATGAGCAGAGATGAGTTGGGACATTGCTCACGGGCAGGATCGTGCGATCGCATCCTGTGCTGCCCTCTGGTTTCGTACGTTAGCTTTCACCGTTTTTTGCCCCCAAGGGCGGCGCAACGAATTTCTGATAGGAGCTCGCGCACTCGCGATGGCGGTACCATCTACCAGTCGCCGTTGGCGGCTCACGTACTCGTGATGCTAATACCATGCGGCAGTTGACGGTGGTGGCTTACCTACGCTTACCGACACTGCTCCCTTTTGATGGTAAGGGGAGAACACTCGTGACGCTCCATTTGACTTTATCTACAATGGTATGACCTGGTATGACACTCGGCGAAATCTGGGCGATACTCGACGCGCTCTGTGGGACTTTGTGAGACGCCGGGCGGAGGACGCGAGTCTTCATTCTCGCTTTTCGGCGCACACGCATCGCACACAGAGGCGATTGCGAGTCGCATTTTTGTTGTGTGTACACACATCCATATGTGTGGAAAGCGCGACGCGATATCGTCGTCGAGAGACACGCCTCGTCTGGCTTAATCCGGGAGAACGCAAGTCAGTAAGAAATAATGCCGGAGCCAGGATTCGTCGCGACCGACGCGATCGACGGCGTCTGGCCCTTCCTGCAAAGCGTAAGTTTCGAGGCTAATTCCCTTCGACGTTGCTACTCGTTTATAACTTGCTAATATTGCTGGTGAGGTTAGGAAAGCGGTGGCGAGGCGAAGCGGAGAATCCACGGATTTATCGGCGATTGTCACCGGCCGGTTCCAAGATCATTAGGAAATTCACGGAAAAGAGACGCTACTTTCCTGACGGCCGCTGCATTTGCACCGGTTTCACAATGTGGTTAAACGGTGGCATGATAGAGCGCAGGGCTAAATTATGCAATGTATTAACGATGTTACTGGTATGTGTTCAATTCAGAGCGTGTACCACCACGCTCCGTAATCATCTTCCTACGAGAGTACCACCGATTCATCACGTATGCAAATGTAGTGGTGACGTCAATTTCGCTCAAGGTAACGTTTCGGAACGGCAGTGGTTGAAGAAACAATGCAAGAAAGTAAAGTTTGCGATGAAATTAATGCACCACCACTTGCAACTGGGAAAGAAATTACTTGAACCGCTTCGTTGTTTCGGTCGTTGGAAGCAGTGATGATTACTGCCAACTCTTCTCATGGTCAAGGATAGTTATTATTAACACTTTATTGATGGAGTGTGTAGAAATGTACCGTAGATGTACATTGTGTTACCAGTGAGCATAGCTTTTGAGTTATTTTGAAAAGGAAAGGAATCTAATAGTTTGTTCTTATATGTCTCATTTGTGCTCGGGACATTATTTGGAAATAACAAACGGCTTGAGAAAGTTAAGTTGCTGATTCTTGCCTTGTTTCAGATCGAGTGGAGAGACCCATGGCTTGCGATTCTGTTAACGTTTCACATTGCCGTCACCATGACAGCCGTTATGACGAGGAATCATGCAAATTTTCAAATCATTCTTTTCCTTGCTCTCTGTATGGATTACTTCATTATTTTAAATTATGGAATCGCTGTGTTCAATTAACGATTATAATTAAATGTTTCATTATTCTAGTACTCTTGGTCTACTTCTCGGAGACGATCAATGAAGTTGCAGCCACAAATTGGATGTAAGATCCTGGTCCTTATATTTCATGTAACAAAGCATTCCTATAATATTTTATTATCTTTGCATTTTATTTTTAGGGTCTTCTCGAGGCAGCAGTATTTCGATTCAAAGGGGCTATTCATATCGGTCGTCTTTTCGGTGCCAATTTTAATCAACTGCATGATTATGGTGGTAAGTGTTTTCCTCGACTCGTCCCCTTTCATTATTGTTCCATATGGTTATAAAGATTATTACAAATATACATTTCTTATCTCAGGCAAGTTGGCTATATCAGTCGAGCCAGTTAATGACCAGCTTGAAGAAAGCCCAGCTCCGAGAGCAGGCAAAGAACAGAAAACTGGAAGGAGAAGCGAACAGTGCCAACGGCAAGTCTAACAGGCAAAAGCAGGAATAATGGATGAATTTCATGGAATCTAGTCACTGCGAATTTGATATACGTTTCATAAACGCATAATCGTCATTTGCTGATCTTGAGGCGACCAGCTGCGATTGTCCTTCGTAGCCGAAAAGGAGACTCCGGCGACTCGTCGGAATACAAAGTCTAGCTTCCGGGAGCGGCCTATTTATGGATGAACCTTGTATATTCAGCCTGTACATTCAATCTGCGGCGACAATTAACACGGAGAGACCGACGGGGCTTTGGATCGCAGTTGCAGATCCCGTAGCACTAAGCATTGTATATTTTTTTTACCGGATGCGCAGCTTTGCGGTACGGAAGCTAAAGGGGTTTACAATGAAAGAAAGGCGCGGAAAAATGATCTGATTAGGCATTACGACAATACGGCCCGTTTACCACTCTGGCTCTTGTAACGTTTAATTCCCTGAGTGACCTCGCACTCGGAAGAACTCGGTCTTGCCTTTATTTAGAGTCTGACGACACGGATTGCCTTCCCCGAAAAGAATTTTGATTCGTCAGCAACTCCAAGATTGTCATTTGTTAAACATTCCTGCGGCTTTCTTTCTCGCTCTCGTTTAAAGCCTCGTCCTTGACTTAACGAGAGCGGGCGACCGTAACGATTAAGTACTTATGCGACCATGTTCCTTCGTATGTATTGCGAACCTGTAATTTGAAGGGCTTCGAGATCCGACCTAGTCTGATTGCGACATCGGATCAAAGAAGTCTTACGACCGACCGGTTCGCCTGGCGTCGCAATATCGCTTACACCTCATTCAAATATTTACATTATTGCGTTAAATCTAGGCGCGTCGTCTTGCCGGCTTTTAACACTAACCGCGCGATAAAAGTATACACGTGTCTAATGCGTTTGACCCGTACTCTTTATTTTTTTTTCTTTTCATGCGGAGTGGTCCGAAGCAGCCGATTCTTTTTGTGTCGGTGCATTCCTAAACCTCTCCTCGAACGATTGAAAAATATTGAGAAGGAAATCCTGCCTCGATTAAACTCTTTACTCGGAAGTAAGTGCACCATCGAGTGCCAAGAGATGTGCGTTTAGGAATGTACTGGTTAATCCGAAAACGCGGCTCCGAATTACCTCTGTACGTTGTAGCGATAAAGTATTCCCGTACGAAATCAAAAGGTAACTCGTGTCCCGACTTTGCATGCAGAACGTATTTTAGGTCCTCGTTTATGTAAAGAGTGACTGTTCTTACGTTCCTCAATTTGGCGGGGTCAGGTAAACATCTCGACTCGGCTCAACATTTGCAACTAAATGGCCGATTCTCGTGAAATCTCTGAGAGGTATATACGCTGGCTAGGCCGATTTAAATTGTAGATTTTACTTGACATTTCATCACGACGTCGTCTCGGCTCGATTTCATGGAGATCGGACATTTCATAACGAGGGTCTACTCGCCTCGATGCAGAATTATTTCTAACTAATGCTTCTAAGTATCTTACATATATCTTACTCATCTCGAGGGGCGAACTTGTAATTCGACATGTTAACTATGGGATTTAATATCGAAGATAGTCGCCCAAAGGACATGTTAACGTTGCCTAGTTAATGTCGGAGCCGTTTCCAATTGAGCGTATCAATTACATCACCGCGAGCTGCATTTCTTCCTCCGATGCGCGACATCTTAGGTAGTTATCGGAAAAGAGGGTGCAGGATAGATATTTATTTCGTCCCGTTATTTCCCGGCCCTGGAACGTTGTGTTTCTAATTTTAAGCACGCGTTTGTGTACAGTTAAATAAATGACGGATTTGAACGTGATCTTCGTACGTCGATGTCTATCCGAAGGATCATTAATCCGCGCAAACGCTATGTTTCTTATCGTAATTGTAATATTTATTATCAACATAATTTACAGGCGCCCGAGGTGCCCTAATGGCTGTCTTGCAAATTGACACGCGAAGTCGTAGGTGAAGAAGATTCCAATGCAAACTGTGCCCGACCTGGGCCAGGATCTCGGCAACGTTGAAGAGACGGGCCGAGAAGTAATCTCATTACGAAGGGGATACATGGTTACATGCCACACGTATGTATGTATACATATGTATGTTATGGTATATCTATATATATATATATATCTCTTTCTCTCGATATAGCATCGTCGATCGAAGCTCGGTGCGTATTTACAAAGTCCCCAAAGCAGGGGGAGGAGTATCGGTACCTTAAACTTAGATGAAGTTTACACCGGAAGATCCAGATTACCCAACTGTACTCGGCAGAAGATGCTGCATGGCGATGCAACCTCCGTCCTGCGTCGAACATCCTAAGAAAAATGAGCCCTGCTCGAGAAAAGATATACGAGGACACTCGAGAGCTGGGGGAATCCCTTAAACATTCGCGAAGGGAGATCCCATAGAGGAAAAAGCGACACTTAGGGTTTTCTAGGGATTAGTGACGAGCAAGTGCAAGACCGTAGTCTTGGTCTTTGTCTTGCAATTATGGTGAGGTTTTGGTCCTGGTCTCGCACTTTCTGCTCGTCACTTCGTGGAATTTTATAGAACCTCGTGTTCCCAACATGGCGAGTGTCGCTACCCAGTCTGGATGTTCGACAAATGTTTGACAATGTCGCTGGGAATTCCCACCGAGGTGGAACCTGAAGGACCCAACAATGGGAATCCCAAAGCGATCGCTGCTCTGCCGCCATTCGAATGTACCGTGGCGGGCGTGAAGAATGCCTTTCCATCGTACACAACGACACCATTGTCGCGGTGAACGGTCTTTACCTGGAGAGGTACGATGGGTCGGAAGTACCAAGATCAATATCCGGTGTAGTCATGCCAGGGACCGCGTTGTTGTCGGTACTGGGATCCCCCTATGTGGATGGTCTCCGGGGTCCTGAAGTAGACCGTCCTGGAGCGATCACCGCCGACGCCTGAGGGCACGAACTGCGGACTGGGGACGAACGGCTTGTCCTGTTGGTGCTGCTGTTGTTGTTGCTGACCCAGGGGTTGGGAGACTTGATAGTTGTTTTCAGATGACTGCAACACCGGATCCCTGCCCAGCTGCCGATGCAGCGGTAGAACGAACCCACTGGGAAGACTGGTCTCCTGGTTCAGGGTAGGCGTGAGAGCGTCGTTTAGAGTTACGTCGTACTCGCTTTCGGGGATGTCCTGAAGAGGATGCGTGACCTCGTTGATTCTCTGCTTGACTTTAAGACTGCCTGGCCCGCTGGGCTGCTCAGGGCCCTCTTCGGTCTTGAACGTAGCACTGTAGAGGCTGGGCTCCGTGGCCTGGGGCCTTGAGTTTCGAGGACCCTGACTCCTCTGCACATCCTCCTCGGACTGCCTCTCTTCCACCATGTAGCTCGGCCATTTTGCAGCGGGCTTCTCTTCTTCGGGTCTGCGCTGACCAGGGGCTCCTCGTCCGGATCCTGGAGTCTCTGATTGCTGCACTTCCTCCTCTTCTTGGGCTCTTTCCGACTGCAGGTCTAGGGGCCTTCTAGCTGCAGGTCTGTTTCCACTCTGTTCCGCATCCTCCCCTCGGTGCTTCTGCTGCATGTCAGTCTGGATCACCTTGTATGCGTCGTAGAGCTGCTTTCCGTCCAGTGGCCTGTTCTTCGAGTCCCGAGGGGGATCCACCTCTTCTTCAGGGTCCTCTTCGAGGTAGTCGGACTTGGCAGGCTCGCGAGCCGGGACTCTGCCTAGGGATTTCTCTTCTTCGGACTTGTATGTGGCAGTTCCTCGACCTGGGGCCTTCGTACCTACTGGGGACAGACCTCTAGGGTGAGGATTTCCTCCTCGGGAAGGAAGGAAGGGTCTCTTCACCACTCTGACCGCAGTCCTTGGAGGCGGCGCTGGTGGATCCTCCTCGGCCAGGTCGTCGTAATATTCCGAAGAGTACTCGTCTCCTGATGGGGTCTGCCGATGCGCGTATTCCTCTTCTCTGTTACCCACCTGGGATTCTGGGTGTTGAGTCGGTCTAGGGATTTTCTCTTCCTGGTGGTCCCTCGCGGGATGAGGAAGCTCCTCTTCCTCTTCTCTTTCCTCTGTATGGCGATTTGGGTAATGAGACTCTGGTCGTTGAGCTGGTCGACCTGGTCGATCGGAATGAAGTGGTCTTTCGGGTCGATCTACAGGGCGTTCCTGGGGTCTTTCTATCGGCTTCTCTGGCCTTTCTACAGGGCGGTCTACTACTCTCTCTACAGGTCTTTCAGCGACCCTTTCGACGGTCCTTTCAGTATCCGCTCCATGATGCTCGACAGGAACTGGTTGAGTTTCGCTTGTACTCTCGAGAGCCCTTTCAGTGGTTCTGTCATAAATGCTCGGTCTCTTAGGGTGTTCGGCTGCGTCGGTCGGTTCCTTGGACCTTGAAGAAGACCTTAGACGATCAGGTTCTCTCTCCCTGTCTTGGATCCTGGGGGATTTTTCCGGTTTTTCGGTGCTTTGAGCTCTGCCCAGGGTATGGTCTCTCTCGCGATCTAGGCTCCTCTCTGGAGATCTGTCCTTTCCACGATCTAGGGATCGATCCCTTCCTCTGTCCCTATCGTGGTACCGGTCCCTTGGACGTTCAGGGTACTTCCTGGGCCTAGCTTCCTCGTCCTCTTCTCTATACCTAGGTCTGAAATCAAATAGTTGCAAAATTTCCTCCCCCTAATTTTATGCGCATATGTAATGAGAACAAATTGAACTTCGAGACTCATTACCGAAACGGCCGATCCCGGTCCCGATCTCGCTCGTAAAAATCCCTCTCCCTGTAGGAAGGTCTTCTTCTCATGGGTCTTCTGGGCCTCACCTCGTCGACCTCGTCCTCGTAGTAGTCGTCCTCCGGAACCTCGGCGGGTCTTCTTCGAGGTTCGTCTGGAAAATGTTTGTAGTCCCTCATTGGTCGAGTCTTTAACAAAACCCCTGCCTGAGGTCCATTACCGACATTACCAAGTACTGGCTGAGCGGAAGTTGCTTTATAGGCGAATCTGTCCTGCTCCGAGAGAGGTACAGGTCTGCGAATCTTCGGTGGAGCTCGAGGCCTGGAGTAAACCGAGGAACTGGGTGCAGCAGGTTTAACTAGACCTTCAACCCCTGCAGATGCAATCGGTGGCTCCTTGTCTTCATACTCCTCCCTGTACCTGCAAAAGAGGTCTCCATATATTTTTTTTTTCTGGAAGCGTTCGTCACCGATCCGAGACATTAGATTAACTTTTTATCTGTTATCCTTGAGTAGTTGAAGAGACCAACCTCTTATCCGAATTTCTAGGTCTGGTTTCCGAGTGCCAGCGGTCGTCGAGGTCCTCTTCGGGGTCTCTGAACTTAGGATCCTGATCTCTACCTCTGGACCTGGGTTCGTCCTCGGGAGGATCTCTCCGAAGGGGATCCCTTCTGTTGGCCCTCGAAGAGAATCTCTCCCTGTCCCTGTCCTCTCTCTCCCTAAGAGGCCTAGGTGGTTCCCGCTCCCGGAAATCCCTATCTCTGTCTCTATCTCGGTCCCTCCTGTATTTCCTGTCCTCGTATTCGTAATCTTCTCTTCTGTCGTAACCCCTTGGACGGTCTCTATCGTACTCCTCGTCGTAATAGTCTTCCTCGTAGTAATCGTACGCTGGCCGCCTTCTGAAGGGCCTGCGTCTTCTTGAGGAATCTCTGTCTCTATCTCTAGGCGGAGACCGCGTCGGTGGCGCCACACTTGGAGCTATCGTGGTACTCGTAGAGGACGTCGTGGTACTCGTTGTGGTTGTAGTCGCCGCCTTGTAGAGAGCATCATTCCGGTGCCAGTACTTCTTCGAGTTGATGCAGTCGACCTCAGAGACGAAGTGGCAGATGAACGTCTTCTGGTCGAACGCCGTGAAGTTGGCGCAGAGGAAGTCGTACCGGGTCCCGTAGAGGCAGTGGTGGTACACCTGTGGAAGAGTGAACATCGAGTCTCGTGACTACTGACAGAATCAACCAGGGATATAATTTATAATAAGGTTAATAGGCGTAGAAAAACGTTCTCTTCCAAGTAGTTCTCGGAGAAGATGGACGATAATGGTCCGTCTTGTCCTGAGGACACGGAAGGCGGATGAGCTCCTTTAGAAATCGAGCAATAATTCTCAGCGATCTAGTGACTGGCCCTCGGGGAGCAAAATCGGAGGCGACGGATCTCCGGCGATGTTCGCCAGCCCGGAAGAAGTCCGATCGAGTTTCCGCCCGGCGAAACGAGCAGGGTTACCAACACTCTTTTCACCGAGCATGCCTCGTCGGCTTTCACGCCGTCGCAGTGCACAAGCCGGGAATAATTGCTTCGGGCTGCACGAGCTAGTACTTCAACTGCGCCGACTATTCGCCGGCCTCGGAATTATCTCGAGGAATCATCTGGAGATATTCAGAGCACGTCCTCGCGGTCCTTTCGCGCCGCGAGCGGCGCCATTTCCACGCCAGGAAAAAATCGACCGTCCAAATTGTCAGACAGGATTCCCCGGCTTTCACTGCGATCGCAAACAAATTCTTCCCTGGGCTATAGAGGCGCGGTCGACATTTTCGAGATGCGTGATATCTACGGTAGCCGATGCATTGGCTGCAATCGCCATTTTGCTCGACTGGAATTACCCGAATTACGACAACGGCCCGTTCGCCATGAAGAAAAAAGAAATAGCCAAAGGGCGATTTCGTTTGGTGGCGTTGCGCCAGATAATTATCCCCGTGGAAACAGTAGCTGGTACTACCAAGCACTGGATTCGCTCGTTATTTGAGCATTGTTAGAGGAAATCTAGCAACAGACGAAAGCACTATCCCCGGGATTTCCGGTTTCGGAATCGTCCCGGACGCAGCCGGAAGTGATCGCCACCGAGGCCTCGGATTTGCATGACAATGGACCGTCAAGTTCCGATGCTCCTCCTAGGCCGCGATACCAATAATACCGCGGGAACGATTTATCGCAATCGTGCTGAAGATCTTGCAATTTCTCATTTAGCCCACGAAACGGTCAGGGCCGTTCCGTGGCGCAATTTCTCCCAAGAAATCCTAATTCCGAGAGCCGACCGCTCTTCCACTGAAAGTCTCCCAGTCTTGGCTATTAATTGTCCACGTCGTTAATAGTTTTGCCGAATTATTTCCATTGATGAACAGAAGAAGATATTTTATGAGTGTATTTATGAGTAAATATTTTCAGTGCTCACTGTATCGTGGTTTCGCACGATTGAGTGCCCTCGATTCCTGTAAACGTTAGAAACCCGGTGAGCACCAAAATGGCCGCCCGCTTCACCGAACGTTTCTTCACCTCGCGATTCTTCGAGAAGCTGGGCCGTTTTTGCGCCAACTCTTTCGCATAATTATGCACCCGCGAGATCCGTGAGAACGGCACGATCGCTTTCGGCCCGGCTACGACAAGAATCGAGCGATTTGCATCGGTTTCTTTGTCACCACGAAAGGGAATCCTATTCCAGCGTTCCGCATCGCGGATTAGACCCGGAACGCTGGAACGGAACACCCGGCGAGTGTCTTCGCTCGAAAACCGACCTTGCGCAACTCTCCGTAACTTTTCCCTCCGTTTACACATTCCAGTGGAACCAAATTCGATTTACTGAGCGAATCCGCGACAGAGAGGAGGAAACAAATGTGGAAACTCGGGATTTCAAGTCGATGGACATCGTCCGACAAAATTTCGCAAGAGGGGTTCCATTTCATAACCCGTCGAGCCGTCATCGTTTAATCCTGGTTTCGGAAGAATCCCTCGGGAGATCATTCGTTAACACCTGTCGTGTCAATTGACCAGGCGTCTCTAAGTCAATTTTCGCAAAGACTTTCACTTCTCGCCTGATTTATGATTCGATTCTGGAAGTTAACTTCGCGGTGGAATCGCTTTGAGCTTAAACCACGCGATGGCGCCATCTGCGGACACGTAGAGGAACTAACCTGACACTTGTGAGGCACGCTGGCATAGAAACCATCGTGAAGGCCGTCGCATTTGAAGTCTATGTCTTCGGGTATGCTGTTATAGAAGGGATAGTCGCTCAAATTATACCCGTTGAGTTCACGGGGTAAATTCGGGTCCCAAATGTAGTCTATCTGGGGAATCCCTGTTAAGGTGTGCCCGGTGGTGGCGTTCGTCTCGCTGGAAACCGTCGTCACCTGGAAAGAGGGATGCTTTTCATTAAACCGTAAAACTAATTGCATTGGAAATGTGGTCTACCGTAGAAAGTTTACGCATGCAACGGTAGCACCTTCGGTGACGGGTTAGCGCGCAGAACAGAAGTTTAGAAACTACAGAATGGCGCAACGAGCATCATCTGTGCATTAAGGCGAACCTCCATTACACGAAGAGTGACTGACAGTACCCCCGAGGACCTGTTCTTTAGATAAAGATGCACCGGTAGATATTACTGTTACGTTAACGTGCGAACCTCCCACACAACGAAATCGCCTTGAACGTTGTGCAGTCATTTCATCAGCGTCCATTTACTCGCCAGCCATTTCAAGAAATGCACATTCAATGAGGATCCGTTTAGGTTTTTCCCCCCCACCAGATTGCCCTCTAACGACCGGTATATCCACGTGCAATTCTTCTCGCCATTTATCGCCGTTAATTATCAATAACATCCTTCTCCACTAGCCTTTGACAGCCCTTCACTTTTCTCTGTTGTTAATTAAAGACACATAACCATTCGATTTCCTCACCGATCATCAATTTAATTTTTCCTATAAAATTACCAGGATTGCACTTCATCTCTAGATTTACCGATCGGTACGATCTCTGGTTTACATTTCCATACATTAAAACGCATCCACTAGGGAAGGACGCACAATTTATTCTGGGTATTTATTTATAGACTGAAAAATCAGAGGCTTTCTTCAAGGATCCTTGTACAAGTGACACGGGAATGTCAAGGATCAAGGAGATCGGTAAAGACGATCATTATTTACTCTGGTACGTGTCTCCAGGATCTCCTCACTTGGTCCCTAGCGATCGTCTCGAGAGAGCTTCCGTTAATTCGGGTCAAGTGCGACATGTCCTACTTATTTTTATCGCGTGATAAATCACGCCTCCATGTTCGCGCTACTCATTATCAATTTTATCCCTCTCTCTTTCATTCTTTTCTCAAACGATCTATATTAACGTCGAAAGGATCCTGGGACTACAGAACGAATTACCAACCGCCGCATCTCCCTCGTCGTGTCCTTCGGCGTCAGAGCTTCCCGAAGCCGCCGTCGACGGCGCTGGAGTCGTCGTCGTCGACGTAGTCGCGATTTTGAATTTTGGCCGGGTGTTCTTTAACGCCGCCGACACTGCCGTGGCCAGAAGAATTCCTAAAAAATAAAGAACAGACACTAAATACTAATTTGTTACGCCCGAAAACGTCATTTTATTCCTTCGCCGTTAAGCCTGGTTCATGCTTCCTACCCTAATTTAGCCCTACCTTAATTGTGCAAGAAATTCATGGGAAGCGTTTATACTGTAAGAGTTAAGAGAAGCATAAACGCTCTCTATAAATTTCTTACAGTAAAGAATTAAGTTTGGGTTAGGACGAAACCATAAACCAGGTTTCAGACGTTTCGAAGCGACCCACCTAGGCGAGGTGTCATGTCCGCCATTTTCGCGGTTTTCATAAGTGTTTCAGTCGTAACGCTTAAACGATCGTAAGTACGGACTTGCGGTTTGCGGCATTCTCGTTCACTCGACGAGGGGAATCTTACGAAATTCGCGTGTATGCCCGTTAAAGAACTGACGATCGCCCACGCCATTTTCTCAAAGGCGCGCGCGAACACCGCGGCCTACGCCATCTTGACGAACGCCCCTTCGAAGACCTTAAGATCGCGAAGGAACGCCCGGAATAAAAGGAATCTCGGTCAAACGATTTTAAATGTCAGGGCGTGATCGAATCTTGTAAACCACGAGCATAGAAAGAACACATTGTTCGATTGTTCTGTTTCCTAAGGGGTGGGGAAACCTTCACGTACCCTTTTACCGACAAGTACGTAAAGAAAAATGAATTAGTAAAAGTGTGTCGTAAAAATGTCAAGATAGAAATGATAGAAATACTTTCAGTCCTAAAAGTCGCCGATATAAAGCTGGACAAAAGAAATTTAACTGGCTGAAGAAGTCAGCCAATCTCTGAGATCGCCATTTACCAACCACTTCCTTCGTTTCTTCAGCCAACGACCGGCCGTTAACAAAGGAAGAAGCTTCTTATTATTCCCGACCTAACTGTCGGCACAATGCGCCGATATACATTTATAAGCCATGAATCGACACACGGCTGGAATGCCGATTACTAGAATCCAGGAATCGAAGGGCCGGTGCAATGGACTTAAATTTAATTTAAATGGCGTTCTTATATTACGCTTTAATTTGATCACTCACCATAGAGCGCGAGAAGATGCCATCTCGTCTCTCTCATGATGAAGCCTCTGGAACAAAAGAAGTAAGAAAAGCGTAAATCGTCGAGCCAGAGGTGAACGATCGGGATCCGATCTATCGCGATTGCGCCTAATTATCGGAGCCCGATCGCAATTGTCGATTTCTCCGAGAGAAAAAGACACTCGGAGCTGCCACGCCGACGCACCGGCAAAAAAATCGACGTAAGAGAAAAGCCCCCGATTTCACCTCAAAACGATTCGCGCGCGCTTTGCATAACGCGACGACACCAGTGGCGCCCCGTAGTGGTCGACCGACGAAGCGCCGCGAGCGGTAATTCGGGAAACATAACCTATTAGTACAAACTCATGCATGATCGTTGCTACGTCAGGTAATTCGGTAGAGTTTCGCGCCAAATACACACACTTGCATACGTGGTTGTCTAGGAGTTTTCCCTGAGTATTCACACCACCACAGTGCTAACCGCACCCAACGTTGCTTAACTTTGGTGATCCGACGAGAACTTACTTTCGACGGCCAAACGACGCTATAAACATTTATAACTAATTAAACCGGCGTCGGCGTCCCGTTCAAAGTGACGCCGCCTCTAGGGCAGTCTTAAAGGTGGCAATAGAGTTATCTATCCTGCTTTACTTCCATCCGCACGTTATCCACAGGGTGTCCCGATAATTTTCCTCGGAGCACGTTTTGCGCATATTATCGCGAATCGGCATAACTCCTGGCAAATGGTAGACGGCAAAAAATCGGCAGAGTAAACGCGCACCTAAACCGAGTCGCGTGGGGGAGCCTGTAATTAATTTTAGAGTGGATAACGTCCGATGGGGAAAAATTCGAGCCGGTTAGGGAAAGGTCGGAAGAAAAATCGAAAGTAACGGCTGCCATATTGTGCCGACCGCGCCCACCGTTGCTTAACTCCTGTAACAGGACGACCGAGAACCGGTGCACTCGTTGTTGTATGGGCGTAATAAAATCGTGTAACGACGAGCTCGTCACTTTTTTGGCGCGTCTCGATATTACGCAGGATATGCAGGGAAAACTGGCCTCGGGGAGGTTAGGAAACGGTTGGACTTCGGGGGGGGATTTACAAACCCGCGACAGCGTGCAGTCACGATTTCCCTGTAATGCCGGAAAATTAATCGTCGAACCAGCTCGAATCTATTTCTGCGACGAATTATTTGAATTAAAGGAGGTAGGAGGAGATTGGCACATTCTCTATCTTTAAATCCGACCGGTGAAAAGAGCTGATAATTAGAGCGTGCGCAGCCAGAGGACGCCACGCGTCGCCATGGAAACGTTAATACGACTCGAAGCTCGGAAAAAGAATTCCAACGAGCAGGTTTCGCAACAGGAAGACCGGGAAAATCCTCTATTCCCTTCTCGATTGCCGTTATTAACTATAGTTATTGGCACAGACCATTGCAGTCAGCATTAAATACCGCGGATGGCATTTATTTCTGAATTACCGATCGCCCATCTCGTCGATACGTATGGGTCGAGGGTGACTCGAAGGAGATAACCAGTTACGGACGAGCCGTGATTCAATTCCCCTGTCTCAGAACTACGACCGGTTACCAAATATGAAGGAGCGATCTTTGCGATTACCGAGCTCCATCCGACCAGTAATTCGCGGACTAATCGGGAAGTGATCCGCGCGATTCTCGATTCCATTGTGAGGAGGGATAAGTGCTCGAGATAATAGCCCAATGTCCAATTATTATCCTTTCACGGAGGTATTTACCTCCCCATCCTCGATGAAACCCTATCTAGCCTGTTCCTCTCCTCTTTCCCCTTAGAAGATATTTTTCAAAATCATTTTATACCTCCGAGCTAGAAATTTCGATACCACGGATTTCTCAGAAATGCACTTGGCTCGAGACTCCATGCAGCTTTTTACCCCCCCTCTCTGCCTTTCTCGACGGAGCAGAAAATCGGCGCCATCTGTAAAATCCCGTTGGTAGAACTCATAGGAATTTTTTTTCGATCTTATCAATTTCATGTGAATCTCCCCACCCAGGGCGACATTGACGGTCACTATTTGATCTTCGGATTTTCGCAAGTTGGGCTAGCACAATGTTACACGGTGGCTGAGCATATGGGAACGGTTGGGAACTTTCTCCGTGCTGTCACCATTGCCGGCCATAATGCAAGGATAACGTGGGTGTTATATAAATGTAAGATCACGTAACAGTCGGTGCGCCCCGCGATCAGCGCCACCCGCCGGGGACCGGGCTAATTCATTTCCCCTGGACCGCCGGCGCGGATTGGCGCAGAAGTGGAACCTCACGAGCAACCAGTACAGTGCGTCGGTCCAGGAGAAAGGGTCCTTCCGCCCAACGAGCAAGAAGTCCACGCGTGACGATAATCGGACGGTTAATCCTGCTGCCGACACCTCTCGGGAACGAGTATCGGCCTTGAATCTTTTCCCCGGTCACGTGACGGATGGCTGCAAGCGTTTCGCACAAATGTCACCCCATACGTTCTCTACATTTGCATTACTCCCCGAATAAATCGCGGAAGTGTTTCTTGGTTATGTACTTACTACTTCTGTATTACTCTCCGAATAAATCGCAGAAATGTTTGGAGGTTATGTATTTATCCCGTCCCGAGTGTAGTGTCACGTGAAAACGGGAAGATAAGAAGATGCATATAAAAAATGTCCAACAGGAAGAGCCAAACATCGTGTCGTATAGAAAGTACCGTTAAAAAGGAACGGTCAATGCGAAAAGCGCCTTGGGCTTTCCTTTTTAAGGTACCCCAGCCGAGATTCTTAAGTTTTAATACCACCGGGAACCGTAACTGTTAGTTACGTCACGTTACACCGAGTTACGACACAACTAACGGTCACCTGTGACCGCTAAAGTTCACCGGAAGTCACGGCTACATTGGCCAACAGGGCGCCCGGTGGAGGCGGCGCACTTTCTTTGGAAAGTAGTTGCAACCAATTGCAGCATCCGGCTCGCCGAGCATTTTAATAACCGAAGGAACATATCGGAACCACGGCGAACCTTCGTCAACTTCTGATTTAATTCCGTTTCCCATCATGCGCCGCCCCACATTTGCAATGGCGACGTTCGGAGAGATCTAATAACGAGCGCGCTCCTTAAATGTGTGACGCCGGCTTCTCTAGGGACTTCTCACGTGATATTTCACATGGCGTCGTACTCGAGATGCTGCAACACCGTTGCAACATTCCACCCTCCATAAGTCGTAACTCGATGCAAGGTCGTTAAGCCGTCGATAAACCTGCATTTATACGAGCGTAAACCCTCGCATTTCGCTCTTTCGCTTTGAAATCGCAGAAGTTAATAGAATCGAATCAAACGTTTATGACAACGTCGCAAAAAAACACCAGATCCTAGTCCCCAGACGTTCCACGTCTCCATACTGTGCGCCAAGGCTAAAAACGTCGCTATTCCTGAAACCTCGTCCCGTTCCATACTATTAAAAATATTATTATAAATATTTCGAACACACGAATCGAAGTTCTAGATACTAAAATCATAAACCGGGCAAACGTTCGCCACACTTGTATGTATATGATGCGAGGCTCTACCGAGTTTCCTGATCCCTTAACACGGTTGTACCCATCTCTAAGTATTGTTTCCTGAAAAATTCCACGTGTGTACTATTAGGTTGAGGAATAAGTCCCCGCGGTTTTAATTACGTTACTTTGCGTTAAAAATGGCGGAAGCTTATTCCTCAAGCTATATCTCGAGCAGATATTTCCATGTGTGAGGCGGAGTCGACCGAGTCGAAATTTTCTTCCCGGAAAGGAAAGGAACCCGTGCTCCCGTGGCAAGCGGGCAAACGTAAATTCTCGAAGCGGTTTCACTCTTTCACGGAGCAAAAGTAAGTCCTGCCGATCACGTGGCCCGCTGGCGCAAGTGAGGACTTTCCGACGCCTCCGGTTTGCAACTCACGCCTCTTGACACTGGTCGAAATAATAGCAGTAATCACCGAAATTCATTACGGAATCCCTAGATAGGCCATTTAAGTTGCTCTCTCTCCGAGCGCGCCGGTTTTTCGAAATCGCCCCAAAGAAACCAGCCCACTAACGAACCTATTACACATTAGTTGGGATCATACCCGAGCGGTAGAGAATTCTGTCCCGCCTAAGAATTTCTCTTTGCACGCGTCGTTTGGTATCAGCGGCTCCGCGCATTCTTTCCTTCCCCCACGAATATCTTATAAACCCATAGCGAGTCCACTCGCGATACGATCCATGCTTTTTAGTCCTCGAGACTAATAACAGGCCATATAACTCGTTGCAACACCATTTCGACTACCGCGAGGCTCTCCACATAGCCGCCATCTTGCTTTCCACTCGAAACCAAAGAAAAAGTCATTTCTAATTACCAACGTACAAAGAATACATCTAAATCTCTCCCTAAGGAATACATGCCATGTGCGCATGGGATATAAACGGGTATTTCAGCGGTTTTTCCTCGTGGAAATACAATTTCTCGAAATTCCACTCCCCGAAGGAATCCCCGGGGTCCGCCGCCATCTTGCCGCAGGGTCCCAAACCAAATTACCATCCCTCCACCCTCTTCTTAACCAGGTCCCATGATCGATGCTCGATAAATTGAAGGAAACATACCTTTCCCAAGGCTGCGCCTATTCCTTCTTGGTCCTCCCGAAAGCCTTCGTCCTCATGAAAGCCCTTTTTCGACGAGAATCTCGCGACTCGAGGCCGACGCGGGGGTTCCACTTTGCGCCACGTGCAGCACCACCCTCTGGCACTGGGGAGCACTCGGCACCGATAGCCACGGCCAAAATGTACGGTATGGTATTATATATACTATATATACTATATATACTATATATACTATTTATATATATATATATTTATATATCTATATATAATCCGCGAGGTCGGTCGAAGGTGAGGAAAAGTCGCGACGATGAGACGATAGCCGGAGGTACCGCACGCACGATATCGGCCGTTCGGCCCAGACTGAGAGACCGTGAGGTGGAAGTGGAAGACACCGGGAGTAGTAACAGACGTCGCCGTCTGGTGAGCTTTCTACACCGCGGCGCATGGTGGGGACGCATTGGCGCCGCCTGGACAACTGGAGAACTTGAGGGCGTTATTTACCTCGAGGGAATTCGCTCCAAATGAAGCCGCGACATGGGATCGGTTGTCTCCTATTAGGTTATCCCACAAGGTACGTGCCCCATTATCAGGAAACTCGCATTAAATATACACCTGCATACATTGTATATCGGTAAAAAAGATTCACTTCAAGAAGCAAAAAGTAACACTAACGATTAATAATGTGGTTCCTTCGTTATTCGCAACCTGGGACAGTTTTTCAATCGCTCTCTTAATAAAATACAATAATAATTGTGTAATATTCGTGCGGTCCAAACTAACGGGCTAACTCGATACTTCGGATTTTACTAGATCAAGGGTTTATTCTGGTACATAAATTTAAATTGATAAACTGTTAAGATGTAAAGATGCAAGATGTAAGTAAATTGATAAACTGTATTAACAATTTCGATACGTTAAAACAATAAAGCGTCAGCACCCTTCCTCCCCTCTGCCTTATCGTTGTTTATTCACATTCTGGCTTGATTGTTCGTTAGATAGTTCCCTCGGATGCTGCGAAAGCTCGTTTGATTCGTCTTCGCCATTGGCGTGGGGAATCGCTCGCGAAATCCGAGAGGAATCCCTCTCGAGGAATGAAAAACGCGTCCGAGGCGGGAAACAATGCGAACAGGTGCGAGCTCTCATTGCCGGTGTGTCTTGCGTTTTGCCATCGATCCGAAGTGAACGGCGGTATCCCGCTCGATCTTTAAGGTCCGCCGGTCTTTGTGTGGGCGCGGAATACGACTGGAAGTTAGGTTAGGTTAGGCCGCGAGCCTGGACTCGCCACAGCAACGCGCCTCGATTGTCCGCGACCGAATGAACCGCGACACCCCCAGGGTGTTCCTTAGAATGCGAAACGCATTAAACCCGACGCCTACTGCGTGGAAATGTCATCTGAAGAGAGAGGCGTCGCGTCAGTTGCATCTAGAGTTTTTCCATGATTTTCTACGATTTTCTACAATTTTCTAGGATTTTCTTCGCAACTGTGAGAAACAATATGGCGGCCGCAGGGGGGCCTGGGAAATCGTTTGGGAAAACAAGATGGCGGCGCCGGTAGCCCTGATCGAATCACGCGACGACTCGCCTGATGAGAATCTAACCTAAACGAGAACCCTATCGAAGACCGAAGTGAAAGTAGAACGTGGAGCCTCTCGACAAAGGACGCACGCGCCAACCGGTGACAAGAAAAAAAGCGAAGACACCGACTATCACCGACCTCGGAGAATCCGGCCCCAGGAGGCTCCCAGAAAAACACCGGACAACGCTGGCCCTAACAACGCGGACAATGGCCATGGCGGCGCCGAAGACGAGCTTGTTTGCACCCGTGCGTGTATTTATAGCACCGCTGCTCCATAGTCTTCCAGACAGCCACACGGAGGCCCGTGCGCCGTGAAAGTGAATACGTGCAAGACACGGTCACGTATGCGATCGTGTTTACCGGGGCTTGAGAATCGTAGAAAGGAACGCGAAAAGGGGATGAAAGAAAAATGAGAAAAAGGAGAGCCGATCGACGTGGCCGCCTTTATCGGTTAATATCGAGAGGTCCATCGGCGAGGAGGATGCAGAGATTTTTCTGCATAAATCCGAGACAGGAGCATCGTCCTTCGCTAAGGACGCCTGGTCCTTTTCCTTTTTCCTCTCCCGCGTGGCCAAGGCCTCGAGATTTTTCTGCGCATCCTGCTCCCCTGTCTTCCCTTCTACCTCGAATTAAAGCCCATCCTGAAACCTTGGGGGCCGTAGACTCTTTGTGGAGGGACCTTCCTTTTTCCACGGGTTTCGCCACGACCAAGGCCTACGAAATGATCGCACGCTATTTTTCACATTTTGATAGTATCCGACTCGAAACTTTCCCAGGACGCGTCCCTCGATGCTTCGTACGCGTATTGTTAGGTTAAGGCATACATTTATTCTACACTTTCAATGTTGATAAACATTATTATGTCCGCAACATCCTCAAAAACGTGACACCATGATCTGTCTTCTCGGCGAGTCGAGTGACTTCAATGCGTGGTTAGTCAGATTTCAGTCTAAAGTTTGAGTTCCCTTCGAAGATCATAACTGTTTTCGACAATTTATCCTCATAACCGTAATTATTAAGTCAAGGCACACATTTATTCCACTCTTTCAATTATGATAAACGTTATTATGTCCGCAACATCCTCAAAAACACCACATCATGATCTGTCTTCTAGGTGAGTCGAGTGATTTCAACGCGTGGTAAGCGAGATTTCAGAATAAAGTTGAAGTTTCTTTTGTAGGTGGAAACTGTTTTCGATTATTTAACATCGTATAACCGTATAATTGAAACGCCTCGCGGAAATTGCCAACTGTATCGCCGGGGGAACGTCGAGGGACGCCACCGGAAGATCCAAGATGGCGCCGAGCGGAAACGAGATCCTCGGTGCGTTACTTTGATTCCGGGTCCCAGGTTTACGCCGGGTTGACGTAACGGATCACCGGGTAAAATCGAGGGGACGGAAATCGAGCAGAAAACTTTCTAGGGATATTAGAGCGACGGACGGCACGCTTTTAACGTCCTTATTTTCCCGGAAGGCAACGTAACGACGGGCCCGGACAGTTCGGGAAACGATTCCGCCTCGTCCGGGATTATTGTTGCCCCGGTAGCGGCAATTTCGAGCGACCTAACGCTACGTTACGCCGTAAACGCCACTCCCGGTTATTCCTCGACGTCGTTCTCGTATGTTACCTAAATCGAGCCATTATTTTAACTCGAAGGGTAAAGCCTGACTTTGTCTAACATTAGAAATTCCCCTGTATAGAACATGAGTTTCCAGACAGGTGCATTAAAAATACGATTCCTAACGGAGCGAATTTTAAATAAACGCGTTTCTATATTGCAATGTTACTGGAAAAAAAGGGCGAGATTGTGCACCGTTAAAAGTATTCATAAAATTCATGCACTTTCAGTACCTAAGGTTGTAGTAGAATCATACATTTAATGTCCTAAAAGTGAATTAGCATACATTTATACTTAATATACCATGTATGAATGAAACTTCCAACAAATGTATTAAAAAATTATAATATCTTTTTTAACAGGGTGAATTGTGAACTCTGGGAAAGGGTTTTCCGAGGTAATCGCATCGGAGAAGGGTCGAGAATGAGGACGGAAGAAAGGAACTAGGCCGTCCTAGGGAATGTTCAGCCACTTCTTGGGGATGTATGGACGGTTCTGGCATAACGCAAGGTCTACGTGGAAAAGTTCACCGTGGAACGTTCACGCGGCGAGCGCTCTCGGTGGACGGCCGATCGGCGAGCCGGCCACTCACTTTCTATTGCCCAATCGTGCCAAGAAATTGCCAGCCTTCGATTCCACCTATCCGGACCCAATGAAATTTCGTCCCACAGCCCGTCCGAATTTACTCGGCAACGATTTCCTCACCCTTTCCCAATGTGATACATAAAGCCAACGGTTTTTCGTATCGTTCTTCTAAACCCTTACGACAACGTGTATCTCTACATATAAATACCTGCTATCTTATTCTCCGCTTAGTTCGGCTTAACGAAACTCATGATAGAAGCTAAGAGAGTGGTCATGAATTACAATTAAATCGTACGGACAATGATTAAAGCCGAGCGTGACGCCATCTGAGAGCATACTTGTAAAACTCTTAGCGAAAAGTCTGAGAGGTTCGCTCAAAGATGGCGCACATGTCAGATCTCTTGTTGATGCTGTTTACAATTTCCCTAAACTAACCTCAATCAGTGTTTTCGTTAAGAATTTATAGTTAACTTTTAATATGAAAAGAGATTCTGTTAACGTGATTAGTATATATTCTATATTTTTTAGAATAGTCTAGTTAATTGCAATTAATAAATTATGTATTTCCCGCGTAAGCAATGTCGGACATAACCGAACATAAATTGTATTAGCAAAGGGATAAAGCATTTTTGCGCATATTGTTTTAATTAAATTAAGGTGAGTAGATGTTTAATATATTGTTAGTGGTGTGAAAAGGAATATTCGTTGAAAAAATTGTTTAACTTCATAGGGGAAGTTAACTCGACGTTTTATAAATAAAGTGATTTAATTTGTCGTAGGACAAGATGATGGAAGCAGAAGAAGTTAGTGTAAATCATACTTCGGAGACCCTCCGATCACCACAGATGCGAAAGGAAGTCCTGAGAAATGCACTGTCTTGGGCACAGGGTCTCCGTAAGTTCATACTTTGGAACGACCTGTATTTGTTTTTAAATACTTTAAACTTTTCAATAATCCTTCCTTCGATAGCTGAAAGACATGCTTGTTCTACTTTACAGAGGACAATGTGTCAAATAATACCATCGACAATCTGGAGAATATAATGTCCGAAGCTGACACCATTAATCATGAAGTCACAATCAATGAAAAGGGTATGTTGTACACTGTAAAATTAACGTAAGAAAAAGTTGACGACTCATTTCTTTTACAGCTACCTCACAAGGGGAAGTACTTTTAGATTCTGAAATGATGTCTCTATCATCGGTCGTAATAAATCGTTGCTCCACTACGCTAACTACAAATATAGGGATGTACGATCTCATAGAATTTGGACAGAAACTGGTAAAAACAAGAATGGAGTCGTGTGCTTGAACCAACTAAAAGGAATGACTTATAACAAGTTTTTTGCAGTTACACCATGTAAAGGTATTGCCTGACACTATAAATGACGAACCCAACTGGACAGCCATAGAACATGAAATTACCAAATATTTTGCGCGAACACCGTACTTCACTGGTCTTGCAGGTTTGTCTTTTGTTAAATCCTTTGCTATCAATTTATTTAAGCACAATTTACGTTCAAAGTATTCCTTAATGCAGACGTACCGGTACCAGAAGAGGAGAAAGAAATAGTTCGACGAAGAATTACACACCGGGATGCCTTGGCTGCCACGAAAAGACCTGAAATCGTGGCAGTGGTTGAAAAGGAAGAAGAAAGCATCGAGCACACTGTTGAGAAGATCAGGAAACTCATCGTTATTTACCACAAGCAGCATAAAAAACCACTGGATCTTTATCGACTGATCTTAAATCCTGATGACTTTGGAAAGACTATAGAGAACTTGCTGCATGTATCATTTTTAGTACGAGATGGACTCCTGAAGATATCCTTTGGTAATATTGCCTGCAACAAATTACATCTCATCGAGGCTGAGGAATTCACATGGTAACTGAATTGACATTACAGACAGTGCTGGTTTACCAACGATAGAGCCATGTAGTAAAGAGATGGTGGCACAGGTCAAACAATCTGGGAACCAGGCCAATTTTCAAAACATAATTTCCATGAATATGAGCCAATGGAAGGTAAATTCTCAAAGTAGAAATTCATCGATAGTGTAATTTTCCGAAGTTGAATATGTACCGTTAAACCTGACATCTACATTTCAGACTATAAAGAATGCATACAGATTAAAAGAGCCAATGATAGCCTTCAACCACAACACATGAAACCTTGTATACATTTAGTGTTACTATCTGAAGCAGTATTTTCGAACAGATTGTTAAGAAATACATTTCCACCGTTTTTCTAACCTTAATGTTCACCTTATTTCATGCACCAATCTCATTTTTTTACGCTTTTATTCGATTTTTTTGTACTAACATACAATAAGGGCTGCGCCGTGCATATTTTGTCGTGGCAGCATTAGCCATCGCGACCTTGTCAATGAAGAATGATTTCAAAGACCCATTCGAGACATCGGATTTCTATGGTGGATTAAATGTGTATCAGTTTGCTAATGCGTATGATACATACATGCGAGTGATCCTTGCTTTGGCAAGGTAACAACGATGCCTTTGCTTTTTCTTTTAACAAAAAGAGACAAGAGGACCCTTTCGACACTCCGAGGGAAGACGTTTGGCATTGTATAATAATCATCCTCGACCGGAGATCGAACTGATCGCATTGTGAGAACACAGTGCTCCGGTGGGCCCATCTTGGATGTGAATTAATCTTCGTTATCGATGACTGTGACACTTTGGACTTATTGCTTCGCTAGCGTCTCGGCCTTCGCCACAACCTCTTCGATGGGTCCAACCATGTAGAACGCCACCTCGGGCAAATGGTCGTACTCTCCTGCAAGGATTTTCTGGAATCCCTTGATGGTCTCCGCCAGTGGTACGAGTTTGCCTGCATGACCGGTGAAGACCTCAGCGACCTGTAACAAGGACGATATGGAATCATTAGTTCTTTCTAACGAACTAAGGAAGTAGGATGAACACTTCAGATTCTCTGAAACTTTAGACCCACCTGGAATGGCTGAGACAAGAACCTCTGGATTTTACGTGCTCGTGCTACAGTGAGCTTGTCCTCCTCGGACAACTCGTCCATACCCAGGATGGCAATAATATCCTGGAGCGATTTGTAGTCCTGCAGGATTTTCTGTACACCTCGAGCAATGTTGTAATGCTCTGTCCCGATGATGTTAGGGTCCATAATACGCGACGTCGAGTCGAGAGGATCGACAGCTGGGTAAATACCTGCCATCAAACCGAAAAATATGTGTCAGTTGAATTTCATGACGATAATGAGCTTAGGAAGGTGCAGAATAAGAATAAAAATTACCCAGCTCAGCAATCGCTCTCGACAACACAGTGGTGGCATCCAAGTGAGCGAAAGTGGTAGCAGGAGCAGGATCTGTCAAGTCATCGGCAGGCACGTAGATGGCCTGTACCGAAGTGATGGAACCCTTCTTGGTGGTTGTAATTCTTTCCTGCATGGTACCCATGTCAGTGGCCAAAGTCGGTTGGTAACCGACAGCAGATGGAATACGACCCAGCAGAGCCGATACCTAAATAAATTCCAATGTCGTTTGAAACTTGAAGCTTAATGCCAATAATTAATCACATCATTTCATCTCAAAGACGCACCTCAGAACCAGCCTGAGTGAACCTGAAAATGTTGTCGATGAAAAGCAACACATCCTGTCCTTCCTGGTCACGGAAGTACTCAGCGACGGTGAGACCGGTCAAAGCGACTCGGGCACGGGCACCAGGAGGCTCGTTCATTTGTCCATATACCAACGCTACCTTGGAAGTCTTGTCTTTCAAGGAGATGACTCCGGACTCGATCATCTCATGGTAAAGATCGTTACCCTCTCGAGTTCTCTCTCCAACACCGGCAAACACGGAGTAACCACCATGAGCTTTGGCTACGTTGTTGATCAGCTCCATAATCAGTACAGTTTTGCCGACACCAGCACCACCAAACAGACCTAACGTAACAATATAAATTAATTTCTCCATGATATAAACATTGAATCTTCTCAAAGGTCAATGTCGATATCGAAAATCAATCAAGTCTTACCAATTTTTCCACCCTTGGCATAAGGAGCCAGAAGATCGACGACCTTAATGCCAGTCACCAGAATCTCCTGCTCGACAGACATTTCAACGAACTCAGGAGCATCTGCGTGGATAGGAGCCAACTTGTCGGTAGGGATGGGACCACGTTCGTCAATGGGTTCACCGATGACATTGATGATTCTTCCCAAAGTCTCAGCTCCGACTGGAATACGGATCGGGTAGCCAGAGTCGAGGACGGACTGCCCTCTCACTAGACCCTCGGTACCTGTAATAATTATTTTTGATAATAAAAATGATTAGCGAACGTCAAAAGGATGAAAATGTTAAATCGATGCCTATTCGTACCATCCATGGCAATGGTGCGCACGGTATTCTCTCCAAGATGCTGTGCAACCTCCAGAACTAATCTGGGGCTTCTGTTCTGGACCTCCAAGGCATTAAGGATGGGTGGCAATTCATTGTCGAATTGTACGTCGACGACGGCACCAATGACAGCCACGACTTTTCCCTGAGCCGTGCCAGCCTTCGGAGCAGCTGCTGCCTTAGCATATTCACGATCTATGAACACATAAGATCATCAATGAATAAACCATAAAAGAGTTTCAGAAATGAAAGAGGACTATATTTCAAAAACATTGACAGCACCTTCTCATATTTTCTGCTTTTTGTCCTGTTAGATAATAATGCGGTTGGCAGATTACATAAGAACTGCAGGAATGGTGTCGCCCAATAAAATGCAATTTATGAATAAAAACTGCAATAGTAGGATACCAGAAACTAACTTCGACCTCCCAAACCTTTTAAATTACTAATAAAGTCATTTTCTCAATGAAGGAAACCCTCGACCGGGGTCCACGATCGATTTTTCTGCCGACAGCCGACATGCTTAGAAGTGCGCAAAAAGAGACAACTAAATACCAGGGAGATTCACAGTTTCCAAATTAAACGAAACAACAGTCGGGTAATGGATCTAGAGTCCCGATTAAACTGTCAGTTTGTGTGGAACTGCCAAAATTCGGGGTTTTATCTCGAAGTGACCTCAATGGCTGCCATGAGCCGCCATCTTGGTTCGATAGACCCACCACTGACCGGGTCGAATATTACGGATTATATAATCACCAAAACGGTGATTTTCTTGACAAAAAAGCCTGATGTATGACAAATAGGCTGTCAATCGACCAATTCCGCGAATATTGTCAGATCTTGTCGAGATCGGTCGACAATGAATGTACCGGAATTTCGATATGGGACGGTGAAGTCGCGCACAGTAGGTGGGCTCGCGGTCGGCTTCAAGTTGGATTTCGCGAGAAATCTTTCTTACTTACGGTTAATTGAGGCGAGGCTCGCGATTTTCGGGAGTTCGTTTTGCAGGAGACCGGGTTTGGCGACCCGCAGGGCCCCAGCGGCTGCCTTCGACACGGCACTCAACATCATGGGCGGACAAGTGAGAAGAGACGACCGTGGACGAGTCGCCGGAACCTGCTCGTTCTTCTGTGGCCGAGGTTCGACCAGTGCACATGCGCGGACTTCTGACCCTGTTCTCCCATTGGTTGAGCATAGAAATGACCATCGCCATTAATCATATACATATATAGTTCCAACTACCAACTTCACAGCTCTGTTCGCATCTCAGCGCCATCGTATACCCTAAACCAATGAAATTATCTACAGAGATGAGTTGGGAGATTACTCACGAGCAGGGTCGCGAGGTCTGTGCTGCCCTCGGTGAAGAATGTGAGCGATTCGTGCACTTATGGAGTAGAATTAATGAAAATTACTCAGAGTATTTTACTCATCCAACTCTGTGCTTTCCTTATCTTAACTAACTTTTAGCATAAATGTTTCCTACGAATTATTTACAGTGAACATTTTAGTTGGACCGTAATAGTTACGGAGATGAGTTGGGAGATTTCTCACGGGCAGGATCGTGCGATCGCATCTTGTGCTGCCCTCTGGTTTCGTACGTTAGCTTTCACCGTTTTTTGCCCCCAAGGGCGGCGCAACGAATTTCTGATAGGAGCTCGCGCACTCACCATGGCGGTACCATCTACCAGTCGCCGTTGGCGGCTCACGTACTCGTGATGGTAATACCATGCGGCAGTTGACGGTGGTAGCTTACCTACGCTAACCGATACTGCTCGCTTTTGATGGTAAGGGAAGAACGCTCGTGGAAACTCTCCGGCACTCTCCGGCACTCTCCGGCACTCTCCGGCAACTCTCCGGCACTATACGGCACTCTCCGGCACTCTGCGGAAACTCTCCGGCACTCTCCGGCACTCTCCGGCAACTCTCCGGCACTCTACTGCACTTAACAACACTCAACGGCACTGTACGGCCTGCGATAAGGCTCGGAAACACTTGAAAAACGCGCGAAAACGCTCGAAAACGTTCAAAAACACTCGTAAAACGATCGATAACGTTCGAAAACGCTTGACCAACGCTCGATAACGCTAGTAGGGAAATGTAAAAATCATAGGCGAAATGACTCGGCTTATATCCGCAGCTCGGGAGGATTATTCTCAGTATTCGACTCTCACGCATACTCGTCGAGTGCAGCGCTGAACGCACCATACTCAACGTCTCGACCCGTAGCTTAGCGCTTGGCTAGTTGGCACGCGCGAAGATTTCTAGGAGCGACGCACTCACGCAGATTCGTTGCATGAGAGTTCCGTACGCGACACCGACGCGTGCCCCAAACCTCCGCATCATGTCGACTTCGAGGCAACAATGTACTTAATAGTAGTAGGTAAGTAGAAAAACTCAAATGGAGCGTCACGAGTGTTCTTCCCTTACCATCAAAAGCTAGCAGTGTTGGTAAGCGTAGGTAAGCCACCACCGTCAACTGCCGCATGGTGTTACCATTACGAGTACGTGAGCCACCAACGGCGACTGGTAGATGGTACCGCCATCGCGAGTGCGCGAGCTCCTGTCAGAAATTCGTTGCGCCGCCCTTGGGGGCAAAAAACGGTGAAAGCTAACGTACGAAACCAGAGGGCAGCACAGGAGGCGATCGCACGTCCTGCCCGTGAGCAATCTCCCAACTCATCTCTGTTACGGGAGTTAAACCGTAATGCATTGTGGTTTATGCTGGACACACTTTTCAGGCAATCAATGCGTGGTGAATTATGAGCGGTCCGTGGCGTGAATCTGTAAAGTTGAGATCCACTGCTCATCTCTGGTTTCGTTAATATTCGCTTCTGCCTAGCCAGGTACAAAGCAGTTGCACGTGCTCACCTTGACTCTACCTAGAACTACAAGGCACAGAAATTAATGATTAACTGTAGATAGATGCAGATATTTGAAACCAGGTATGGTAAAAACAGAACATCGTTTCTTGGACTAAATTCCTAGGAAAGTAGAATTTTAAAGGGACCGTGGTTAAATTGACGTAGGTAACATGCAGAGCAGCTGCAAGAAGCAGAAAAAGACTGTGATCTCGGAGCACGTGTACGCGCTCGAATTCCAGGAAGAGGTTTCGAAGCACTGGCAAGAGGGTACTCCGATAAAGAAAGACAACCTAGAGATGATAACGGAGCCATTCAGGGTGTGCAGGATATCAAATTTTCTGGATAATGAACTGCTAGAGAAACTGAAGGAAGATGTGCAGAAAGTGCCAAGCCGTCGCAGTGACATCGATCTTTATAGGTTTGAACACACCGAGGATCTTGCTAATGTCGATGCTACTTCTGTAAGAGCATTGAGGGATGCTTTTACTAATGACATCGTTTCTTGGATGGAGAGGAATACGGGAATCGAGCTTGATGGCAAAGTATCTATGGCGTCATCAAAGTACATCGATGGAGACTACTTGCTTTGCCATGACGACAATATGGGTGATCGCAGGATTGCTTACGTGCTGTATCTGACTAAGAATTGGTTACCAAAGGATGGGGGAGCTCTAGAACTCTTTAATAAGGATAAGGATGGATCCCCAAAAAATGTGGTTTATTCTCTTCTTCCTGAATATAACTCTTTGGTGTTCTTCGAAGTGACCGAGAACTCTTATCATCAGGTAGCCGAAGTGACGTCAGATAAGACACGTTTATCCGTTAATGGATGGTTTCACGGACCAATTGACGAAAGAAAGCCAAAGAACTCCAAAAGATCGGAGATACCAGAACCTCCACTGTTTGATCCCGAAGAAAATGTAAAAGTTAAGCTTCAAGAGATGATAAACGAGTTGTACCTTAAGCCTTCTACCATCGAACAGATACAAGAGAACGTCGAACAGGAGTCATATGTATTTTTGTCGAACTTCTTCAAGAAGGATCTTTATCAAAAGATTTCCGAGGAAATAGCTTCAAAGAACATTAAGTGGACCAAAGTAGGACCGGCTGATCTGAGGAATTACGAGACAGCCAGTGAAGACTCCTTCTCGGATGAGTTAAAAAGGTTTCTGAGTTTATTCAGATCGATCGAGTTCTTTCGTCTGCTGAAGGGATATACGGAGTTAGATCTCGAACCATCGGAAGACATCGACAAAGACTGTGGCCCTAAAGGAAGTATGGAACTTCAGAGATGGACCTGTGGAGATTACACGCTAATGTCCGACAAGCTTTCCAGTGATCAAAACATGTCAATGTCATGGACAAACAATATGAAACGAGATCGCTTCAACAAAGATCCTAAAGAATTTGAAAATTCTTGTCGAAGTAAGTACAACGATGATGGCTGCAAAGGTGCAACAAACTCTCCGAAGCAAGCCGGAGGCTCGGACACTGTGTGTGCTACTACGAAAAAGACCACCGAAGAAAAAAGTAACTCTACCCTTACACCAAGAGCAGCGCAACCTTCAAGTGCAAGATCTAGTGACTATGACGATTCTGACGTTTCTGACATCGGTGACTACTTGTCAGATCAAGACGATCACTTAGAGGACAGTGGGTCTAACGAGTCGTCTAGCCAGAATGCCCTGGAACCTGGAACCCTGGATGTAATACTACAGTTCCATACAGGCCATCTTTGGGAAACAGAGACCATCGATTACATGGAACCCGAACAGCAAGACGGAGCCTTGATCACAATTCCTGCCGAAGACAATCATCTATGTCTAGTTTACAGAACTCAGGGCACGACTCGCGTCCACAGATACGTCAGTCATCGGGAAAAGGAATTCTTCTACAACCTCGTATGCACGTATCACGAACAATCGGAGGCCCCTGAGAATGCAGACTGATAACGTCTTCCCCAGGAAGATGTCCACCTCGATGAGGGAATTTACAATTTCGTTTGCGCGTACTAAAAATTCGATACTTGTAAATACTTAGACTGAGCTTAATTTTCTTTTCGGTGATATATAATTAATGTAACCACGCGGTTTAAAGCGTTAAGCGGCCATTCCGAATGCTGTTGTGTCAATAAAATTTTTACAGTATTTTTTACAAGCTCGTCCCCCTTTCACTCCTCAGGGTCTCTTTCCTTCCAACGTGCCCCAATTGGGTCATAATCTCATATCCGATGACAAAAACTCGCATGGATGGTCGTAATGTATATTTCCTCGACTTGAAATCGTACAGCAACTCGTTTACATACAACATATATAAGTGATGTGGTGCGTCGCTCGTACGGGGTCGTATTAACATATTCTGTCCCTAACGCAATAAGATACGGAGGTCGCAAGAACCTCCGCTTTTCTCCCGTAATTATCACGAAGGACCGATCGAAACTGTGTACAAACTACGTCGCTCCGTATCCGCTTTTAACCGATCTCTAGGAATATTCGCCGAGACTTTCGTCCCCTCGCATGGCCCAAGTAGTTTCCGGTTCGGCTTACAAAAGGCTTAGAATCCTTAAAAGTACAGATTCCATGATCGACCAGAACAATGCAAAATGGTATTTAAAAGCCCGCGCCTTCAACTTGCCGATTTTAAATTTCGAATTAATTCCATCAACCCTTCGAAGGTCCGGAACCTTGAAGAGTCGAAGATCAGTACCCAACGCCAGGGCGTACCAAAATGACGAGAAAAAAAAAATGAACTCCGCCATTCATTTTCTGGGAATGAGCAAACCCTGTTGCAAGTTGTAGGTATCGGCTGACAATGTTCTTTTTAAGAAATAAACCCCTAGGTATAATTTTTCATAAAGCTACCGGGTTCCTCGCGAGCCGAGGATACAAACTGATAAGCAACGCATTAAGCAACACTCGAAACGCGTCTCAAGGTGATAAAAAACCCGTCAAAGGATAATCGAGAATCTGCGACTCGACGAGATCCAACATCCAAGACAACTCGTTGCCGAAGAACGCACCTCTAGGTAAAAATCTAAGAGATGCATCCCTTTTCAACGAGTAGATGAAACCTCGTCGAACAGCCTCGCAGATCCCGTGGGTCCCCTTTTAAAACCTCGAGCACCGTCATCGTAAACCGTGAAATTCAACAGGGCATGCAGGAGTGTCGCCCCCTGCCGACAAAATGGCGCCCAAACGAGGACGAAGACGATGCCGACACGCGCAATAAGAAACCAAATAGAACGTTTGGGACTTCTCAGTACGGTACAGCCGATGTCTTAAAGGTAGAAACTCGCGAGAGGTTCCTGACCAAGGCTAAACTTAACTACGAACATCGCCAAAGTCCCGTACAAGGGCCCGCGACCTTAGGACCCGAACGTTCCGGAAAGTTCGAACTTCGAGGGAGACAAAAAGGGGGGACACAAAAGGCGGTCTCGGACATGGAGTCCTCTTCTCCTCTTCCTGGTCCGCGGTGTCCCCGGAAACAACGTGGGGTCTCTTCACCAGATCTTGGCGGCAATGGCCCTCTGGATTAAAACATTCTTGCTTCTCTGCTTCATACGTTCAATGAAGCGCTCCCTCCCCTCCAGGTTAGCGTCGGTCGTTGGCCCAACCTCCTCGCTCTGGCAACAAAGGAGGATTTAGTTGGCTCCTGAGGTCGCTGCCCGCGACGGGGTAGTGGGCGTGTGATTGCGGATCATGGTCGTCGTCGTCGTCACCGTCGTCGCCGTCATCATCATCGACACCTTTGCGAGCGGGGGGTGTCTCAGACGAGAGGCCGCGCGAGAGGCCAGAAGTCCGCTCGCGCACCGACAGGGGAGCGACAGGAGACTCGGCTCATCCCCGAGAGAGACGGCCCAAAGCGAATCCCCTAGGCAGAAGAGTCCTAACCAACCTTGTTAGCGGAGTCGCCCCCCTCGCCCTCTCCCCACCTCTCGTAGTCGTCGTCGTCCCTCTCCTCGCCCTCGCTGAGGGGTCCATCCTGCCGCTTGCTCGGAGGCACGTTGGAACCGCCCCCAGTCGAGGGCCGGTGGTGGTCCCCGTGGTCGTTCTCAAGCATCTTGTTGATCTTCTCCTTCGCCTCGTCGACCTTCCTCATGGGATCGGGCGAGTAACTGCGGTCGCTATAGCGATCCCGCGAGACCGCGCGCCGGTCTCTAAAGTCCCTTCTATCTCTAAAATCGCGGAAGCCCTGCTTACCGTGGAAAAATCTACCTCCACGGTTACCGCCGCGGCCCCTTCCTCCGCCCCGGTTGTTGAAGCCACCGCCTCCCCGCCGGTTCCCGAAGCGGTTGTTGTGCTGGTTGTTGTAGAAGCGGTTGCGGTTCTGGAAGTTCATCCCGCCCCCGCCGCCGCCGCGGTGGTTCTGGTTGTTGAAGCCCTGGAACCGGGGCTTGTAGTACGTCCCACGGTTGTTGTACGGCCGGAACTGCCTCTTCCGGTAGTAGCCGCGATCGCCGGACCTGCTGCGGCTGCGACTCCTCGTGTAGGACCTGGACCGCGACCTGGACCTCGACCTGCTGTAGGTGCCGGACGGGGACCTGCTGTACTTTCTCTCGTAGCTCCCGGATCGTCGGTTCGAGTAGGACCTGGACTTGCTGCGCCTCGGGGACCGCGACCTCGAGGATCCCGAGCTCGAGACGCTGCGAGATCTGCTGCGCGACCGGCGGACCGGTCTGTCTCTGCTCACGCGTTTACTGGAATTTACTCCCCGACCCGGGTCGACTCGCTTTTTCGGGGTGTGCCTGTGCATACGCTCGGTATCGCTGTCGGAGTCGGTCCTGGGGCCCTTGGCCTGGGACTTGGTCGGCGGTGGTCTTAGAGCTGGCGGCTCGGGAGGATGATGGTGCGCGCTGCCTCCACCTCCTCCACTACCTCCGCTGCCCTGGCCGATCGGCTGGAACTTCCCACCCAGGTTGCTCCCTCCCCCTCCCGAGGCGAACTTTCCGCTGCTGCCCGACGACTGCGGCACCGACTGCTCCTTGTACGACTGGAACTTGTTCTGCGGCTGCGGGGTCGGGTACTTTACTGGGACGGTTTGCTTGGAGATCGGGGATTCCTTCGGCAACGGGGGCGGAGGCGTTGGAGTCGCCATCGGCTGCGTCGCCGCGCGTTTCTCCGCGAGCTCGCGCTGCATCTGCTTGCGGATGTTCAGAGACTTCTCCAGGGCTGCTCGTTGGATTTTTTCCTCGAGCTCGTTGTCGTCGTCCTCCTCGCTCAGGACGTTCTGCATCTTCTTCTCGGGCATCTGGCTCTCGGTCCATTTCTGCGGGTGTACGTCTTTTTGCCTGGAAAAAATGGACACCCTCCGTTAGATATGAATGCTAAAAAGTACCACCTCAATTTACCGAAGAATGGTCTTCGCCCTAATTTTTTTTTTATTTTTGAATATCGCATTACCTGGCAGCTTGCGCAGCTTTCCATTTAGCATTGAGTGCGGCAGTGTCCAAGGTTGGGACTTTTGGCTCAGGGTGTATTAACTGGGACTCCTGCTCGAATATGTCCGTTAGAGGCTTTCTCTGGATCTCTGGAAATGCCAAGAGAAATTAAATACTGAACTTATTGGAAAATAATTTATACACTTATTTATATGATAGAGTACTAACCCTTTCGTTGCTGAGCAGTCATCGGTAATCTCGCTTCCCGCTCGTGATACGCTTTCGACGCCTCGTCTCTTTCTCTTTCCCGACGAAGCTCCTCTTCCCTGCGCGAACTCTCAGCTAGCTTTTCAGCGTTGCTAAGAGGGGAAGGCATGTCATTACACTGTGCTACATACCTAGTAAATGTAAAACATAAGTACATGAAATTTGTGATAACGGGCTGTGTTAACGAAAGCATCCGATGCTTGTCGCAATGTCGTACAATTATGCCGCCCCTGTAGAGGGTTGGCTCACCCTCGAGAGGGTTAAGCACACTCTTCCAAACAATAGATCCTTGAAGAAACCGATTTTTGACCCCGATTCAGGGAATAACTTCGCGCGTGACACTGGCACGTTATGGACACAAAAGCAACAGAATCGATTTTGGGGTCAAAAAAAGAAGCTCGCAGGGATCCATTTTTTTTCTTTCTACAGTGGGTAGTCATAATCAACTGTAACATATGACAAACCTTTTCAACACTGCCGTTTCCTTTTCGACCTTGGCGTAATAAGCGCTCAGCTTCGACTCGAGCTGCTCCAGATCGGGCAACGAGGACTTCTTTAGGGCTTCCAAATCCCGCTCGAGCCGGTCCTTGTTCTTTCGCTTCTTGCGCTCCTCCTTCTTTTTCTTCTTGCGACTCTTCTTGTCCTCTTTGTCCTTCTCTTTTGTCTTTTTCTCCTTCTTCTTTTTCTTCTTCATCTTCTCGCTCTCGGAGTGCTTCTTCTCCTTCTCGCGCTCCCTCTTCCATCTAGCGGTTTCTTCCAGAAACTTCCTGACCTGTAATTAAGAAAACCATTAAGAATTCTGTACCGACTGCGAGGAGGATCGCGATCACGATTTCTTGGGATCAGGGACATATAAGTACCTTATCCTCGTAGTCGGAGTCGTCCTTGGTCTGCTCTAAGAACTTCCTGACTTTAATTTCGTAGTCGTCCATTTTGTCTCTCGAGCCCAGAGCATAGGGAACTGGAACGGCCGTTTCATGAACGGCCGAGGCAGCAGCTGGTGGATTGTTGTACTGTGCCATGCGTTTACTGAGTGGGGAAAGCGATCCCCGGTGGTCCTTCTTGTGCTTTCGCTTCCTGCTCGGCGACCTGGAAGCCGACCTCGAGCTGCCCGAGGAAGAGGAGCTGCTCGACTCGGTGCTGCTCGAGCTCGAAGACCCGCTCGACGACGAGCTCGACGACGAGCTCCACCTCTGTCTCTTCTTCGACCTGGACTTGCGTTCCTTCTTGCGCTTTTTCTTCTCCTTTTTGTTCTCCACGACGTCGGTCTCCGTCTCGAAGGTCTTGAACGTGTCCAAAGGGTTCAAAGTCGCCGTCAAAGTTTTCGTTTTGATGTACTCGATGGAGTTGCGAGCCTCCTCATGAAATGGAGCAATCGCCAGGCAATTCTCGTAAGCTTTCTGAGCTTCTTCGAATTTCTTCTCGTCTTCGTAACTGCGTCCCAAAGCTACCAACGTCTCTGCCATGTACTTGCGAGCGTTCGCGTGAGTCTGATTCAACTTCAAGGCTGTCTCGAAGTCATCGATGGCCTTCTTGAAGCTGCCACTATTTGCATATCTGAAAAATACCCCGGTGGTAAGAATATTGCTTATGTTTTACCTACGAAGTGACTGGACGGCTGCATTCAAAATTGATCGAGTAACTTACAGGGCACCTCGTGCAACCAACCCCTCGACATTCCGAGGGTCGACAGTGAGTGCCTTGTTCAGGCACTGGAAGGCCTCGGAGTGTCGTCCTGCTTTGAAGTGATCGATCCCTTCAGCAACATTCCGGAAGGCCCACTTACTGGCTTGGGCTTGCCTCAGTTCGGAAGAATACTCATTCGGTGGGAACCTCTCTCTGTGGAAAACGAGGAAAGACATTCAAATAAAATATCTGTGGTAGCCATCGATGATGGTTCGCCCTGGAGGCAGTCACTTACCTCAAGCCAACCATGTTCGAGTGATTTTCTTGTCCAAGCCCCATCAAGTCGGAAAGATATTTAATGTTGTTGGGATTGTTGAAGCCTGTACTATTCTGCAAGATCGTTTCATAGGACTGTCCTTTGTTGTCCATAGCTTTCCTGTGTAACAAAGTAGAGGAGTCGCATTAGTACTGACCTCACTTTTCTATTTCCTGATCGTGACTTCTGACGTCGAGCATTTCACAAGGGTCCGAAGAGAGAAAAAAAAAGAAAATAGGAAAAGAAAACGAACCGCAGTTGCTTAGTTAACGGCAAAACGAGAGTACCAATAGCACATCGACCCATAAGCACTCATCGGGTGCATCGACAACAATGTTGTATGATCTCAGCACTGCTTCCAATATGGTATATCTTGATGCCCCTCGTCAGTACATGCCATAGATAGCGTATATGATCTCCTTGCTTTCCCTATAAGCGTGTCCACACTCAAAGAGTTCTTGCTGGACACTGTACCTTCGCTACTCCATCGATCCTTTGCTCGGACTGCATACAAATGATAAAAGTATCCGTATGGGTTGGTCGTATTTTTTTTTCTGATTTTTTTTAACGTGAATAAAAACCTTTCTCTCTTTCTGTTTGTTCACTCATATCTCTCCTGCATCAAAAGGTTGGGTTCTACACTTTTACCGTTAACACAAGCACTTAGGTCCAAAAAGTGTCATAGGCTGTCGGAAAGTCAGCAGAATTCCTTCATTACCAAAGACAAAACAATAGATTACAATGTATCAAAATGTAATACAAAGTGATAGAACCCCAGAATTACGTAAACTCAAGTCTCACCTTTCTGAACCGTTAAAGACGTTTTTAGTGTTATTGTTTTTCGGTTCGCTTTTTAATCATAGGTTTCTCAACGCAAGAGCACACAACCTATCATCGATCGATAGCAGATTTGTTTTTAGGTATTTGATTGGTGCGATAAAATAAATTGCACAGCCCTAGGATAAGTTGGGAGCCTCGTCTTAGTGTTTTGTTTTTATCCAAGTTGACCAAAAAAGGGTTTTCTAGTAGTAGTACGTAGTAGTAGTAGCAGTGGTTGTAGTAGTAGTACTAGTTTAATAGTAGTAGTAGTACAGGTACTACTGCCTGCCCGTTTTGTGCTTTTACTAGTGGATTTGAACATCTTTTTTTTTTTTATTTCAACGTAAGCTGTAATTTCAAACGAGGAATTAATTATTAACTATAGGAAATGCACATCGGGTAGGTACTTATAATTAGTAATTTAGCCACCTGAGGTTTTGGTTGCTTGGTCTCCGCATTCATACAATTTACATATTCGAACTTTACCTCAAACAAGGCTAACCCACCGATCCAATCTCATCGTAGATATTTTTCCTACGATGAAATTAAAACAGGGATCGAAAATGATCAGGGCAATGAAACGGCAGGCAAAACCTCGTTACAGAACGTTTTGATAAAGTAACACTTGGCCTTCATGGTATAAACATAATATAACAGGTTAAATAAAAAATTGATCCTTGAAGTGATTAAAATTGCATACGTTCAGCGCTTCGTTACCATTTTCTAGAAAGAATCCATTTAGGTTAGTGCATCGAAGGGAATTTCTCAGATCTCATCTGGTGGACCGGTACGAAGGAGCCATAGGGACAAAGAATCAGGTTCATCGACTTTCTAAACTTGGCTCATAAATGCATATGTACATAATTCTTGCCTTCGAGAGGCAGTCCGAGTAAAGAGTAGTCTTAAGTCTAATAAGAGACCAAACAACGGAATATCGTTGATATACCTACCGTCTACACATCAGTAAACAGCCAAGATTGACAACACCTCGTACTGGAAATTCAATCTCAAAAGACACACTGGTGCCGTGATTGGTGCCATAGTTTGACCGATGCATTCGAGAGTAAGATATCACAAACGTAGATATAACGTGTGCGTTAACAGAGCCACGTCACAATCGATGCTTTCAAGGTTTCACAAATCATTTGTACTCGCATTATAAACTCATCGTCATACGAACATATCGACTTTTTAGATAACAGAGAGTATCTGGCACCTAGATTCATAAAAACGTATCAGAGAGAACAGTCAAACCTGACTTACTTTGGAATAGTTAGTATTCTGAGTACGACCGTTAGAAAAGTTAAAATGCCTCTTGTTCGTCTTACTCTCTTTAGTCCTTACCTGTTGTCGTGCTTTACTCATAGATGAAAGGAGAAAATTAACAGCAAAGAAAGCCAAATGGGGTGTCTTTTCTAGAAAATACCACGACTACGTCTCTCTTTGCTTGGCACGAAACCGCTCGTTAAGAGTGACCACTTCTGCACTTTACCATTGCAAATAGGATCGAACCATTTTTAAGTTAATGTGAACACGTTCGCAGCGTAGGCTGCAACTACCTGAACGCTGCGAACAAGATTTTTTATTCATAAATGTACACTGAAACTGAGAAATCCTACAATACCCATGTAATGAGTGCTCCTATAACGAGTCAATATTAGAGATACTCTTGTGATGCTAAATGATTTCCATGACAAAAAATTTTTTGTTTTATGTCGATCTACTGAGTGCTGAGCAAAAATAACCAAGCACTTATTGAACAAAAATTCTCTTCGATACTACACAGTGTATTCCAGAATGTCAACTCAATAGGATACAACTCTAGCATTAACCTGGGTCGATCCTGCAAAGCCTTTGTACCCCAGAGAATCATTTGAATCCCTCGACACAGAAAGTACTCATAAAAATTCACATCTTCAATGACTAACTGACAATTGTGCAAAGTACGATGGACTACCCCAAACAATTGTAACTGAACATTCTTCCTAGTAAGGATTGAAGATGTATCATAAATGTTTTAAATTGTCACAACTCACTTGTAAGCCTCTGGTAGATCGTCAGAATGAATAAGACCCATAGGCGGGTGCGGAGCCTGGCCTTCACGGGCGGGTACGTTCATTACAGCAACGACTCGCTCTGCCTCAACGTTAACTTCACTGACTACGACGCAAACCAGATCGTTGGCCATGTAGCCCCTCGTCACGCCTTTCTTGTCCACTGCTGGGACTGTGGCCGTATTTAAAATCAAAGCCTATTTACAGGAAAAGAAAAATAATTTAGTTGATTAAAAGAAATAAATTCAAGTTATGATTGAAAAATGTGTCGATGAGAAAACAGTGATCTTTATTTACCTTAACTCCCAGATCTGTCACAACCCTGGGACAATCACTGCAGTTGCACAGGACCTTTAGAAGCAATCCAGCAGCGCTCTTACCCATTACTTGAGAGTAAATTACATCTCCGACAACTAAGCTCTGAAAAGCAAAAGGGAAAGATTGATTTAGATAAACTATGAACATACAGAGCTTGAAAGAAAATGCAAAAAATACCTCTAAGAAATTACGAATTCGCTGAGATTTCTCCATGGTGACGAAAGAATCAAGGCCAGGCATCGTAGCATAAAATTCTAGAAAGAAGCAAGATTATCGATTGAACAAATTCACTGGGATTTATTTCTTAATTATGTGGAGCAAAGTGATGTACCTTCATCCCCCAATTCTTGGTTGACAGGTTCCATGATCTTCTCCAGGTTGGATTTGTCATAAAGGGCATCAGCTTTTTTGGCGAGAAATTGTTGAAGCTTAAGTCTTTTCCCTCTATCGCCAAAACTAAAAATCACAATCAGAAAATTCATAAGGATATAAGAAAGAGACCATTGAATTAACATATCCAAAAGTGAATATTTATAAGTATGGACTTTAGTATTTTAATAAGAAATTACCTGAGTGTTTTCTGACGCTGTTGATAGATTTCAAAGTTAGGTTCCTTGAGGTTAAGCATTGTCAGCTCGTTCTCATTACGCTCGCCTTCCCATACCTTCTGCAATTGCTGGCCGTGGTAGTTTAAAGCCTGCGCCACGAGGCGTGACTCCATCGTATCCATGTTGGACGACCGAGTAACTCGGTCTACCCTGTAAGACTATGAAATTGGTTGATTCGCTACAGCCCAGCAGTGATCCTGCTTCTTGTCTACATGTTTCCCTTGATCAGCCGAATCCAGACCTGCTCGATCACGAACATGTAGTTAAGAGCAGGACTAACCAAAAAATTGTACCAAATAACCCAAGGCACAATACCCGAGCATTCAACAGGTAGATTCTACCCAATTCGTTAATTTGCCTCGATCGGTAAATCTGGTTCAAAAGATTCCTCTTACAACAGTTGGGCCGATTGTTGGACATAACAATTAATAGCCAAATATCGTCATTTAATTCACAACTACCCATTTGATTAGCCCAGTTGTTATTAATTAATCCATGATGACTGAATAACATGGAAATGAATCCACCTTGTAACGATCAGCATCAGAAATTTATATATGCTAATATAATGCAAATAAACGTGAAAGTGTTCAATTCCTCGCTAGAAGGCATTCAGCGTCTGAAATGAATTGCTCCCATACTTGTCGATGTTTCGTTAGAAGACACAGAGCTTACTGAAGGTTGAAGGTCAAGGAAACGGAAAGTACCTTCTCGAATGTATCTCTACACAATATACCTATTGCATTAGCCACATTTTTATCTAACCATGGAAAACGAGTTCAACCTGGTCATCTTGATCCATTTTTAAATGCACATGCCTCTTTGATACAATTTGGTGCTAATGCTTTTAAAATACTGCCGGGTGGCTTCCTGTTTCCTCGAAACTATAAAGGACCACTTAATAACATCGGATGAATTAGTGTTTGTGCATAATGAAGGCTAACGTGTGGCTACTAACGCCTAAAAACGGTCTTGTGAGTAGCACCTTTATGTCGAGTCTAAGCAGGCCGACCGGTCGCTAACGATCCTCCAACGCCAGTGATAAATTCTGACGCAATTCTGCTTATAGTCGCTCCAAAGCAGTGTAAAGTTAACCAGGACACTACTATCGACCCGCGACGACCATTTCGTAGGGCGATAAAAGTAAGTCACGCATTAAATCGACAAAGGTACGACGCGTCCACGAGTTACCGCTTGGTCACGGCTTACGAAGGCCGTTCCGCCATTTTCCGACTCGGGAACCGCCACGGCGAAGCCGCCCGCCTTTACCGAATATTTAGCTCCCACTCACCTTGATCCAATAGTTTCTTTACGAATTATCGACTACTCGACGCGCCGCTTCCGACAAAGTCACTCTGACCGAAAGGCCATTATTTTCTCGAAGAATCGCTGCGTCTGAAATGAAGCTGCGAAAGAACTCACGTTCCCGAAGCCACAGTCGAACGACGATTGACGACGTCGGTGCGACACCGGATGTCGGAACTCGAGAATGGTTGACGCATGCGTCGGAAAGGGTCGAGGCAGACAACGGCGGCGTGAGACGCTTTCTCATTGGTCCATTTCTTATGGCGCCGGGCTATGAGCCAATCAGAGACGGCATCCGATGCCGGACAAGATTGCAAGGAAATCTTAATGCGCACATCTGCCGGATTCAATATGGCTGCTGCACCTGGCAACAACGCGGATATATGGCTACGAAATTGTCCATTGTGAAAATCCAGTTGCGATCGATAAAATGACTAACTTTGGAAATAATTCAACTTTGAACTCCTCAAATGCTTTATTGTCTTATTAAATATGATTTCTGATTTATTTTAGGTTATTATCACAAAGTGTATAATGAATTTCTGATCCAAGATTGAACAGTATTTACTATTTTCTATGAACTGTTACAATTTTATATTTTTCTGTATATATATACGGATTCAATAAAATGTCGAGTAATTCATTAATAATAGATCTTTCGTTGTCCTTTTCTAAATTTTATTACTTATTCGATTTTGTATAAATTACTCTAAAAATCTTTGAGGTTGAATATTCGTAAAGATTCTATTTTAACCATATCTACAGTAGAATGTTTATATATCTTCTAAAATGCCTATTTTCCCTCAGCAAGATTTTTGGCTGAATAAAAAAACATCTAAAAACCTAAGGAACTGACGTACGCAGTCAAGAAAAGATTAACAATGACCAACATATCGTCGCCCCTCTATTTAACTGTTTAGGAGAAGACCTTCGTACCTTAATAAGCAATAAATAAATTTGGAATGTCAGTACTGCTGCGTCTCATTTCTTTTTCTTTTCATCCTTTTTATCCACGTTCCAATAATATAATATCTGAGCAGCGATCACTGCATTTGCAGCAGTAGCACATATGTACATAATAATTACAGAAGTGTCTCCAGTTTCCTGAATCGAAGTGAAAATTCTTGCCAGAGAACCACCAAATAACAGGAAACCTGTAATAGCTGAAAGCTGACCTGTGCTACCATTTCGATAATTTGTGTAGGCCTGGGCAAACTGAAATAAAAAATATGAAACTTGTAGATTTTTAAAGATATGGTAATAGCTGATAATTTTGCATAATTACAGACATTTATACCTTGCTAATGAGAATAATAGGAATGTTTAATGTTTGACATGTCCAAAGAATCTTCAACGAAACAGCTCCACTCGTTGTTGCAAAAGAAACCGCTATGTACATGGCAACGAATGCCAGTGCTTTATACGTTTCCCCAGCATAATGAAGTACAAGTACGGCGATGGCTACAGTTTGCAGACCCAAAAATACTCCATCTCCCCAAGAACTAGAAAAATTATTATTCAAAAATAGATAAATGAAGAACATAAGTACTGACATTGCCTTTCATCTGCTCACCTGAAAGGAAATCCACTCACAAAGCTATATGACACCATAGAAGTGATAGCAAATAAATCCATTAACACGCTAAATAAACTAATACCCTCTCCGCTTTTATTATTAGCAATTTTTATAATTTGTGGCACCTTGACTACAAGAGGGAAAACATGTTAATCATTAAAGTACTTTCTTATTACTAACGTCAAAATATAATACCTACCTAGTAAAGATCCAAATATGATTCCCACTCCCAACGCCTTGCTAAGTGTCGCCTTGAAACATTCCACTGTAAAAAGTTAATAAGAATATCGATGAATAATTTCTAATGAAATATGTTATAACTTAAAGAACATCAAAGGACAGAAATAACTTTAAATTCCCTCACCATGGAAAAAGTTGTAATCGTTAAAATACTCTTGAAGGCACTCCTTTGTGAAAAGAAATAATCGGAAATCCGGCACCTTGTCCACCAAAGACTCCCGCATGACCTCCATGATTTTGTTTTATTATCAAATTGTTACCTAAAAATTCAGCAGGAATTCACGCATGTCATAAATTACATTTACTCCTTACAGTTTACGTACAAAATTCAATGAACAGTGGGAACGGAGTTGAGGTTAAGTCTTCGCCGATTCTACTTCGCGTTCTAACTTATCATTGCAACGTGTTACAATTATATGTTTCACGTTTCTAGCATCTTTATCTTATCATTTGAAGATATCAAATTCCTATAACTATTTAACAGAATTTCTTGACAGCTGGTGTAGTAGCTGGTGGCAATGACCCGTGGCGCCATCTTATTCTTACAGGGCGAACTACATACCCATTCATAAGCTCCTATCCGTTCGCATTTCTTACCATGCGATTTCCTCAGCCAGTAAATGTATCACTTGAGTGATACTTGAATTTCCAGGATCTATCGTTAGAGATTTACCTGCAAACGAGAGAGGGACAATACCTCCATCGTTACGAAGTCATTGTCCACATTTGAGGGGTGTGAATCAAACGAGTATTTAATTTTTCTATCTTGATAGGCGAAGGTACAGTCATTCGATAACACTAATAAGAAACGAGAGGTCACATTTTTACGCTTTTCCTTTCAACAGGGTCACTAATCGAATTCAGAGGTAAAAGGCTCCCGGTAGTGGGTATTTTATTTTCCTCTGTTAATAGATTTAACGGAGAATCAGAGCAATTTCCCGGACTTGTGAAAACTTGCGTAGCCAGGAGGTAATTGAAAGTTTTGCCCTCGGTTAATTCTCGAGCAGAGGGTCGGAAGAGCACCCCTCCAGGGTATGTTTACGGAAACAGTTAGGAGTTTCGTTTGAAGTAGCCTCCCCTCGGCGCGGCCTTATTTGCGCCAAATTGCCCATTTTCGGCGTGACGGCCGCGTCAAGGTACTTAGCTTCAGGTAAACATGCTTTAAATCACGGCCTGTCGAAAAGGTGACCCGAACCTCGCAACTGCAGTTCACCCCGGTCCACTCTAAACGGTTCAAGGCATGCCCTGACTATTGTCGCCTACGTGCCTTTGCCGAGGGTTGCGTCTCCCTATTGTTCCCCTGGTCTCCTTTCGAGGCGAAACTTATACACGCCGCTTATTACCGACGTCCCTCCTCGAGAACAAAAATGACTTCCAAAATCCAGGATAACGCTCTCTCTTCCTGAAATAGGGGACCTGTAACATCGATCGTGTAATCTTTGATCTAACACCTGAATAAAATATAAATATTCAATACAGACCTCTCTGCCCCTCTCGATTTTCACATCCCTAACCGGCATTTCGTTCAAATAGATCCCTGGAAATAAAACGTGAAGATAACACTACCACCGCAAATTCGTATATATAATTGGTATTTAAGTAATGAAAAACATAGCGATAGCATGAAAGAAGAGAAAAGAGAGTTGGAGTAAATGCGTACCCGAAGGAGATTTGAAGGCTAGGTCATTTTCAGATTTAAGATTATCTCGTTGCAGTCAATCGCAATTGCGAATTTTCGCTCGCCGGGTTTCCGAGTTACCGGCTCGGACGTGGGTGACGCGTCCGGTTGGAGGCGCACAAAGCCACTCGGGACATCTTCGGAGAGATGTTATCCCGTCTCGGTGATTTGCATAGTTCGCGGGCGACGCCCACCGCGCGGGGGTGTCTCGCGATCCTGTAATTCGTCTCTCGGCGGGGGGCGGAGATCGATCTATCGATAGGGAAACAAAAGCGATACGATCAGCGACCGGGGCCCGAACAACGAATTAGGACGTATGGAAGGATTCCGGCGAGGATTTTATTCGCGATTAGAGCGCTAACTCGATTGTCGTGGCCGAAAGCGGCAACTTCGGAGCGTCACCGCATTCGCGGAGTACTTCCGACATTCATAACCTCGCAAAATGCTTTATGAGTACCGCATCATTCTATTCAGACTTCAGCTAAACGTATTTTCAATTGAGAAACTAATTCTCAACAAAGTATGTCCTATTCCAATGACCATCCCTATAAAGTACGTATAAGTGAGGCTAAGTTATGCACGTCTTACAATAACATAAAAATGAAAGACCGTGATTTTAAGGGACATAGACATTGTTTTACTGCTCTATCAGGTCTACTTTACTACTTTACCTGCTCTATCAAGAATATAAATGAATTCCGTTCTCTCCTCAGATTTTGTATACAATAAATACGAAACAGACCTGAGCCTAACAGCTAATATATGTACAGAGGATTTCCAACGGGAAACCTCCGCCTCTGCGTTCATTTTTGTTGGAACGTCCCCCCTCCCCCTCCCCCGATAAGGGCTGATTAAGAAGCAGGGGATTTACGAGGTTTGCCGAACATGTCTCGACCGTTTCGACGCAGCTTCGGAACCACTGCGCATGCCCATAGACTATAGGGGTGGAGCGGAAGGCGCGCGTCGTCGGGACGCTCCTCGGGGGCGGGTACCTTTGCCCGGGCCGCGACGTACAAGCCTCGCTATACACGTATGAATATGTACATACCAATGCAAAAGCAACGTACGTTTTCCTCTAAATTACAGATTCACAATCGTAAGGGTGTTCCCAGGAATCAGGAGAAGGAAAGATCGTGGATGTACGTTGGAAAAATTAGTCAGTCGGTACAGCCGAAAGGCTTCAACAGGGTTGATGGAGGCTGCGAATCTTCGGCGAAAAGGATCTCTCATGGAGGGTAGAGGGACGATGGTGGCCCGGGGGTTGAAGCCATTACCGGCACAAAGCTGCCACCAGATTGCCGTCGGGGCTTGCGCTGCCTCGCTCGCTTCGTTCGTATTCATGATTTAAATTCAATTGGCTTTTATCCGCCGTCCCGGGGCGCGTCCCGACGCGGAGTCGCCGATGATGGGATCGAGAGAGTCGAGATCAGAGAATTCGGCACCGCTGTTTCGCCTTCGTATGGTTTTTCTCCATTTTTCCATGTTTCAGACGTTCCAGATTTCTCGGTTCCATGGACGGTGCGTCCTGAGTGGTGCCAAACAAGAATGAGAGCGGTAGAGAAGGAGATACCTCCGAGCCGCCATCTTGGATCGCGACGCGTCTGCAAAGGACAATTTCGGCGACCGAATTAAGACGCTTATATTAAGTTATATCATATTGTATTATAGTATATTATAATGTTTATGTTAAAAATGTAATTTGGATTAGGTTAGTAGGGAATCTACAGTAGCGAGATGGTAACGTAATTTTATACTTATCCGGGCCGGCGTGCCTATGTCTCTGGACGTGTCGATCGATGTCAACGGCATCAATTCAGGCAGACCTAGTGGGGCACGTCGGTAGACCTGAGAAAATGAAAATAAGTCTAGGATATAAAAACTATATTATATTGAATTATATCTAATAACCAAATGGTGGAACGTGGATTTTTCTACGGCTTTCCCGGGACCTCCGTGGGCATCTTCAGCACGGATTAGGGGACTAGTTACGCCTTAACGACTGGACAAATTCCCTGAATAGTGTCGTGGAGTGGCACGCGCTGGTCTCGGAGAGGGTCCTCAAGGTTCCGCGACCCTCGGCAAAAATGGAGGACATCGAGGGAGACCTTCGGCTCAGGGCCACGGTCGCGTGGCGTTGACGAATCTGTTTAGTGCCGGGCCGGGGCCCAATATACCCGGCTACCCTATGGCTACTCTATGGCTACCCTGCGGATCTACCTCCCGAGGATCTACGATCTCAGGATCCATCGGAATCCGCTCCTTTCCACTACCGTGCAAATTCCCTTCCACTCCATACATCATGCCATCCCTCGAGCCTCCGCTTGCCGGTCCCCCGGCGACCTCCATTTTCCCCCCCATGAATTTTAACGACCCTCGCCTTCTTTTTTCCCTCCTCACCCATGAATCTTAACGACCTTTATTTCTACGCATCCCTCGTGAATTTCATTCGGCTCTGTTTACTCGTTCCTTTTCTTTTTACGCGCGGATTTTTAACGATCCGCATTTTTCTCTCCCGCGCCGAGTCGCGAACAGTGGTCCGCCGATTTCCCATAAATCACGGGAATAGTCGAGATAGGGCTCTCTTCTGACTCCGAGACTCGGCATGTGGGAATATGGCGATCTTTCCGTTTCTGCTAACAAACTCTTCCACGTCCTCCTCGGAAGTTTTGGGCTTCCTGGTCGCCGGTTATCGAGGTACTTATCCGTTAATCGTCAGATGCGTATCATTCGATCATCGTTACAAATGATCGACTGATAATCAAACATGCATCATGTCCGTACAAAGGAAAGGATCACGTGCACGAATTCCTGCGCATATCGTGGGAGTAATCAGCGATGGATTTATGAAAAGCCGGGTATAGCATTAAGTGAGATTTTAAAAGAAAGGATCGTACATATAACTAGCGGCCATTTTATAAATCCACACACATGCGTAGTCATGCTTAAACAACGACAGCCAAAGTATACGTGACGCCGTTTTCTAAGCATAAAATTCGTGCCAAAGGGTGTATAGATCGTGATATTGTGTCGAACTCTGTTTTTAAGGGAATATAAACTGCAAATGACAGTTATTGGGTACTTTAAGTCGTTCAAATTGTTTGATTTCGCGTTAAAACTCGTGATCGCCGGGAAGGCAAGATGGCCGCCATCTTTGCATCGCCTCGAGTCGTGAGCTTCCTCCGTGGCGCGATTCCCACCATCCATCTCTTCGTGGATTCATATTCAGGGCCCTCGGGGTTACTTCTCGGCAGGTATTTCCGCTTCGATGCAGGGAGTCCAGTTGCCGGACAAGTGTAGGCCTCGAGGCTGCGAGTAAGGTTGCGTTATCCTGGGTGCAGTTTCCCGGGGAGAGGGGGAAGGGCCTTTGGGGCAATCGGCGGCACGCTTACCAAGGCCGGTCCCGAAGAGGATCGCCTCTGAGGGCGAGTCGGCACGAGGCGACGGTCGCTTTAATGAAAATGAGTAATCTCGCAAACAGGAATTGTAGCGTCGTAAAGCGGGGCACAATGCCCTCGTAAATATGAAAGTTTCCGGGGCCCTATAGATCACCTTCAGGTGGTCTCTCGCCTCCCCTCCGCGCAGTAAACGCAAAGCGTAGCAACGACGGGGGACGGAGGCAGACGCAGGAGAGCACGAAGAAACGGAATGGGTATTGCGGGCCCCATTATGGGGCCCCATAAAACACCTCCGGCGCTGGAGGCGCGTGGCCCCAAGGCCGACCTGGCACTTCGTCTTCTTGCCTGCTGCCTACATG